AGTTAACAATGCCACATCACCAACAAAACCACCACACCACCAGTTATTTAGCAGGATGATAAAACCCAACCAATAAACAATATCATCCAATCCACCAATCCAATCCAGTCCAGTCCAGTCCACAAGAAATGTAAAGAAAGGACGACACGAGATGATAATTATCATTCTTCTGTAACACCCCAATCAGTGGCCGCGGAGGAAGCTGTGTGGGGACATCTGGGGGCATTAACTGGGGAGGGCCGGGTTTATATAAGATGGGGAGATGATGCCAACCCTTGGGGACATTGTCCCCCTGTCTTCCGCGGCCACTGAGGAGCACGCTATTATTTAATATCACTGACTGACGGACAAACAAACATTGCTCATTTTTTTATCCATTCATCCATCCATCCATCGCTTAATAAGAAATCATTCTTATTAATCAGCACAAACCCATGTACAAGTAAATCGTGACATGGAGGTGTGGTGAGACAAATAATGAAAAGAAAAAAAATATACAACAGCCTGAATAATAATCATACATGAAAAGTTATGTCCCTCCGCGGCTGCTGGCCTTGTCACCAAAATGAAAAAGAAGCATATAAAACAGGATGATTATCTATCATTATTTAATGAATTGATTCCTCGATATTGCTAACACGACATTATTCACTTCTTTTTTTCCTTGGTTTTGTCCCCCGCACCTTTTCAGCCGTGTTTCGGATTAAGATCGGGCACGGAGAAGAGAATTGATAATCTCTCGAATTATGACTTTATGAATAGATACCAAACGGGGCATGATGTTGATCATCCTCGTATTTATCTGGTCATCAATTCATGCTGCTGAATATGAAGGCAGTGTGTACCGTGTATTGTAAAAGGGCAGCAAAAGCAAAAGCAACTCACAAAAGTGAGCCCATCATGATTTCATGAAGGACAACCTACGCATAATAATAAACCTGTACAACTTTTATATGTACAAAGAGCTAGCTGCCATGCCCATACATAGTTTTACTTCATTCATGATATCGCCCCAACTTTGTGTGCTCCTTGTAACACACGTATTTAGGTACTTTCTCCAACTTATTTGAAAGGGGATTTTTGTGAATGAAATGTAAGTAAATCCATAATATGAAGGAGGGAAGGAGAGAGAGCGTTTACTAATCCGGCGGGGGAATGTTGTACAAATCGTCAAAATTGTTATGTCCCCCTCCCCCCACTAAATAATCTATGGCCTGTTATTGACCAAAAATCAGAAGTTCAAAATTTTCCGGGTAATTTTTTCGAAAAATTACTTTTTTTGTGCATAATTTTCCTTGTGAAAGTTGTGAAATTAAAATTACTTACTTATTTTTTGGCATACTTGTTACCAGGAGTCAAAATTATGTCCCTGCAGTCATTAAATATTCACAATCTATTGTCGACCAAAATGCAAAACTACAAAATTTCCCCCAGGGGTAATTTTTCCCCCGTAAAAGTTTCGAAATTACGAAAAGTAACTACTATATACTATTTTGGCCATGCTTATGAAACTAACAAGCAATACAAATTTCGTAATCCTGACAGATACACGCCACGAATAATATTGACTGTACCGTGAATGAAATTGAATACTATTTATTTATTGATGCCGGCTCGCATCCATGAATTGGACGAATAATATCGCAATCAATCGGTGGTGGTATCTTCCTGTATCTGGCTTGGCTTGGCTCGCTGCGTGGGGGTGCCTTATGGTGATTGATTGATTAAAACAGAGATTTATTACTACGTATGTACAGACTGGTCTGGGGGTACAGCATTTTTATGAATAAGAATAAACCGTGATGATGATGATTCTGATTCTCAGAGCCAGGTAATTTTTTACGTGTGTGGATGTGTGCAGAATATATAACTCTTATGGAATATATACTCGAAAACTACACGGTAATTGGTTGGTGGTGGTGCTCCTGCCTTTTTTCGAGTGATGACGACGAATCATTATTATTAATGACATAAAGTAGAATAGCACCAGTGTCACACATTTTTCTACCGGAAATTCGACAAAAATATGCATTTCTTCCCACCAGGATAAAATACTTTACATAAATTTTACAAATAAAATCCAATCCTTATAAAATTCTTACCTTATTTTTAACGTACTGCTTATTTTTATCTCTTTTTTCCACGAAATTCTTTTCCCGGTATCCGAAAACCAATATAAAAATAATAATAATAACGGTCTGTCGTGTGTGTGTGTCACACGATAAATAATAAATCACTCCGGCTTAAATCCACCACACACACTAAACCATCTTATTTTTTCTTATCGAATAGGTAAATAGGTCGGCAAGCCAATCATCATGCATCCATCCATCCAACCGTCGTCGTCTGATGGTCTCACACAATCAATAAAAAAATACACGCCACGCCACAAAACTCCCACAACTTCCGGCGTCGTCTTCGTCGTGTCGTCCTCCTCTCTTCCCAATTATTTACTTTGGGGGCTTCGTCACCACTCACTTTTGCCGTCCGAATGAATGACGCAAAACGGATGACACCGCTGCACGAGGAGAGGATGCGATGCGAATGTTACACAAAATCAGTCAATATTGGGAAAGCGTTACTACTCCAAATTCCAAATTTGACTTCGTTTCTTTTTTTTTTGGTGTCCACCAACCACGCCACAAAAAAATCTGCGTGACCAACCACTGTCACCTTGACTTTGGATAATAATTCAATTAATTATTTTGCATTTCACTTTTTTTCCTCGAGTAAATGACAGTTATCAACCACTTATCAAGTTTTTCTCAATTTTCTCTCTCTCTCTCCTTTTCTCCTTTTCACTGACAGAAAGAAAGAAGAAGAAGAAGGCGATCTCGTCGTCGTCGTTATCGTCGTCGGTGTCGTCAAATCTTGTACTTTTTTCCACCCTACGTGCGCTTATGTTGGAGGATTTAATCAGACTGAAAGTTCCATCAGAGTATGAATGAATGAGAAGGATTTTATTTAGTGGATTGGATGGATGTATGTATGCCATGGTGTGGGTTGGCTGGTTTTTGCCACCTTCTTCTTCCTCCGCATATATAACACAATACACAAACATACATATCTACGTAAAGCTTGGAGAGAGAGAGAGAGAGATCCATTAAATAAAATGCTCTCTCTCTCTCTCTTACAAAATCTACCATGCACGATATATACGACGACCGTTATGGTACGAAGGAAGCGTTGGTTGGTTACCATCGTCGACCCCTTCCCCTCAAGCCAATTCATTCACAAAACGAGTTGACCGGCTAACATCCCAACCAACACAAGGACCAACTTGACTTCCATAATAAGCAGGCAGAAGTTCGTTCAGAAGAATAAAATACAAACGAAACAGTGAACGCGGACAGGGCGGAGGGACATTGTCGACAGGGTTATTTTATATAAACCCGGCCATCCTCCCCAATGACAATGTCGACAGGGTTATTTGATGTCATCTTATGTAAACCCCCCTATGCCAACTTGTCCCCACGGCTCGTTCCGCCGCCACTGAAATGAACGAAATGACGCTCTGTGTGATGCTGCAATCTCTTCCAAATCCAACTTTAGTACGTATAATGGGGATGGATGGATGGATAATAATAATGGTTTTTGTAGCTTATACTGTATGTACTTGGGTGCACAAGTTATTATAACTGGGATGGCTTGGCTACCTCTGATTTTTTTTAACTTGTGCTCTCTCTCTCTCTACTTATCATCATCCTGTGTAATGTGTGTGCTTTGGCTGAAATGAATGTTGGTTGTATGAAATAATAAGTTGTTGTCTGTGCAACATTTTATTTATTCTTTCCTGTGAAATATCTACTCCTCTCTCGCCTTAATAAGTGTATGAATGTAAGTACGTACGTATCGTCATCATCACGGTTTGCTTTACTTGCCCAGAAAACCATACGATTCAGTCATTCTCTTAATAGCGCAGGCAGGCAAGCACTACCACCATTCAATTCATGAATCCATCTCATCTCGGAATCTGGTACATTTTATTGTATTAAATTATTACGTATTGTATTTATTATACTACTGTGTAGTGTACTACATAATACGTGAGAGGGGTAGATGTACTTATCTTACGTATTTCTCCATGCTGCTTTGCTTTGCGTCTCATTTATTTGCATGGCTTATCTTCTTTTCCTCGGGAAAAAACTCCACTTCATAGTTACATGAACATGAAGAGAACGGTTTTTGGTAGAGAAGAGGAGTCATTATTATGATGTACATACTTTATGTATAGCGTTAGACTTGGTTGGTTGGTTGGTGGTTGGTTTTTGATCTTCTTTCATCAGCGAGACATTATTATGGATGGTGAGGAAAATGAAAATGTGGATATCTATGCGAGTTTCAAAAGTATGTAATATTGAGAGATTTTTTAAACCGAGGCAACTGAACTGACTCCTCCGAAGCAAAAGGCAGGCAATGAGTTTGATTGAGGATGCAGGATGTGGCGGAACTTGGCCAAAAGTACTTGTACATATCTACTTATAATACTACGTAACATCTGCCTGCCTGCCTGCCTGCATCCACTCCTATTCGTCGTCGTAGTCGCCCCTTCTTCTTCTTGTGAATGGTTTGCGTTTTAACTAAAGTTTGCTTTACTTGCATGCATGCAGGACTATTATGTGAAGAAAAAGACTCAAGTAAAACGAGGAAAAAAGAGTCGAGTGTACTAAGGATAAGAAGGATGGCTTTAAAACCGAACAAGAACGCTGAGATTTTTCGCCTCCATCCGTTCACCACGTCTTCCTCTAGTTTGCCGTTCAACAATAATATAATCCGTGTGTGTGTATTTCCTTTACACAGGAACTCTACTTGGCCTTCTGCTTGAGCTTTTACATACATAAATACATACCATATTCAATATTATATTATTACTTATGTGCACAAGTCGTCCTTTCCAACGACCAAAAATCCATCTCGGATAGGGCGATAATGTAATAAGGATATGTACGTGTAAAGCAGCGTACATAAAAGTTAACACAATCGTCGTCACCAACCACATATGAATATAACTCGTTCTTCTTCCCTCCTTATAGGAAGGAGAAGGGTTTTTTATTATCTCATTTCCTTGCTGGTGCTGCAACGCACGAAAATTTAGAATTTAAGAAATAGAAAAATTATTGAATGATAATAATATGTGTGAAGATGAGGACGAAGATTTTGTTGTCTACGGTGGAGGAGGAATTTCATAATAATTGTGGTAGGGCGACTACATAATTTGGAAGAGTTTCTTCAATTCGACCATAAGTTGCCAGTCCGTTTTGGAAAGATCATTTCGAAAGTATTCCTTGCACGCATCGATTGACTCTCGGGTAATTTTGGACACCAAGACATCCGTTTCCTCAAAATGACGGCCAAGCATTTTTGGACTATCCCCAGCTGGCTCGATCTTAATACACACTTCCTGTCCTTTGGTTGCCTTTTCCATCTGCTTATGGTTAATTTCAATGCTCGTCACTCGCCCAATCTCTACAAACTCTTTGCTCGGAACACATATCGGAGTTCCTTCCCTGACAACGCCAGCTTCAACAACAACGCCCACGACGATTGGGTCACGGGTGTTGAAAATAAACTGGGGAAGGATTTTCAATTTGCATGGAAAGACGGCGATATGTTTGAACTCGTCTCTCTTCTTCGCCTTTAATTCATCCCGGTAGGCTGTAAACTTATCAAATAAATGATAGATGATATCCGCCTGGAAAATCTTCACTCCCAAATTGTCCGCCAAGTCTTGAGCTTGAAAAACAGAAAAAAGACAATTAGGTTAATCAAATACAATGGAAAGTAAGAAAGTTGGGGATGCATGAAACGTCGGGGATGGAGCACATAAATAATGATATGCAGGTGGGAAATCCACAGAATACGATGCTCACATTTCTTTCTTCTGTCAAGTCATTGATTCATAATCAAAGAGTTTTAGAGTGATTTGATAAACAAATAATTAAAAATGCGATTCATTTACTTCTGGGCCTCTCTACCAAACCCCTTTGACCCCTGAAGAACAAACAATTGCTAATTTTGTTCCACCCAATACACCTCGAGACCAGTGGACCCCTGAACAAGTTGCACAATCTGATGCACAACCAGCCCTTCGTAATTTGGTGGAGGATGCACAGATGAAGGGACAATCCCGGAATGGCAACCCCATTATCCGAAATAACAAGAAATATGAGCACATAAACGCTGCTAAATTGGGGGATATTTTGTATATCCAACAAGTGTTTAAGTTTCTGACAGGGCGTAAACTTTCCATTAATGTTACTCACTCGAATGATTTGAGTTTCAAGGATGCGTTTTTTAAGTAAAGTAATATATTAATTATGTGAATTATTAATAAAATCGGATACTTTACCGTCTCTCTCGATTTTTACGTCGAACGCCAAAATCACCGCGTACCTGCGCAAGGAAAGGACAAGCACAATGTCATCGTCATCATCATTATTATTGTCACCAATCACACCAGATCATCATTATCATCATCATCAGCATCAGCATCATAATGCGGGGTATGTATGTATGGTGTCTCACTATACGACCAACAGCAGGCAGAGGAGGAGGAATAATAAGAGTCACAAAAATCATTTTCATTCATTTCTCTCTCAAACAACCACCAGCGATGATGATGATGATGACGACGACGACGACAACGACGACGGATTATGTATACTATTTTATATTATTATATCAACTTACTGACTGTCATGCTCCAACATTATGGACGCCTTCATGACATCCTTCTTCACCACGGGCCCAATGCGAATGCCAGAGTACTGCAATATACAAGAGAGGAATGAAATGATGATCATAATAATATGTAACAATGACATCTGACACCAATTATTAAGTAGCTTCAGCTACTTTATGTGAAGACTTTGTCTGTCTGTCTGTCTGTCAGCAGGATATCAGGAGAACGGATCGAGATAATCGAAATCGGTTTTCGCCATCATACATAGGACCCCAGGGGGAGGATCCTATCAACTTTTGGGGGCAACCGGACCACACCCCCTTTGGCGACAGGGGGTGTGGTCGGGGCAAAATGAGATTTTTAGTGCAATTTAATCTATAGGTGAAATAGAGTAAAATTATGTGTTCCGGAGTTGTGCCACACCCCCTCGGCGCCAGGGGGTGTGGTTGGGGCAAAATGAGATTTTTAGTGCAATTTAATCTATAGATGAAATAGAGTGAAATTAAGTGTTCCCGAGTTGTTCCACACCCCCTCGTCGCCAGGGGGTGTGGTCGGGGCAAAATGAGATTTTTACAAAAAATTAATCTATAGGTGAAATAGAGTGAAATTAAGTGTTCCCGAGTTGTGGTGGGACCGTTTGGGGTGAAGTACGTCTGAAGCTACTTCCGTATGCGCGTTTGCGACGGTTTATTCACATAATAATCCATTCATAAAACTATCTCTCTCTCTCTCTCTCATGAATACATACTGCACACAAAAGTTATACCCACACACATACACACACCGCTTCGTTCGTTCATCCGTCCATATCCATCCGCTATTCAGCAACAAATCTATCTATGCATTCCTATTTCTAGAGCAGTGTAAGGATTAAAAGCAAGTACAGGTTCGTGGTGGATGAAGTTAGGCAAAATCTCATAAATCATTTCCTGTCTCTGCCTACCATGTCCGGTGCGTTGCCTAAATGGCCGATCCTCTTCCGCTCTTTTCTCTCAACCAGCACAAACCCACCGACCGACCGACCGACGACGACGACGGCCACCACAAAAAGTAAGCATTTCAAACCCTTAAAAAACACATCCGTGCCTGCTGGTGGGTGATAATATGTATGTATGTCCAGCCGACCAAATCATCCTCCAATCTATCTACCTGTTGTTGTTCTGCTCCCCATCATCCATTTACAGTTTATCAATCAGCAACAACCTTCCTCCTTCCTTCCTCTCTCGCCCAAATCTAGAATGAAACGTCTGCCCCTCTCGCTCTCCCTCCCTCCCTCCATTCACAAACAACCACCACCAACCAAACCAACCAATTTCCAACCAATGCACAGTTTTTCCACGACCCCAACAACAACGGATCAAGAAGAAGACGAAGAAGAAGGAGGCAAACATTAAGAAGAAGGCCAACAACCAGACCTTAAACCTGACATATGGACTCGAATGATTGTAGGAGCAGAGGAGCTTTACTTACTTACTTAGGCTTTCGCCTTTTGTTACCCATGCACAAATAAATCCGAGTCTTATAATGTTCAATATTATTATTATTATTGCTTTGCCTAGCTCCCAAGGAGGAAGGGAGGAGTATTACGCGTGAGTATATTTTAATTCTCTCAAACTCCTCTGCATCCTGCCAGGAAGGAAGGCCAGCAAAAGTCGACGACGAGTGTTACATACATACGTCCATCCACATGCTGCTCCTTAAAAGCCAGTTCCTTAAAGAAGAAGAAGAATATTATATTATCATCGTCTTGCTGCTGCTGCCATGCTGCCCAAGAAGAAGACGAAAAAGTTGAAGAAGTTTCCTTCAACTTCAACCTGCCCTTCCTGCTCCTTCTTCGAATCACTACCAACACCACCACCACAAAAGAAGACTTTTAAGCTGATTCAATCTCTGCCTTCTCAAAGTACAATAGACTTTAAAGCCAAACATATTTTACTTTACTGCCTTGCCATCCAGCCCTAGTGGATATCTACCTACGCACAAAAAAACTGGGTTCTTCCGTCCGTCCGTCCGTCTTCCAAATGGTACCAAAGAGAGCAGAGATTATCATTCATTAAAACCCCACCTGCTCGTCCTTTTCCTTTTTCAATGCCTCCTCCGTATGGTCTCGCGTAAGAACGAAGAAGGAGAAAGGATCGTTTCCTTCTTCGGAATAATAATAAATCCAAATCTCTACAACACACTGATTTTTTTTCTCTCTCGACCCAGCCAGCATTAGTCTTATTATTCATCACTTCCTTTTCCACTCACCACTACTTAAAACTACGACAAGGAGGACTTAACAGGAGAGGAGAGGGAAGAGGGGACTTAAAAAAACGGAGCGTATGGGCAAAACCTAAATCTTTCTACTACGCACTCTAATAATAAACCTGGCTTTAAGAAGAAAAAAATCATCTATTTTATTACCACTTCACTACCAAAACCTGTGTGTAATTTCTGCTGCCTGCTGCTGTCTGATTAAACAACAATGCATTCATTCTGATCCTTACTTTACTCTCGTTTTATGTATTTTTCCTCAGTCTCAAAATCTAGAGGCATCATCATCTAGTATTTGATCAAGTCGACAAGTTTGAATGAAAAACTTTCGACTTGGAAAAAGAGGGTGGGTTTTGAGACAGGAAAGAGAATTATCATGGTAAAAAAATGCTCCACTAAAACCGAACCAAAAATCATGATGGGAACGATGACGATGAGGAAAATGTCACCTCGGGGAGAAAAAGGTTTTCAGAAAACCAGATTATTCATGCAGAGATTCAGATCTCTAATCAAATCTGTGCATTCCTGGAAGAAAGGGTAACAAGACTTGAAAAGTGAGTTGTGAATTTATTTCACATTGTTCATCCTAATTTTATTTAAGGATTCAAAAACGAACTTTGAAAACGCTGTTTTTCCACGAAATAAATTTGTTTTGGAAATTTTTTATTTCATGTCAAAGTGAAATATTGTAAAAGGAGGGAGAATAATGCATATGGATGGATGGATGGAGAATGGAAGTAATTTGACGGAAACGGAAAGACGCTCATTTTGTCCTTGATTGCTTGAGTGTAAAATGGAAAACTAACAACATATGCTTTACATTTCCTTCCTGCCTTCTCCTTCATTTTCTAAAGTTCTCACAGAAAAGTTAGCCACAAAACTCAAGCTGTCTTATCCGGCCAGAAAAAGAGAGAGACTCTGCTTTACTTTGCTTTGGTGGTTTTAAGTAAAGTTATCTAAGCCCTAATATATTCCATTCCCTCCATCCGGACCAATTCTGACCAGTAGTAAATACGAGTACCATGTTATGAATGACTTCATTAAATGACTGCTTGCTTACTCTCCCATCACTGAGTGAGACTAATTCAGATGAGACAATTACAACTATTTGCTGTCCATTGGTATCAACTCCAAATCTGAGATTTCAGGCGACTCAGAGCGATGTCAAATACGTATTAACTCATTGTTTTTAAGCGTGTGTGAGTATTTTCCTCAAAAAGCATACAGCTTTCTCTGCATATAGAAGTCAGGCTATACCTCCATTAATATATCATGCATTACCGAGTACTTTTAATAAACTTTGTTAGAAAATAAAATTTACCGGAATTTGGGAAACCTTCAAAAATTCAAGTAAAGCTTCCAGCGATCCAAGAGTTGAAGCCTGGACATAAACCCCCCGTTCGGAAAGACGGATCGAGTTCAAAGCAGTCTTCAACTCACGGGTAATCTCCTCCTTGGCAAACTCCACCTCATCGGATTGATGAGCAACTACCAAGCTCAGACCGGCGATAGCTTTTTCGAAATCTTTGGCAGCAATCTTGACTCCAATTGTTCCACTGATTTCTTTATGCTCGACATACGTGTTCTTCACTCGGAGTTCTTTCATCCCATCGGGCGTGAGGAGGGATCGGATTTGTGTCGTTATCGGACCCTCCGTCCCAGCCACGACGATCGTTTCTCCAATGCGGAGGAATCCGTTGATCAAAATCACGTCGATGGTGGTGCCCAAACCGGGGATTGCTTTCACCTCCAGAACCGTGGCTTGCAGCTCCTTCGAGAACATGAGTCGCTTGGCAAGCATTGTTTGAGAAAGCTCGACAATTAAGGCCATCAGGTTTCCCATCCCATCTCCAGTCACTGCGCTGGTTGGAATCATTGAGATGTAGGTGCTAGGGTCAGGGTTATCATAAAATAGAGCAGCATTTAAACTCTGTTCCGCAAATTGGACCATCACTTCTTTGGATCGCTTATCAAATTCGGCGACGGTAATCTTTGGCTGACTTTTGATTATGTCTCGGACATCCCGCTTCGGGCTGGATTGCCAGTCGTAGAGGCGATCAATCTTGTTGAGAGCGACGACGAATGGAGTCTTTTTTGCTTTTAGTAGGTTAATTGACTCGAGAGTTTGAGGCTCCAAGCCATGCATAATGTCAACGACTAAAATGGCAATATCGCAAAGGGACGAACCTCGGGATCTTAAATTACTGAACGACTCGTGACCCGGTGTATCGATGATCAACAAGCCTGGGACCTTCATCTCCAAATCTGCGAAACCCTTAACAAATTTGGCAGCCTCTTTAATTGCAGTGATGGGCACATTGGTAGCACCAATTTGTTGGGTGATTCCACCCGCTTCGTTATCTTGTACATGAGTACGCCGCAATTTGTCAAGGATTTTTGTCTTCCCAGTGTCGACATGGCCCAAAACGCAGACAACCGGGGAGCGTAAGTTCTTCAAAGTGCGAGCCTTTTGATTCTCTTCGCGTCGTTTGTGAATACGGACGTCGGCCGGTTCTTTCTCTTTGATTTCCTTCTTTTCAGGAACTTCCGACACTGGTTCAATCACAGCCACGCTGCCGGTCTCGTCGTCTTGAGAAAGGGAATCGAGATTTTCACCATCACTTCCGGCCTCGTTGATTTCGCTGCTCTTTGAGACTTCATCATTGGAGGCGGCGCCGTCCTCCGCTTCTTTTTGACGTTTAATCTCTTTCTCCTCGTCAGTCTCTGATTCCTGATCCCAAGCTTCTTTAATTCGTGCTTGCTCCTCTTCAATTTCTTCCTGGGTTTTAGGCGTAGCATTTTCGTTGTCCTCTCCTCCGGCCTCGCCTGATGCAGATTGTTCTTCGGTGGATGTTTGACTTTGAACTTGTTTCTTGGGACGAACTCGAGTTCCAGCTCGTGATGTTTTCCCACCCTTTCCAGCCTCAGGGACTTCGAAACCTTGAGCTTTTAAAGCATCCAGTGTGATCTTGGCTCGTTGTTTGGCAAGCTTTTCCTTCTCGGTTAAAAGAAGACCTAAGACATAATCATATTGCAATATTTATATTTTGATGATTGTACATAATTAAGTTATCATATGCGAAATAAATCATGTAAAATGTCAAGTTATGTATACCTTGTTCTTTAAGCCGTGCAATTTTTTCCTTCTTCTTGCGTTTCTCTCTTTCCTTCTTTTCTTGCTCGAGCCGCAGCTAAAAATAATAGTTAAATAAACACAGGCATATTATAAAAGTCCAACAAATGCATATACAAAATTATAATTTAAAATGAGTCAGTTATGTGCTGTGCGTGTGGAGTCTAATAGCCAGAAACCCTGGCCTCCGAACAAGGTAGTTAAGGAGGCGATTGGTTTCTCGCTATTAAGCTCTACCCGTGCAACACTTAACTAACTCACTTTAAATCATAGACATTTCATTTTGTTAAGAATGAAGAAATAATTAAATATTAAATATTACTCTACCTTTTCAAGTCTTGCATTCTCCGATTCTTCCAAGAGACGGATCTTTTCTTCCTCTTCTTTCAACAATCGTTCCTCCTCTTCCCTCTGTTTCCGGATGTTTTCTTGAATCGCCGCAATTTGAGCCGCAGAAGGACCACCTTTCCTCGGTTTCGGCTTTTCCGGTTCTTTTGCACCTTTTTTCGCTGCGGCAGGTTTCTTCTGCTCTTTAGCCTTATCATCCTCCTGACCTGCAGCCGTCGTTGACTCGCCATCTCCTCCTTCTTCTCCGCCCTTTTGCTTAGCCAACTCTTTCTTCTGTTTCAACTTTTCTCTCTTCTTTTGAGCCGCAGTAAGCTCACGTTTCCCAGACTCGGCACCTTCAGCTGTAAAACAATTGCAAATATAATATCCACAGAGGACAAGATAACATAACATTATACAGTTGATAACCTATCCCAGTCCAGCCAACAAATTTACGGTCGGTTTCTTTATTTCCTGTACATAAGATGAGACATGGGAGGCCATGGACCTATGGCCTCCCATGTCCTCCATACGGAATTAAGCAAAAACCACCGTAAAAATGTTGGCTGGAGTGGGATACGTTACGTGGCTACCATAATATAACAACGTAACAATTAATACTCTCATAAATAAATAATCACAATACCTGTTGCTGGCTGTTGGTCGCCACCCGATTCTCCAGCATCTCCGTCCATATTTTCCTTGTCCATTGAGCCTTCTAACTGTCTTTATTTCTTTCCCACACAAACTTTTCCTTTCCGATGCAAAACACACACCTGATGAATGAACGAAAACGAATATTTTAAATTCCAATCCTTACGTAAAACACATTTGTACACTAAATCTAAACTACTACGACCAACCACGAAAATCAGTAAAAAATGACTCACCAGCCTGTACATAAGTGTACCTCCGTCCGTCCTTATTCCAAATTGGATCCCCTTCGTTCACACCCTCCTCCAAATTCGTGTCCCACAAAGTACAAATTTTGCAAAATTTACAAAAATCAAAGTTTCCTCAATCCTCCTCCTGCCCGCTGCAAGTAAGAGGAACGTTTTTCGATAAAAAATGAGTCCTCCTCTATTATGATTTCATTAATTTGCCTTATCTTACCTTATCTGTCGCGAATTGTGAGAGAGTTGGTTGGTAAAAAAATAGTGTCAGTTGTATAAAGTCAAATTCAATACGTTGTGGTGGCCGACGTGCGGAAGAAATTTCGTTTCGTCTGCCTTTCTCTCTTCTGCACCATATTGTGGGTCAAATTCAGCTCACGAATCCCGCAATCCCATCAACTCGATGCCTTCCCAGCATGTAGCTCGTCCGTTTTTGAGATGTCTCAGAAACGATTTTGAAATTTTGACCAATTAAACTAAAATTAATCGATGACAAATTTAATTAGGATGTAATTTAATTAATTAATTTTCGAAAGACACGATCTCCCAATAACATAGAGAGACGATCCTGCCATCAAATAACCGTGGGGACATCTGTGTCCCCACGCTCAGCCACTGACCATATTTACTGAAACTAACAAGATTCTCAACATTTACCATCAAGGCTTGAATTACGCAGGATCGAAATCTTTCAAAAATAAGAATATGAACCTTGCCAGAAAAAATGAGGGGTCAGGTTCAGGTCAAAGTCTGAATGGCTGTCCTCATCGTCTCACTGACAATGGAGGAGGTCTCCCAGTGTATGGTCTCCAATTTTGGGTAAATTAGTCTCAATTGGAGACAAATAAAATTAGGATGAAATTAGGGAAAGACACGATCTCCCAATGGGCACGTTTGGCAGGGATATTTGCATCCGAAGAGGAGAGAACGCGTAGTAAAGTTGACAAATTTTATATACACTTTCTAAATTTACTGCGCATTTTCTCCTCTTGGGATGCAAATATCTCGGTCAAACGTGCCCATTGGGAGATCGTGTCTTTTGCAAATTTCATGGTGATTAAATTTGCTATCGATTGAAACTGATTTACTCAAAATTGGAGACCATACGCTGGGAGACCTCCTCTATTATCAGTGAGACGGTGTCACACATTGAGGACCGGCATTCAGACTTTGACCTGACCCCTCATTTTTTCTGATGAGGTTCATATTCTTATTTTTGAAAGATTTCGATCCTGCGTAATTCAACCCTTTTGGTAAATGCTGAGAATCTTGTTAGTTTCAGTCAGTAATATGCCCAGTGGCTGAGGAAGCGTGGGGACAAAGGGACAATGTCCCCACGGTTATTCGATGTCCCCATCATAAGGGCGTCTCTTCATGTTGTAAAAGTTTGTAAAATTATTTTTACCAAACTTACAGATTTTACAAGTTACCAATAGATAACTGCTTGAATATAAGATATGCTGGAAAACCATATTATTCTAAAACCTATCCTTACTATTTTCTAAATAAAAAATGCTATATACAATTTTTACATGGGTATGAAAAGCACCATAAATTCATCGCATAGCAAAGTATCATACTTTAAGTGTGCATATTGCACATGCATACTTTAAGTACGCAGCTTAAAAATATCACGCGAACAATATTTACATCGACAGATCTCTGCTTAGAATTTTTTGAAATAAATGAATAAGAAGTTTAACATGATTAGTGCTTAAATTTTAACACCGATGCGTTCTCTTTTTTCAGAAGTACATGAAATGAAAAAACGAAAAACCTAAATTCAATCTGAGTAGGTTTATTGTGTTACTAACTAAATACTAATTTGAAAACTTGCAATCCAAGATTTGAGGATGTATATATATCGCAAAATTTGGATACTTGAGGTCACCTTATCTACAGGAATATTTCCATGCACACGTCCCACGTGACTTGCCCAATCTCTCTTTTGGAAGAAGCCTTTCTTGCAGTGGGGACATGTCCATCTCGACCGCTTTTTGAACTCGACTCAAATGTTCTCGCATATTTCTAGGGTTGCCCCGGGTAGTGGGTATTCCCGGTACCCGGCTACCCGGTACCCGGCATGAAATATTTACCGGGTACCCGGCATGAAATATTTACCGGGTACCCGGTACCCGGCCGGGTATTCATAAATATTTAAATATTAGTGCAAATAATTTTTGTTGCTCTTATAGAATTTTAGTTTTTTATTAATAACAAAATTGTGCATTTTCCATTGACTAAAAAATACTCAAAGGTACCCAACATAGGCGGAAATATGTAGGCATTAAAATATTAAGAATTGTATAACTCCATTAACTAGAGGTTTTATCGTTACCCGTTTTCGAATACAAACCAAGCCGGCACAAGTTGTGCTTTAAAAACAATAAGCTTTCTGCATGAACCGCCGTAAGCTTATTTCGGTTTTCTTCATAAACATTCCCAGCTTCCGAAAATAGTCGCTCGCTGTATACGCTGCTTGGGGGTGCACACAAGAATTTTGAAACATTAAAGGATAGATGTGGATATTTTTTCTGGTTTAATTTCCAAAATTTTAACGGGTCGTTGCATCCCTTCTCATCATTGTATAATGGCAGAAGAGGCTGCGATGCATACAAGTTAATTTCTGCTGATATACATAATTGACCGCGTTGTCTCATCGGATTCCAGGTCACCTTGGGAGCTTAATGCTACGTTAGCCGACTTTGTAATTTCTTTAAAACAGTCCCATAAAGTATCATGCGTATAATCCAAGATGTTTGACGGTCCACACGGTTCAATATTTGATGAGCTGGCGGCTTGTTGCAAATTATGTGCGGCATCGGGTCCCCTGGACTCTTTAATCGTGGCGTTTGTGATATACTTCAGTAGATTTTCTTTAATAATGTTTCGGTTCTCAGCACGGAAGAAAACAAATTTGTATCGTGGGTCCAAACTATGGGTTGTCCCCATATTGAAAGTGTCAAGGTTCCCTCTATTTGTTCACCCAGTTAAAAATGAATTTCGCACATGTAAAAATCATAAAAATTGGCAAATTTGATTAGCTTTCTAAAACCGAAAACAGAATTCGATTATCTCTTTTCGTTTTAAAGTGACAGCACAAAATGTAGAGGAGGTGGAAAACTTAGTTTGCCACTCGCGCAAAAACGTGATTTTCTCGGGTCGGGAAAAGGCTCGTGACCACTTTATCCTTCGAGGAATGCAAGGGGCAAAATTAAGCATACAGTATACATATCTAAGGATAGTGAAAATGCAAAATATAAAATTTGGCCTTGCCGACTTGTCCGCCAGCAGACCAAAACACACACGAGAAACATGAAAAAACTTTTACAGAAAATCCCAACAGGCCCGTGAAGGATGCACCCAGACAACTAAAAATTTCGAAAACCTATCTTCGCAAGATCAAAGCCAATAAGGGCTTCAAAACTTACAACACTAAAACCGCGCCAAAGTACAATCAAGATAAAAAACAGAAGCTAAAATAAATTGTCGAAAATTTGATGAGAAAATGTTGAAATCGACTTCCAAAAGTTTGCCGTCGTGGATTATGAAAACTACGACCCCGTTGACCTCGAAGCATCAATCGTGTAAAGTTCTGCTCATGTGGAAGTAAGAATGACGTTCGTTCGAAATTTAAATTCAAATCCAAGCAAAATTTCGGATGAAATACATAAAATGGTGTTATGTATATATGATTATACATAAATAAGTGGTACACAGTGAGAGGAGACAGAGGAGAGTATTTATTGGAAGAGAGTTAAAGCTGGAGTGAGTACAGATTCATAACTAATTACATATACATATCTACGTAGGCATACATATACCTAACAATGGCTGGCGATCGACAAAAATGGGACCGTCTCAAATCCATTCGCCTCCACGAAGAGTTTGAACTTTTGGATTTATTTCAAAGAGTGTATCATCAGGAGATTGACCCCCTCTATCAAAAACAAACACGTTTTATTTTTCCCTGGCATGGGTACGTACCAGAATGCCAAAATAGTGACCAAGTACCTCGAAGGGAAAAAAGTTGATTTTGTCGATAAAATAGACAAGGCTCAAAAAGTACCTCAGTGTCGACCTATTAAAACAATTTGGGCATTACTTAAGAAATAATACTGTCATAAAAAAATTATATCACAAAATTTGCAAGAATTTCATCGGGTTATGGAGAAAACCATCATAGAAGTTGATGAAACGAGTGGCGAAGCGCTCATGAGAGGTGTGCGACAAAATCGTCTCTCCACTGGTACTGAAGGGGTATCTGGACAACTGAAGGATTACAAAACTTCGGTATGCTCATCGTTGGTATTCCACAAAAGATTCGTTAGATTTGATTCATGCATGCAATTTCTGCAGGTCAAAATAGACTGACACTTTCAATAAGGGGACAGTTAATAGTTGCAAAGGTGAAGTTATCATCTTTCTCAGTTGCCGAGAAACGTGTGTTCAAACTGCGAAGTAACTCTGATTTCAGTGCTTTAACACCGCTGTGAAATGGGTCGTCCTTCTCTAAATACCTTCGTAGCATTGCAACTGCAGGAAGAACATCCGCAATGGTACATCGATCTGAACTAATCCTCTTGGTCAATTCTTCAAATGGTTTTAGCAAAGATACCATAGATCCCAAAATATTCCATTCGTTGTTTGAAAGGATCGTCAATCCGATATCAGGGGCGATAGCTGAAATTGCTCGGCGCTGTTCATATAAGCGTTCCAGCATTAGGTAGCTAGAATTCCATCGCGTAGGGACATCTTGCACCATTTTATGGCACGGCAACCCCAAGTCCTTCTGAATCGATTCCAGCAAAGAGCAGGCACTAGCAGAATGATTAAAACGCGTCGCAATATTTCTTGCTCGTGTCATTACATCACTAACTGCTTTCCGTGAACGGATTGAGTCCTTAATTACAAGTTGTAATTTGTGAAGAAAGCAAGACACACTTGCAAGTCCAGCGTCATCAATTCCTTTGACCATGCTAGCACCATTGTCCCTGAAAGATTAAAAATTAGTAGCATAATACCAAAACTACATTTTGTTAATGTATTGTAGTGCTGTCCCCGAGCTCGAGCGGGCTCGGTTTTATTACCAGGATACGAGTTACGATCTCAGTAAGCCGGCCCGCAAACTGCTCAATTAATATTTGAAAGAGCTAAATTTCTTAATAAACGAAACTAAGCAAATTACGATCCGGTTTGCGTGCCTAATTTACATGGTAAAATTGGAGCTAGTTCGGTAAGGCTGGTTAAAATTAGTACTATAAACAAAGCGATCCAGTATTTCAGCCCGACTCGGCTCGTGAGAAGCACTAATGATTTAGATATTTGTTTAGAGATCCTGTGTACCTGACAATAACGTGAACTTTTGACTCGACTATTTCCCACGAGTTCAACATTTCTTTGACAATTTCCGCAATTGCCTGTCCAGTATGGCTACCAACAAAGTGTTTTGTGCAGAGTACGAAGTTCAAAGTTTCAAATCGATGAATCCAGTGCCCAGTAAAACTTATGAAACTTAAGTTGTTCTCCTTGCATGTCCAAATATCGCTGGTAAAAGATATTACTGTGGCGTGGCTCAATAACGACTGCACCTTTGCTTTTGCTTCCTGGTATAATGTCGGCACGACCTTTTCGGTAAAATAAGTACGTCTAGGCACCTTGTTAAAATTTATATTAAAATTAAATAGATTGAAATTTTCGCGCGATGCATATAATGCTTCAGATTTGTCTTTATAATAAATGCAGGAAAAAAATGTCCCAATTTATGGCTTACTTTGTAACGTGGTTGCAAATGACTCATTAACCTTCTAAATCCTTCATTTTCTACAAATCTATATGGCTGACAATCGATTGCGATCATCTCGCCGATTTTGCGATGAATTTCAATTGAGCGGTTGTCATTTATGTCCCACCCCTTCGACATCTGAAATGCTTCCTTGATTCCGATTTGTCCTAGCCGCGGTTTTTTTGGCTGAAGAAATCCCTCATCCTCATCAATTTCTTCATGTTTCCCAGTTTCAATCGTTGGCCGAGACTTTTCAAACATAACATATTCGGAAGTGTGTTTCCCTTTGAAGTGCTTGATCATGGTGGACGTCGTTGCATTTTTGCCGATGCCTCTATGCACCACGGCGTCACAGATATTGCAAATTGCTCGGGATGAGTTGTCTGGGTCAAGCTTAAAATATTTCCAAGCTTCACTTCGCTGTTGCACCTTATTCGCTGCAAGAAAAGTATAAAAAAATAACGCAGTTGGTCAAAAATATTTACATGTTTAATTTATTTCTAACATGATGAACCAAATATTATTTACACCAACCTGAACCCGACGAACTTGTCGAACTTGTGGTAGACAAGTCAGGTTGCCGATTTGTTGCAGATGTCGACGTGCCCTCCACCCCGTCATCAACGCTAGCAACGATACTGGGACTTGATGGGCTAGTCGAATTCAGTATTTATTTTTAAACTACTTTGTAATTTTTAATTTAATAAATTAAAGTTTTAATTCGCCCAAATTTAAGTCAACGAGTCAGCCGAGCTAGTATTTCCTCAACAACTTGCTGAGTTTGGCGACTGATGTGAATGAAGTGTACGGGGCAAAGTAATCCTCCCCATGCATTGCAAGTTATAACTACTCTCTACATGCAGATATGCAAGAAATAAAATCAATGCCATTGAAAAAGTTCTTGTAAGCTTTTTAATTTCGTGTAACTCGACAAAATATGCAATTACCCGGCCGGGTAAACCGGGTAGTTGAACTACCCGGCCGGGTACCGGGTATCCCAAAAAAGGCCGGGTATGCCGGGTACCGGGTAACTACCCGGTACCCGGGGCAACCCTACATATTTCCATCACCGTTCTTTGTAGATATAGAGACGCCGCAGATGTCACATATTGCAAATTTTTCGCCCGTCTCATTGTGTACTTTGGCGACATGCTCGTCGCACTTAGTTGTGGAGGAGAATTTTCATGCACAGTTGGGACGCTTCTGAACATATTTGGCCGTTATTATGCGTGCGAAATTTGTTTGTGAATAATTTTAGCAGGAAACTTTAAAATTTCCGAAGATTATATAATACACCTTTCATAATCATTGTGCTTCACTAATTTAGCGATAAATATGGTCATGGTCACATTCGCATACATTTGAGAAGTCGAGTTGCTCAACGGAACCCTTCAAATGTAGCTGCCATCAAAGATGTTATCACAGGGGAATTGGGAAAATTTACCAGAATGTTACCAAAACCTGGTGGAGTCAATAATCCAAGCCGTAATTGGAGGCCAAGCAAAATATGACATTATTAGTTCAGGCATATGATTAATTGTGTTGCGTTAAATTTTTTTTTTTTAAATTAAATTTTGTCTGTACCAATTACACTCGGTCCCCTTTGCCTGAAATTTTGTAAATATGGAGAAACATACTATACATGACGAACAAATGGTCAAGAAGTAATATTGAAATGTGAAAGCGAACATGAGTCATTACAGATAGAGTGGGACCCATGCATGCTCACCCTATGATTAACTTTGTTATGTACTGTACATGAAGTTCCATCGATTGCAGGTAAAGTTTGATATGAAATTGTAATTTTGCAGACTGACTTCATGCAAATTCAGAGATGTCGATATTTTGCAGACTGCAAATTGCAGTCTTTCCAACATTTCCAATAATTTTACATTCCTAATGGCCCATACATAACCCATCAATATGGGTCGAACGAACGACCCATTGCATTTTGTCCGGCGGGACTTTCAAAGCAATCAGTTGAACACGTGTGAGTCAACAAATTCCGTTCAACGGTCAACAACTAATAAATTTTCAACATTTTAATTTTAAGTGTATAATACACTGTATTCCAATTATTAGAATTTTCAAACATTTGGGACTACATTGTTATCGTCAGGAGCCAATAAAATGGAGGGGGAAGACGCAATGCTTCTTGAACAAAATTGTCGATACTACCCTTCATGTCGGAAGAGTATGTGGGACTCAAGTAGTTGTGGGTGTGCCACTGCAGAAAGTGATACCGAAACGGAATGGAGACAACATTCCATCTTGCCCTACATCGAAAATCAAAAGGTGAGCGAATATGTCGACTAATTCTCATCGGTTATCTGGGCGACATTTTGTAACGCTTTTACGTAAGTACATAATTGTATTTATCAGTACACTTTCGGAAGCATGTACACCTCGAGGGAGGAACAGGGCGAATTCATCTTTGTGCAGACCAAGAAAAATCCCGGAAATCTGGCCGAGATAACCTGTTCAAGTGGAAATTACTGGATCACACCGGGCGGGGTAAGTCTTACGAGATAATTGATTAGCTTTATTGCAAATTAATGGACTAATAACTCAATTTATCACTATTTTACTTGTTCTTTTATTATTTCAATGTATAGAAAAGAGTTGTTTTGATCAATGATGACCAGTTGAAGAAAAACTGTCGCACGAAACTCAACTATGGCGACAAGATTGCTTTACTCGGAAAAGTTCGACCGAGACGTGGACTTCATCCAACGATTAAGCACGAATCCCTTAATGGATTCTTCCTATTTAAAGTAAAGTTTTAATTTATTCGGTTTGGTTAATGATTATTGGACTAATTTCAAAATTATTAGGAATGTCGTCGTGCTATGGAACGACAAGAAGGGGAGGAACCGAGCATGCCAGATGACGAGGAAAAAGTTACCTTCACACCAGGACAAAATTACCTCGTGAGTCGGAAATTGGCCATAATTCTTAATGCATGCTTGATATATACCAACTAACATGTTTATAATTTTTGGCAGGTATTGTCCCACATTTTTTCTTACCTCCCGTTCAAAACTCTGAAGATCGCACGATTAGTATGCAGTCAATGGGACGAGGAAGCTACTCGGATTCTAAAGAAAAAATCCACCGTTGTCTTGGACTTTGATTGCCGACACAATTATCAACACCCAATGGGGTCGATGAGGTTGCTTCGATACGTTAAAGAAATGAAAAACCTCCATCCTAACAGTTTGTACTTGAGGCTGCCGCCTTTCCCACCAGCGCATCGTAACTTAGAAGGAGGAAAATTAGCCGTGAAACTGGTTGACGATCTGAACTGGTTTTTGCAACTGGATCGATCTCGTCACATCACACGGTTGAATTTGGGTGGACCAATCTTCTCAGGATTCGACTACAAAATCCATCTCGCCATTCTCAAGAAACTCCAAGCAACCCTTTGCGAACTAGAGTTAGCTTGGTATTTTGACTTCTGGGACGAATCTAGTGATGACTTCGCTTTTCTGACGGAGGACCTCCATCTTAACAAGCTCGAAGTATTCATCTTCTCCATTCATGCGGATCGCGTCCCTGCCAAAGTCCTCTTGGCCATCATGTCCTCCTGGGCGACAGCAATTCAAGGCATCAAAACCTTGAAACTTAATTGCCATTCTAACGACGAAAGGAACTTAATCAACTGCTTGCTAAAGTATGATAAGCCTCTTCCGAAATTGGAAGCTTTTATTGGCCAATCGACACGCCAAATTGTTCTTGACTTACTTTTGAAGTTGACTAATCCCTTGAAGACGTTGAAATTGAACAGGTTAGTATGTTTGGAACGACGAGAGAATTTCGCCAGTTTGGAAAATTTAATCCAGAAGCACGCCCGTACATTGGAAGAGTTTGAGTTCATTTATGACGTCGACCAGCAAAATCTCGAAGCTCTCCACCTACCCATTTTTCCCCGACTGAGAACCCTTTCTGTCGGATGGTGGAAACTTTCCGACCTGAAAATTTGTTTCCCCTCTGCACATGATAACGACGATGTCCTCGACTATGAGAGGCACCTTCCCAGACTTGACGCCCTCTCGCTATCCATGTTCCCATCTATCCATCCAATCACTGCTTCATGGGCAGATCAACGAAGCAAACTGGAGATTTTTTTCCCCACACGTGACCGAAATGGGGAGCCTATTGAGACGAGATGTGTCACCTTGAGGAAACTTGATTCACGTGTCTCCCTCCCGTTTGCACGACGTGCTTGGTCGCAAATCGAGTTTCCTGCCGACCTCCCAATCAGCGATATGTTCCCAAACGTGTGGAATGATTGGATGACGAGGCGAAGGACCGAGGAGTCATCCCCACCATCAACAAAGGAATCATTACCAGTGGCGATATGAAGGTCAACTGTAAACCAGTACAGTGACAATACATCAGAAGAGTCACCCAATTAAAAATGACGAATTTCAATTTACTTGTATACTCCGGATAGGTACGGTTTGTTTTTAGGTTTAGTCTTTGGTGTTTTTATTTTAAAAATTTGTGCCTTAAACTTTTTTCTGGCATTCGTAAATCCCTTTTGCCAAGTCCTTGCGTGCGAAATCTTATCAGAAATATGTAAATAAATAATCGCAAATGTCCAAAATTTTGTATGCAAGCATTTATTTCGCATCAAATCAGCAATTCATAGTGACTTGTTGTTGTCTCTTCAATCGTAGTAGAAGTTTTTGACTCATTCTCACCTTGCCTCATCATCCATCATGGACCATGATTCATGGTGCATTAGTTTTGCCTTTGCTCATTCTCATTCTCATCTTGCCTCATCTGCATTTGCACCCATCACCCCAAATCTCATCTCACCTTCGGTTTCGTCTTGTCTTTAGCGATAGAATTTTTTTTTGTAAATTACATCTTTCCAAATTTTCTCATTTTCAATTTTTTTTATAATTAAATTAGACTACCTAAATTTTAAAGCATAAGAAAAATATACAGGGTACAAATACCGCAAAAACTAGTCTGAGATTTAGTAAAAAAAAAATGAAAGCAATGGGATTTTCCGAACTAAAGTATAGGAGTTAGAAAATCATTTAACTGTAGAATTTGTTATTGACCATGACGAGAGTAAGACGCTCAGTACGTTAAATTGGTAAGAAATGGTCTCGAAACAGTACATGAATATTTCCTGGAACGTAGCCGAAACTTTAAATACTTTAATTTACTCCACGTGTCGTCACTCCTCGAGATTATTATTATTATGCATGTCATTTATTTATGTACTTTCAGAGCCTCATTTTATGTCAAGAAGTAAAATTCCACCATTTATATGACCCATATATTTACTACTCCTTAACTAACTTTTATGTCTGGCAATCAAATTTCACTCGAGTTTAATTCTCTTTCATTTCTTCACATCTTTATTGCTGTTCCGATAATTAATTGTCAACACGAAAGAAAAAAACACGTTCATTAAATTTTACTCGCAGGTACAGTACAATAACGGAATCGTTACACATAAATATTATTTTTAGTTCTTTCGCATGTAATTAATTAATTTTATCACTGTTTGAGTTTGAATTATTAACTAGATGGCTGGTAAAGAAGGAAATGATTTTATCCGCGGCAGTGCCAGGATTTACGAGTCCTCCTTCCACCTGGTGGATTAGCTGGTCAGTCTTACTCTTAAGGTCCAAGTCTTCCATGATGAATTGTTGGAGACCGTCTTGAACGTGGGTCCAGGTCCAAATGACGCGTTGGTGGGCTCGTTTAGAGGCAAATGTTTCTTCCGTAGCTTTCTGGTAGTTGAGAATTTCTTGCCAGAATTCGTCAAACCCTTCGGAAGTTTTGGCCGAGACGCCGAGAACCTGTGGGAAAACGGGGGCGTTAATTTGTGAAGGTGGCGTTGGTGGTCAAATTTCATATGTAAATAAATACCTTCGTCTTCCAGTTAGGGTTGCTTGGACGCATAAATTTGAGAGAGGATTGATACTCGTATTGAGTCCGATGAGCCGCGTTTTTAAGGTCACCATCACATTTAGTAACTAAAAGGATATCGGCTCGTTCTACAATTCCTCGCTTAACGCCTTGTAGTTCATCCCCACCGCCGGGTGGAATTAACACGACGAATATGTCCACCATGTTGGAAACGGCGTATTCTGACTGACCCACACCTACACAATATGTGACATACACATTTTTTATCTTGTGACATTTTAGAGATTTATTAAGCATTATTATTACTGACTGACCAACTGTTTCCACAATGATTACATCATATCCTGCATATTCGCACACCAAGATGACTTCATTCGTAGACCGGGTAACTCCGCCCAAATGTCCTCGTGCGGGAGAGGGTCGAATGTAAGCGTTCATGTCTCGAGTCAGTTCCGGCATGCGAGTCTTATCTCCAAGAAGGGATCCCCCCGTCGTGGCGGAGGAAGGGTCGACAGCCAGCACGGCAACTTTCTTCCCCATTTTGGTGAGAGATTTGCCGAAAATTTCGATAAAGGTGGATTTCCCAGCGCCGGGGGGTCCTGAAAGCCCTAAAATATAGATAGAAACGATTACTAAAATTCAATTTCTAAAAAAATCAACTCAAATTTATGAAATCCTACCAATTCTTAAACTCTTTGTCTCTCCCTTTTTCGAATTTTCTATCAAAATCGCCTCCAACATCTCCTTCGCCATAAGTTTCTTGCCCGCATGGGTAGTTTCCACCAACGTAATCGCCTCTGCCAGTGACCCTCTATCGCCACCTTGAACCCGACCAAGTAACCGTTTCAACCGTCCTTCATTTTGACCTTTGACATCCTCCCTTCTCATAAATTTTTGACTGCAATAACATTTGGCACAATTAGTTATAAGCCTCCCTTGTCCCACCTGGAATTCCAATCATAAATATTGTCGGTTGCATAAGAAGAAGTTATTATCGTGCGTTGCGTAACGCAAATATGTAAGTAAAAAATTGCACTTTACTAAACTAAACTTTGACCAGTCAGCCTTATCATCAGTTATCACATTTAATTGGTAAAACAACAAGACCACCACCAATTTATTTATACAGACAGGTCACTCAACAAAACTACTAGACTTATCATCATCGTGTAAACTCTTCTCGATAATGACAACGATAACAACTTTGCAAATAACAAATCAAATCGACATATTTTCATCGTTACATTACACACCAGCCAAACCACATAGTTTTACCAAATTAAATAACAAATACCACGAAAATATGGCACACTGACCTGACAATGGAGCTTATTATTCGCCAGTGGGGACCGCAACCTCCAAAAATTGACCACCACATGAGCAGCCCTCATTTTTTTCGACCAAAACTAAAACACGTCTCTCTCCCCTCAATTTTTGCCTTTTTTCAACTTTTTATTACTATTTTTTTTTGTTTCTGGGGAATATTTCAAGAAAAACAATATTATTAAACCGACCGGTATTTATATTTGCCGTGGGCAAAAATAAGCAAAAATCAGTTGGATCCTCACAACAAGTGAGAAACCATGCCAGCTGAGACACCTTTAGTCGATAATAAATTCGTCCATGAAAACGATTCATGCAAGTCGTCGTTTCATCGTCACATTGTGAAGATTATCAGTAAAACCAGAATTACATAAAGCATCATCATCATTATTATTACAATAAGATAACAGCTTAACTAACTTAATGATAATTACTTAAATAATCGCCCATCACGTCTCGTCTCTTCCTCCCCCTTCGAAATATTCCGAGTACAAACAAGATAAGATACATCTTCTAGATAAGCAGATATCTCAATTTTTCCCAAATAAATGAATGCCCCCTCCTCCTCAAGTATGATATAACTCAACGTTGTGTAATTTCAAGTAGTAATCCTACCCAGTCCGTATAAAAAGTCGCATCATCATTATTTTATGAGCTACAAGATCCTCTTATTCTGCTGCTTGCTACAATCTTCTTATTTCGTATGGTCGACAAGCTGGAGAGGAATGATACGATCATCATCATCATGTCGTCGGCGTCGTCGGCGTCGTCGTCGTTGGGGGCTCGCTTGCCATCCAATTCGAGCAGGTGGCTTTCCAACCAATGTCGGAATTGTCCGGAGCTTTAGAGGCCAGGCCACAAAACAAAAGTAAAGTTGTGTCTGTGCTTAAATATTTTTCTTCTTGGATATTTTTCTCGATTAATGATGTATAATAATATCAGCAGCATCATCACATAACAGAACACGCACTTCCTTGACACATATATGTAATGTACGTAATATGTAACGGGATGGAATGGGATCATCAAAAATATGTAGGCACCTACGCACTCGCATTAATCAAAATGTTGACAAAGTAACTTAGTTTCATAATTTTCTCGAAAAAAGAAAAAAACATAACATTCGGAAATGTTTTCTTCTTCAGAAAAGGTTAAAGGTTGGGGTGCATTATGTATGTAAAGAGTCCACCAAAACACAATATCCTATCCAACCCACGCACAATATGCTGAGATTTCGAGAAGAAAGAAAGCAAGAAGCTATACATATGCAGGCCATTTCTTGATGATGATGACGGCATATAGCTGGCTGGATGCAGTGGCCGCGGAATGGACAATGTCCCCAGGGTTATTCGATGTGGGCATCATCTTATATAAACCCGGCCCTCCCCTGTTAATGTCCCCCCGGCTTCTTCCGCGGCCACTGGCTGGATGACACAAATGTAGAGCTAGTAACTGCAATATGCAATGTAATATGTAACAAGTAAACCAACCAAACTGGGGGAGATACGCATGGGAGATGCGAAGAGTTGCTTAATATAGAATCTCACACACACATAGTGCGTATGCAATGCATTCAGAATCTGGTACGGGATGGATATGTATATGCAATGCAACAATAAAATGGTTGGTGAGACATCGCAGGATAGGAAAAGGGTAGAGTGGGTGGGTCAATCTCAAATGAAACTCTGGGGCGCATGTTGTAGGCCAAGGAAATCAAGATGGATGTAGCTTTGGGGGGATTTGTGAGGCAAAAAGTGCGTAGCTACGCACAATTTGGTGCGTCAAGGGGAAAAGTGAAGTTCGAAGAGGTGAGGGGTTCAGTTTTTGGGGTAAAGTTCGACAAATTATGGACTATTTCGACCCAAATTGAGCCGAATAAGTAAGTATTGAATGTACATAAGTACATACAAAATTTTCCTATCTTTGGGGGGATTTGTAACCCAAAAAGTGCGTAGCTACGCACAATTAAGTCGAAAAGTGAAGTTAGAAGAATTCGGAGTTCCACTTTTTGGAGCAAATTTTCCCAAATTATGGGCTATTTCGACCCAGCAAGTAAGCATTTATTTCTGGAATTTACGTACATATATGTATAATTTGTCGCTTATTATTCCTTGACATTTATCCTGTTGGAATTAGAACTACCAAAAATAGGCCGCGGCCGCCTCTCTATTTTCCACATTCCATCCATGCAATACAGCTCAGTTTCTCTTTGAGGGATAATTTTCCGCTGGAAATTCAATAAATTCGCCTTCATGAATAGAGAGACGATTGTGAAAACTCTGGTAAAATTCGGATCTATTGAAATCCTTGGAATTACCTGCCTCGTGGAGCTGCTGGCTGGCTGGCTGGGTGAAAGTACTACAGTACACAGAATCAAAAGAAAGTTTATAACATTTTGCCCTTTTCAAAAGCATCATCATCATCATTACCACTGCTTTTAGCCTTAGAAATAAATGGCCATGATTCTGAAATCCTGAGCATTCAATCGAATTTAGCCCATTCGTGTCGAGGCCATCCGATAGAATTTAATTAAGCCGCATACATACATACTATTGCTTCTTCCCTCCTTCTACCCAGAATAGCTCCCAATTTGTCACTCAATAAATCACCCGGCACATAACCTTGTTAAAAACTTGAAAAAGAAAAAGTTCCGAAACCCATTAACTTTTCAAAAGGAGGAAGAAAACTAAATTTTCTACTTTCTCCTTTACTCAGTCAAATTCCGACCTAATTTCACTCAAACTTATGGAACAGGAAGTGATGGATGAAACCTATTATAGACTATTTTTCCACCTAACTACACATACATACATGCATAATGGATCCCATAAAGAAATTAGATTCTCGTCAAATTTTTCTCCAAAAAAGAAATCTTCTCTTTCAATTTCCTTATCACAATCAGGAAAAAAACCCTTTGTTTCGAACAAAGTTAAAGTTCCAATCAATTACTTTGGTCGAAAAAATGAGGCATTTTTTTTTCTTCTCGAATCTCATCTCATCTAATTTCATCTGCAACTGACATGAATCTCCCCTCTTACGCCTTTTGTAGCATGGATACTGGCAGTTTCGTTCGTCTAAAAAACCATCGTAAGCATTTAAGCCAAGCAGAGAGTGACTCCTTTCTATGACCGAGAGAGACTCCTCTGTTATGTTGATAGAAAAATATTCGTATGTACAAAGTAAAAAGTAAAAAGAGTCGACTGAATTAGCCAATTTTTCATAGTCTTTGAAAGAGCTTTCAACCTCCAGATAACCTCGACTGACCCACCCACCCACGGCCAAAGGAAGTTGCCATTTTCCAAATCAAATAACCACCCCCTTCGGATTTATTTAGGGAGAATTTTACCAGAAAAGTGCGTAAGTGAAGCAAAATATACACAAAAGTAGAGTGAGTGAGTGTCCTCTCCGCTGGGTGCGTAAGTTGCGTGATATTCTCGCTCTAGCTCTACTTTTTCTTCTTCTTCCATCTAATTAATATGACCTCTCGGTTGACCTCTCGTGACCTCAAAGGCTTCCAGTACCCCCTTCATCCCCACCCCCACCTTGTGTTAGCCATACATACGTGAGAAGTGAGAAGTGACTTGATAAACATGCAAGAAAACAGTGTTCGTGGTGGTTCAAAAAAAATTTGAACTTTTTTTCTTTCAAAATGTGGACGCCGAGGCTTCCCACTTTTAGTGAAATTTCTTCACTTTTCTTCTAAAGTGTGTAGTTTAGCATACATTTTCTTCGTTATAGTGATAACAAACATGCAAGAAAACAGTGTTCGTGGTGGTTCAAAATTTTGAATTTTTTCTTTCAAAATGTGGGGGCTTCCCATTTTTAATGGATCTTCTTCACTTTTTTTCTAAAGTGTGTAGATTTTAGTAAGCACTTTCTTCGTCTTGTTCTCTAATAAATGTGACGCGAGTAAGTACCAGTGCAAAGTGGTGGTGAAGATGTTCCCACTCGGCTGAGAAATACTTGGCGGACATTATTCCAATGATATCTTCATCTTTAAGTGGTTTAGAATAAATACGTCTTTTTTCCCAAAGAAAATAACCAGAAATACGTGAAAAGGAAATTCGTGTCGCGTTTTTTTTCTAAATATTTACGACTCCACTTTTACACCCCAATTTTAAAACCACCAAACCAAGGTTTTCAGAAAAATAAATCAAGTCTCGATTCGCAATTTGCTTTTCTTGAGAAAGAATCCGTATTGTCTTTAGATTTCCACCAATATAAATACGTGCTTAATAATAATAACGTTTTTTATTGCGAATATCGAACCGACGACGGAATCTTCGAGACCCGAGAGAGAGAGACCATGCAGACCTTGAAGAAATTTTATCTGCCCTCGTAAAAACTTCATACGCTCATTTTACAACGCATCATCGACTTAATAATACTTACATGCATACGTAAATACCTACCGTCGTGGCTGCTGTTTTATATGTGTTCAGAATAATAAAACATAAAATTCGTCTTCTTCATCTTCATCTTAAAAACTTTGAGAGAAAGACTGTCACCTAATTTAATTACCTATATGATAAGAAACGTAACGCAAAATCTCGTGCCTGTGCCATACCACATACAGATTTAAGTAAGTTCTCGAACACTTCCAAGTGGTGTAAAAAGTAAAAAAATAAAATAAAATACGAAAAAAACTATACCCTCGACATGACCGTGACATTACAAAAGAAAAAACTGTGTAAAAAATAAGTGTCGTTAAAAATTTGGCAGGACTATTTATTCCAGAATAATAATACCACCCAGACCGAATTAATGTGACTAATTTGACCCATAAAATGCTCCGCAACGTTAATCTTTTTCTTCCCAAGTAATAGTACGAATATACTAAAATAATGAGCATGTTGTTATGCTTCTTCTCCTGTGTCATAATAATAACTGGCTAAATTGCCACCATGCACCATGGATGACGACACGGTAATAATAAAAGCGGAGACGACGCTAGACACGAAAAAGGGGGTGAAGCAGGAGGAAAGTAATGTCGTCGTGGTGAAAAAAGAAGAAAATGTGAAGGAGGAAAGCAATGTCGTCAAGGAGGAGGAGTTATTCACCGAGGGCGAAGACGACGACGGTGGTGGGGACGTGGACGAAGAGGACGAAATCGGCCCCACCACCACCGATTCAGTGTCCGGATCGTCCGACGACAATCCAGAATCGTGCAGCCTGGACGCCCTCGCCGTCCAGTCGTCGTCATCTCTCCCCCCGAGGTAGGCACACTTAGACGGTTATATAACTACCCTACCCGGGTACACAAATAACGTATGTAACTAACTTGGGCCCATTATTATTAGACGGAATTGGGTACGAAATGGTTTGACGAGGGCAATTATTAGACATTATTTATCATTATGCAACAAAACAACCCTTGCCGGAATAATATGGCGATGCACGCCATCCGCTACCCGAAATAAAACGAAACTCAAGGTCGTGGTAGGTATAGGGAAAGGAAAATCTATGTACAGGGACGGCGGAGAGGACGGAGGGACAATGTCCCCAGGGTTGTCCCCATCTTATACAAACCCCAGGGTCGTCCCTCCCCCCTAATCCTACAAGGTTAATGTCCCCCACACCTTCCGCGGCGGCCACTGTGTATGTACGTACGTACTTAAAATGTCGATCGTTGATTCCTGCACCATTTTGTTCTTCACCTTACCTTCTTTTTTCTTAAGAAAAGTGCAAAGTACAAGACCACGACGAAAAGGTAACAAACAATGATATGTACATACATATGTATATACAACCAACTGGCTTCTTCATCCCCTACGGCCATGAATTCCTATATACCTTGGTAGGAATAGTATCGGCTCGTAAAAAAAATGGCACATTGTAAATGTTGGATTAGGTTAGTTATGTTTTTTTCACATGGACGGTTTGGTCATGGCGATGTATTGTGTGACCCAGGGAAGGTTACGTATGTACGTACGTCTTGTTACTCAATCTTTATATTACGAGATACGAATCTACCTGTGCTTTGCTACCTGTGCCGTCCGTGCATGCATGCAAGCAAGGGTTGTCAAGAGATATTATTACATTAATTGGAGTAGAACTTTGCATGTTATCCCAATTGTCAGGGCCTTTCCTATATTAATATCTCAATATTTCTGCGGTGAGTGAGAAATAGTTCTCACAATTAACCCACACCTAACCACCACCTTTATTTCGTGGTATGGAGCCAGGCTTAATAAGCAAGGATGTATGTATGTACATATATTTCGTACATACATAACAACCCTTTGCCTATCTTATTCTGGGCAACAACGGCTTGGAAACACTTTTTTTTCTTCTCGAGCTATGTATGATAAATGTATGTGTACGTTGTGGCGAATGAGATTTTTATATAATTTTTGCCATCCACGGCTTCTCGCAAAGGAGAAGAAGAAGTAGCAGAAGTCCGTCCTCTGCCACATTACGTACCGCACTACTCTCATACTGCTGCTTCGATTACATAAGTGCAGCTTGAGAAGAGAATCAAGTAAAGATTTATATAAAGAGTTTGGCTACTTGCTTTGCTACGTATGTACGTTTGTAGCAGGCGGAGCAATTCTGGGGGGTTTGCACATATCTCAAAATTTGCCATATTTTGCCACCACCTGACAAAGCAGGACAGGTAGGTTGGCGACGTTGCACATTTTTGCAACCTGCTTATACAACAAGTCGTATAGCCAGCCCAGAGAAGGCTTAGGTATTCGCGAGTGAGCAACGATGCCAGCTTGCTATTCGCGAATTTCGCGAGTCTTCTCCCCTCATGAAGTTTGCCAACGCAGGAGATAAGTATCGGGTTTTTGCTAACTCGCCTCGACTTGGTTTTCGCAGTTACGAGTTGACCTTCGTCCTGTGTTGAAGGAGGTCCGCTTCACTCATCAGGAAAATTCTCAAACCATAAATAAATATTATGCTCACTTTCCTACCACTGATTTGGTGGAAAATTTACAAGTTATTAGAAGAGAAAGAATTGAAAGAAAATGGTCACTTTTTTCGGAAGGGGGATTTTAATCTTCTTCTTCTTCTGAAAACAACGCAATTCTGCGACGAAACCGTGGAGGATGAGACCGTAAAAAAGAATCTGGGCGATTTGTCGTCATTTCTTAGTGCTACTACACAAAACCAAATACGCTCCTCTTGTCTGAAGATTTTAATGTAATAACTTTGCTAAAAAAAATACTGTCCTGTGGTCACGGTAGTTCCAGTTTTTGTGGTTTTTGGTGCTACTCTGAATAGTTACGTATATACATACATACTTGGATATTACAGTTTTTAAGTAATTTAGTCACTTCTTTTTAAGCGTTGCTGTGTTTACATCGTATCAAGTAATGGACTGGACACCTGATAAGTACGTAGGGTAGAAGTAATACGTAACAAGAAAAATACCAAAAAATCAAAATCACCCAGTTATTACATAAATCCTGATCTATACTTTCTTTAGAGGTGCTATATACCTTTTTCACGAGTCATCACATATAAACACTAAAATAATAATGTTTAGCAGCAGCATGTCACCCTCATATATTTGTGAACTATAACTGAACTGAGAGCTAAAATACATACACTGAAAAAAAAATAATTGTGATCATGGAGTTGGAACAACAGTTTTACCTGGATTTCCCTTACAATGCGGAATTCGACCATCTGCCTCCGAGGTAATAAAAATAAAATATAAAGTAATAGATTCATATTATGAGGATCATATCTGCACATATATCTTGTCATCTGTCACACTTCATCACGGAGGCTGCTGTTCCAATTTACATGTTTAAAGTATGCATACCACTTTCTTCTTCACGAATCAATCAAAAAATCCGAATCTTCATTCCATCCCTCTGATTAGTTTCGTCGATCATTTTTTTTTAATTGACGAGTGCAACGTCTCACTCACTCGTTGACCATCCATCCATCCATAAAATGCACATAAGACAAGTCGTCGTCGACTATGATGATGACGACGACGACGCTGTATGGCAGAGAGACAATAAAAGTTGTGGTGGTGATGGTGGTGTGGTGGTGTTGCATCCATCGCTGCATTTTTATCCATTTGTTTGATGCGCAACAACAAGAAGAAGAAGAAGAGTATATTTAAGTAGTTTCACTCACCGAAGATCTTCTCTGATAACATGAAAGGAAAAGTATAGGCATACACGAGAGAGAGAGAGAGGAGCGAAAATACACACATTTTTTCCACGGGGGGCTTCCAAGAGATTTAATTTTATGTCGTTGTTTGTCTACTCGTCGTGGTTTGGTTAAGACGACGCGAAGAAATCCATCTAACCGTCTATGTCTTTTAGTCATCGGGACGATGAGAATGGTCAGGGACAAGCCTGGCCTGGCCTGACTTCTCAATCCATCCACGATATAGCAGAACATAATGGCAACAACATTTATTCACCAAGCTGGGAGAGAGAATTAAGGAGAAGTAGAAGAAGGAAGAAAATGTTGAATAGTTCTTCACGGTTTTGTTCATGCTATCAGCTCAACAGAATGTCATGCAATCTGCGGTATTATACCAAGTTTTACATAGCTACCCAACATTCTTACCTCGGCTTCATGCACAAACAGCATTATCATCTTACTGTAGTGCATGTATTTCTGTAAACCAGCCCTGACCTAGGATGTTGTCTTATCTCTTGGATGCATATGCAGTATGTGTGTACCCAAGTGTAATTATATTGCATTACACTACACCGACTTAGATACTTATTTAGCATTCAGGACGAGGGAGTCTTCTTCTTCTTCTTCATTATTATCTTCGTGATGATGATGATGATGATGCCGATCGGCATGGATGACGTTGGCAATAATATCTAAGACGCTCGAAATTCTGTTGCCTCCTCCTCCTCCACGTTCCGCGTACGAGAATCATTTCATCCCGTAGAAACAATCCATAAATATGTACGTATAACCTATTATATTATTATTATTTTGTTACGTATACATAAATACGTTGAAAATAATAATTTGGTTGGTTCGTGAAAAGTTCGTTTCGCATGTTTTGGGAGGCGGAATTTGCACAGGTATTACATGCGAGCGTATATATGCAGCAGGTATATACAATTGAATTGCATGCCATCCTTTTTTTATGATTCGCCTTGATATTGGGTCGTAGAGCTCTGCATAATAAAAGCCAGGTCTGTGTTAATACTACTACCTGTGTGCACATGCATATGTACATATGCACATACCTGCTTGGTTGGTCGGTATGTATGTACACTTGTACATAAGTAAAGTAAGTGGTACATATAATAAGACGACCACTTTGGCTGGATTCGGTTGGACGCTTAAATTCAAGTCAAATAACAATCCACCTGAAAGTGAACTCTGTTTTTCTTCGTTCTCATCATATCATGTAATGCTCTTCGTTTTCGTCGTCGTGGGTAAAATTGTTACGCAAGTAAGTGGTGGATGGATGTATAGTTTTTGTATGAAAGCTTTATAATCTCAAGCTTTATTATCCTTGCATGCATACCAGATTCACACACACACTGTACGTACGTACTTCACTCTTCTCCTACCTCAACCGGTTTGGTTCTCGGCGAGGAGAAAAAAAACGAGAAAAAGTATTTATTCAACAAACATGAACTGGAACAACCTGGTTTGTTGGTTTGGTTGGGTTAGGTTTTATCTATTTATCAGGTGGGGAATATATGCATGAATTGCATATATACGCGGATTTTTAATTAAGACCAGTCTCGTCTCTCCATAGGTTAAGGTACAGCTTATAAAGTTTAATTAAGTAGGTGACACAGGACGGAGCGGCATATTTCAGAGTCGGAAAAGTGGTATCATATCATTGCATGATGATGATGATGACGATCAGTGGCCGCGGAACGGTGTGAGGACAGAGGGACAATGCCCCGATGATCCGTATCATCTCCCCATCTTATATAACCGGCCCTCCCCCGTTAATGTCCCCACTCCTTCCGCGTCCCCTGGTCAAGGTAGATATTTATTCTCGGGGAAAACTGAAACTTTTGAAAAATCTACCTGTTCTATTCTGCTAATAATGTGGGGAAAACTGGCCAATAAAATAAAGCCATTTCTTCCCCCTGTTACTCCTCTTTCCCAGCAGAAGAGTCGTCGAACAAGGGGAATTTGCTCGTTGTTGGCCATTATTGATTATTAGGCTCTCTCTCTCTCTCTCTCTCTCTCCTATTACATAAACACACTCAACTCTCCTCAGTCTTCTTCATAGTTTCCAGTAGTTTCCAAACCATTGGATTCGCAAACTCGGCTCTTTCATCATCCACGGGACATACATATCAAAAACGCAAACCAACCAACCAACAAACCATGCAATAAATAGTCGACCCACCAACGAACCAACACCGCAAAATAAAGCTCTATATATACACATATATTCCAGTACTACTGCTCTTTTTACTTTTTGACATGCACACACACACACACAATATACACTTACACAATTTTGGCACGAAGGAGCCGTGTACATATTCGTACTGAACTGATATAAATTGCAACACCAACCAAGCCAGCCACACCACCGCACATCGAGTAAAAGTCAATATGCACGATTGGATTTAATTTTTAAAATGCCCATGAAATGTAATCAAGGTGACCCACTTCTGGCTGGACTGGACTGTGTGAGTTACCTTTTTCAAACTCTGACCTTCCACATTTTGTATGTACGCTCAGCTCATCGACACATTTCTACTGTCCAGTCCAGTCCTGTCCTAATAATTACTGTTATTAATTAATAATGGATGCGTCGTCACGACATAACAACTTTTCTTTTCCAAGAAATTCGGTGGAGAGAAAAAAAAAGCGCAAAATATCAAAATATCATACGTAATCATCATCCTCTCCTCTCTTGTAAGCCAGCCATCCATCCATCCCTTTTTGCCCGGTGGCGTTCTTCTCTCTAAAGCCTTAAAAGAGTTTTATCCTAAATAAACCCTTCAGTATTCAAAGTCGGATTAAATAACCAAACCAAACCACCACCACCACCACGACTGCCACGACCATGACCACCTACTTACTTTGTCCTGCATGAGATGGGTGCATACTATAAATTATAACATTTCTATATGAATTATAATACCCACTTGTACACATATTTGGATCATATCATATCATTCTGCCGATGAGAGAGTGTTCATGAAGTGGAGTTTTGCGGTAGATTTTGGAGCATCATCATCATCATCATGTTGAAATTCTCGATACGAACCAAAAGCTACAATCCATCCATTCCATTCCATTCCACTTTCCTTTCCTTCTGGAGCTGGTGGAGCTACTGGAAACTGCAGAATTGTGTATGACGTCAGGTGAAAGTTTGGGGAAAGGATGGATGAAGGAGAAAACTCGAGCACCGGGCAGCAGAATCAGCATCATCATCGTCATCATCATCATCATCATTTCTAAAAAGCTCTGTGGGTGGATTAAAAGAAAATTCAAAAATAATTAAAGCAGATAAAAAGTCCAAAAATGAACTTTGACTCGGAATATAAATTTTCTTTTTTACGTAACCAACAGATTTTGCCCACCAGGCAGGCTTTCTCTTTTTCTCCATTTATGTATGTATTACATGGCATAACGGCAAGACAGGTGGTGGTGGTGGTGGTGGTTCTGGTGGTGCTTATCATCATTAAATAAGTTTCAACCATTTTTTTTGTTATGGGCAAATTTAATTCAGTCCGGAATTTCAAAAGGGTTTAGAGAGTTGTTGAAAGGAGAGGAATTATTAACTCGTAAATATAGCATCCTTTCTCTCTTTCCACCTTATTACATTAATGTTATGCCGTTGTGAGAGGGGAAAATTGTGGAAATAATTCCTTTCTTCCTGGTGTTTTCGGGACAAATGTGCCAAATTAAAGGATCAATCTGTAATGACAGGGTGGAGGAAAAACGTTATCATTTCTTAACCAATTTCGCTCGTACCCGGTCCGAAATGAAATGAAATGAAATGAAAGCGAGCAAATCAACGAATCCAATTTTATTTATGTTTTCACAGCATAGAGGAGCACACAATCTAGGCAATTTGCAAAACGGTCCCTCATTATATAAGCAAGCACCCCACTAACATCCTTGCTCCCTAATTTAGTCGTTTATTCATCCCGAGCAGTTACATTTAGACTTTTGGTTGGTGGTTTGGTTGTTATGTTTTTGTGGGTGCTGTCAATTTCAAATCGTGTAATTTCTTAACCACCACCACCACCACTGCTGTATTTCGGAGTAATTTACTAAATTGGTTTCTTCTTCGGGGTATTAATATTCCATACTTTTCTGGGGTTTTCTTATACCCTGGGTCGTTACGTAGATAGATATTCCGTATGTATGTACATACGTACGTATATATTCCAGTAAAAAAAACCCTAATCTACACGATATCGTTGTCACCTCTTGTTAACGACTTTATGACCCTTTAGTATTTTACGTGACAAATTTACCCCTTGATAAACTACTAAAAAACCCTTCGTTACTTGTACATGACCAGTGGCCACGGAAGCGTGGGTGGGGATAGAGGGACAATGTCCCCACGGTTGTTCGATGTTCGCATCGTCTGCCCATCTTATATAACTTTATGACCCTTTAGGTTTTTACGTGACAAATTGTCCCCTTACATTAAAAAACCCTTCATTACTTGGACATACGTATTACGACAATTGGCCTCGGAGGCGTTAGGACCGAGGGACAATGTCCCCACGCTTGTTCGATGTCGGCATCATCTCCCCATCTTATATAAACCCGGCCCTCAATGTTAATGTCCCCTCGACTTCCGTGACTACGACCGAGTTCAGAAAACCCAGCCTGGACTGGAGAAAGTATCTCCTCGCCCACGGACACCATGCATATTCCATCCACCTCCTTTTAAAATTGAGTATTTAAAGCGATGCTGCTTTGCTTCCTACCAAACTAAACTGTAATCTTATTTGACAAACAACAAACTTATTACATCCCACGTGTATCCCCGTCCAGAGGTCAATTCACCAAGGAAGAAAGGTGGACGTAGATGTGGACGCGGACGTGACTCTCCTCTCCTCTCCTCTCGGTTGTCGGTTGACAACGACAAAAAATTCATGTCTCTGTCTGCGTCAAAATGGAATTTCACAAAGTATAAAATCAACTCGTATTGTTATCCCAAATAGCAAATTCAGACTTTCATTTCATTTCATTCAACTTTCCACGGGGTGCAATTTTTTCTTATTTACGTCTCCATCCATCCCCCATCCCATTTTGCACTTTATTATGAAATTCTAATGCACCTAGAGTTGTCTGCCGTTTAAAAAAATCTCGTCTCTTCAGACAGCTTTTCTTCTCGTGAAGAGAATCAGGATTTGTTTTGGACGACGTATCTACGTACCTTAATCCACAACATGTGCAGTGCAGCATCTTTTCCTTTTGTGTTAATAAACAAATGGGTGCAAAGGTCGAGGTGGTAATAAGTACCTCACTTCAACAGTAATAATAACTGTAGCCTGTAGGCTGCACATACCTTACACCCTCGTTAATTTATCTAATTAGATAACGAATTGCATGGATAACCTTGAACGAAATGTTGTTGTAAAACTAAAAACACAATTAAACAAGCAACAAAAGAAGGCATTTGTTCCTAATTGTAGTTTACTTCCATTGCATGTTCCTTCATTTTTCAGAGTGGTAGGTATTTACGTAAGAATTATGTATGTACGTATTGTGTGGTGTACGGGGTAGGCAGATTTTTATCAGCATTGTTGCAAAATATTGGCACACACACACAAATGTACCTCAGTCCAGTCCGTCCAGTCTGAGGAGAGGAGACGAGTTGATTGAGTGAGAAAGAACAAGAACAAGAAGCCGATGAAACTACTACCCAATCACGGCAAGATATGAGATATGATACCGCACTATTAAGTACAAATACTTACTTATACACTGTGTATTTACCCAATTAAAGTAGTACCAGCAAAGACTTAATATTTTTCGTCCAGAAACAGCAGTGGCCGCGGAAGAAGCCGTGTGGGGACATTGACATTGTAGGGACAGGTTTATATAAGATGAGGGGATGATGAATATCCATAAGGACATTGTCCCTCTGTCCTGTTCCGCGGCCACTGTCCAGCATACGAACGATAACATCACTCACTCTCTCTCTCTCAGCGTAGAAAATACGCAGCCAATCTGAATCGACTTTGGCAAAAAAAAGACAATAAAATTAAAGTGATCACTCATCAAGCAAGTGATTCAACGACTCCTTCTGCACGCCGTGGGGTTGTTTGTATATGCTCATTCATATTGTGTACATGGGAGTAAAATGGTCCGAGAAGAATGTGGTGGGGTGGTTGGTAGCACATCTGCCACAAAGAAGAATAATTTCATGCAGCAATGCAGTTTTATACTTATTGCATTTTAGATATTTATCGTCTCAATTTTTTTTCAGCTCAAGCCGACTGATGCGGAATTTGGCCGAAAAGATGAGAAGGGACAAGCTCAATATGTACATCTCTGGTGAGTGCACAATAATTAAGGTTTATGCAAAATTTCTAATTGTGCAAAAAAATTGGCATGATAGACACTTGTGCTCCTCGCCCTGAAAACTAATTTTCCCCCTTTATTCCAGAACTATCGTCTTTAGTGCCAATTGTGGCAATGGCCACAAAACGGATGGACAAAACTTCTGTGCTTCGACTCTCGGCGAACTTTTTGCGAATTCACCTCAGTACGTGAAAAAAAAGAAGAAATAAATTTGTTGTTTTCATCCACCTGGAAAGTTGTATAATGCAAATTCTCTTTTGTCCCTGCAGGCTTAAAACAGAGCAAAAAAGAGAAGCCCAAACTAGCACCTGAAGGACTCGAGTCAAACTTGTCCACCACCCTTTTGGAGGCCATCGAAGGCTTCATGCTTATCGTCACCTCGTTAGGAAAAGTAGTTTATATTTCCGACACTGTGGAAAAATTACTCGGACACTCTCAGCTCGACTTGATGGGCCAGTCACTGTATACGATCTGCCACAATGGGGATCACGAGCTTTTACGGCATCATTTGCAACCGTCCAGTCCGTTTGAAGCGAAAGGTGGGTTCGTCGATTAAAATTATGATAATTTACTTTTCAAAAAAATGTAATTCAAATTTTGAAATGAATTACCCAGAACCTGAACGAGATGCGAGTGAATCGGCCGATTATGTTCCTCGATCACCGTCATTTTTTGGAGGTCGACCTGAAGACACGTTGACAGGTTTGGCCTCCGGAGAGCGGAGATCCTTTTATGTCCGACTAGCGGAAAGATCCATGGCCAGGGGGGACCCTGCTCGCCATGTCACCGTTCATCTAATCGGTTACCTGAGACCACCAAATAACAAGAAGGATGCAGCTAAAATTGCTAAAGCCAAAAAAGGTACATGGGTTCTTTTTTTAGACATGCAAATTTTCTGCAGACATTTTTATCCACAATTTTATGACTTTTTCTCAGAGTGCTCATCGACGACGTCCTCCTCTGGAGTGGATGAGTACCTCCTGGTCTGCGTGGCGCGTCCCTTTCGGAATAAAGGGATCACGGAGTTGTCTCTCATGGAGGCTGTCCAAGACGAATATGTTACTCGCCACCTGCCCGACGGTCGTATAATCTACTCAGACCACAGGATAGCATTCGTGGCTGGATATCTCACTGAAGAAGTGATGGGGCTCTCCGCTTTCAATTTTATTCATCAAGATGATCTCCCTTGGTGAGTGGAAATAAATAAATATCAATTGATTGTTTATTTATTATGGTAATTTTATGGCGAGCATAATAATTAACCGAATTGTTTTTCTCCTATTTCAGGGCGACTGTTGCTAATCGTCAAAGTGAGTTTTTCTCCTGCTGTCAACAACTAATTATGATTGGTCGTTAAAGAAAATGAAGGAGTGAAATTGTAAATTTGCACGCCGTGTAGTGCTAATTTGTTTTGTAACTTGTTTTTTCCACAGTGTTCAGCAGTGTGGAGGGACAAGGATACAGCGTTTACAGACTTCGATCCAAAACTGGAGCTCTAATCTACCTGAGAACGAGAGGATTTTTAGAATTTAATAAAACTACGCAAAAAGTGGAGACGTTTGTCTGCATTAATACCCTTTTAACGTGAGTTTTGTGCGAGAATTATGTTTTTTAAGTAATCCAATGATTTCGGAAACATTGAGCAATATGATTTTTTGATGCCCCCTCAGAACTGACGAAGGAGACAAAGAGCTCGAGAAGGAAAGGGAAAGAATCACGCCATTCATTACGTTTCAAGTAAGACCTGATTTTATGATTATATTAGAATTGAATAGTTTAACAAAGTGTTTTTTTCTGATTTTTTTTAGCAAGTTACAACTACCACAAGTACAAATATGAGCTCTTCGGCAAACAGCGGTACTCCTGCACTCTTGTCGTCTCAGCACCTGCAGAGCTCAAGCTCCTCGTCGGCATCGGCATCCTCCTCCTCCTCCTTAAATGCTCTCACCACTTCCACCAACGCCGAGAGCAATGTTCCCATCACGACTAAAACGATAACCACATTGACGATGAGACACCGGAAGGAGAAACCTTTAACGGTCGTGAACAAACCGCCACCCTCCTCGACCGTCACATCTTCCAGTCTTCTGTCCCGAATCGACTTTGGAAGCGACTTTTCAATCGATGAAATGACCCCCCTCGACGAGGATGACGACCCCACCGACATGAAACCCTTGTTACTACCCCCACTGGAATTATCCTCCTCTTCCTCCCACCCACCCTCCGACTTGCACCTGAACGGAGACACCCTCAAAGAGTTGGCTTGCTGCCCCTCGCCCGGCGGCTCCTTACTCTCCAGCAGTGACGATAAAAGCACCCTCCTCCTCCTCCCAGAAACGGCAGGACCATCGTCCTCCTCCTCCTCTTCAACAACAACTTTGAGCTTAAACGACCTGGATCTAACTCAATCCTTTGCAGATCAACAACACAATGGACAATCCATTATCCTAACTTCTCAGATGTCGTCGTCCCTGTCGTCCTCGTCGTCATCATCGTCACCTCCTCCCCCCACGTCTACAACGACCAGCATGACGACCCTTATGAGCCCGACGGGAAATCTGGGTCGGTTAAAACGCTCCTTTGCTGAAGTGGATGATCTAGTTTCACAACGCACGACGAGTGCCAAACGGCCCATCGTTCCTGCAGCCTTCATTTCAACCTACACTCCGATTCACCATTCATCTCACCTGGGAACGAAGTGGGGTTCAGAAACGACCACGACCATAATTTTTGACCAGCACAACAATAACGGCTAAAAAAAGAAAACTAGAAAGAAAGCAAAAGAGACAGAGAGAAAATGATATTTAGAAAAAAAGAAGAGAGAAAAAAGGAAAAAAACTTACGATTTTACTTGAACTATTTCCTACTCCTTATTTACACGGCTTTATTCAACCCGGTTTTATAAATAATGTTGTTAAATTTCTTACCGCAGAAGTCTCCGATTTTTATCATCTGATTCCCGAACTATTCTTCGTTTTTCTTTCGTTCTTCTATCATCATATTTACAAAAAAATAATGATAATACATTTCAAAAATCTTATTATATTATACCAGCAACAAAAAACAACGACACAATCGCTAAAATTATATATATAGCTCTGACTCTAACTAATTACTAAAAATACGATGAAAGAATTACATACAAGACACAACAAGAAGAGAAAAAAAAAACAAAAAAATATAACAGCTCTAAATAATTCTAAAACTATTCGTTACAAATTTGGCGATATGACAATCAGTCAAAAAATCTTTGGAGCTCTTTTAATTTCCTAAAATTTAAAAATTATTAGCAAATAGCTAAAACCTATTAATAGTCGTGTAGGTCATCATCATTATCCTCATTTTTTTCGTCAGGTCAGGATTTTTATTCAAAGAAACGAATCAAATATATAAAAATATACCAAAAAATCAGCCTCAAAAATCAAATCATCAACATTCATAAATTACTAGAGACCGTTATAAAATACAACCAACCACCCGAAGACCATGCATATTATTAAATACCACCCAACAAATGACCCAAATCCTCAATATTAGATCAGCTCAGATCTCTAAATAGAAGACGAAGACTTAATTATCATAATTAATTATTTCAACAACACAACAATTATCTATGTACACAATTAATATTTAAACAAAAAACCTCCCCCTCTCCCATACAACAATTAATTATTATGTATATAAATACATACATAGATACTAAAAAAAACTATTATTACCACCACCACCACACCCATTATTCCTACAAATCGTAGATAAGATGTTGGCGACTGGTTGTGAACGAACGAGTAGTTTTTTTGAGCGAGGTTGTTTTTCGGAAAATAATATTTGTGAATTTTACATTTTTTTCGCATGCAATCAATCCCACGATTGTTAATTGTTTGTTGTTAAAGTAAACAAAAAATTCAAATCTATAGTACTTTTAACGCTGATAAAAAACATTGTATGAGTTTGATTCTAAAATTGGATGAAGGAAGAAGATGTGCTTATGGTATTAAAAAAATATTACGTGTAACTAGTAATAGTTGAACACATGGAAAAACTTATTTGTTGTAACAAAAGAAACACTCTTAAAAATCTATTATAAGTTTGATTGATGAGATGGAAGACGAAAAATGCGAAGAAAAAATGAGACCACATACATAAATTATTCGAAAAAGAGGAATTTTACAAGGGAAAAGTAGGAGAAAGTAAAACAGCATCCGGCGAGATTGAGGTATTAGAAAGTTAAAAACTTCTTCGGAACACACATTAATTATTGATTATAATTAATTAATTAATTATGATTAGTAATTTGTTGTTAACAATGTACAAATCTCGCAGTAGCAGACTTTAGGATATATATATTATATATATATATTATATATACCTACAACATAAATATATTATATATATATTACAAACATATATAAAATATTCTAAATAGTTTTTAAGCCATGTTATTCTATAGTTTTTAAAGACGTGTAGCATATATTATTATGCTCAAAGAGTTTATCAGGAAATGTAACACAGTGATTTTCTTTCTTGGTCGCATATTTATGGTAACTTCATACAAGACTGATATATAAATTTAGCTTAAAACTTATTATGGAAATGAAAAAAATTAGTTAACGGTAACGTAACGATGTAAAATTATTTCAGAGTTTTTTTTTTGTTGTTCGTTTTTTTTCTGTTTTGTGTCAGATCACATACATAAAATTATTATTATTATTATCATTATTACCTATTTACGACCCACAAATATTGGGAAGAATGTTATTATTAAGAAAAAGTAAACAAACAAACCAAAACCTTCAAAATAATAATAATATTCGACGTGGTACGAATGGAGAAAAAAAGTAGATAGAGAAAATTAAAGAAAAAATTAAATATTTTAAGACTGACGAGATCGTCGTATGTATGACGTGAGGGAGCAGACTATACAAAATATATCCCTGTTGTTATCAATGATAACTTATCATTACATACATTAGAGGAGGAGGAAATTTCAAAAAAAAGAAAACGGTAACCACAGAGTCAGTTCAGTTCAGGGGCGAAAATAATACTTTATTTTGTGTCTACTACCTTCACATTATATGAACGAGCGAGTCAATTAAATATCAAAAACGTCGTCATCATCGTCGTCGTCGTCGTTATCGTCAACCTTACCCAAATTATACACGCATATAAGTACATACATACTATACACCAAAAATATATACGGAACGGATGATCAGAACCAAAAAGAAGGAACAGAACTACAAGTCAGTCATCATTATCAGTCATTTACTTGTTATTACACCAAAGAAAAGAAACACAAAATTAAGTAAATCATTCATTAAATCTGGGGAGAGAAAGTTCGAAGTGAAAGTCGGATGGAAACTTGGAGAAAAGAGAAACGTGCAATTTTTTTGACTGAAAGTCCCTGAATTATTTCGTACATCGGTTTCGGTCGTGTATGTAAAAAAATAGTATTCCAAAAACAAACAACTAGAGAGGAATAAAATGGTTTGGATGGACGATTTTACACAAGTCCTTGAAAAGAAGTGGATTTCCGTCATGTATTGTATCGATCCATTTATTGTGAGTGTCGGATGTATTGAATGTGTATGAAAAACTGGGCGGACACTACTGCTAAAAAAACTCCTGTTGTATGAAAAAGTGTGGTTTACAAATAAAACTCGAAATCATTAACACAATTTATTGTAATGAATGAGTTTACCTTTGCATGTTTTTTTTGCATTGAATCGCATGCATATGTACATATGCGTAGTAGAATTGTACTACGATGCATCTCATAAATCAGGGAATAATAAATTCATGAAATGATTAATTGATCCGCATAGTAAAATGTCATGGATAATATTTCGAACTTGATATTATTTATTTCGCGTGGCGATATTAAACGGATTATCTTATACAGAAACTGAGGTACATGGGTATATCGTAGAGTTCATTTCAAACACACGTATTCTGTGTTTTACAGCAAGAGACATGATCAGCTTAAATAAAAAATAGTTTAGATTTACATCGTGGTAAAACCTCAATTTGCCTGCACTAAATAAATCAGCAAAGAGGTTCATTGTATACGGTTAAATTTTTAAAATGTTCAAAACCATGTTAACACTCGAGTTTTCGACCCTTCGACAAAATTACTTAAGGCAGCGCTCAAATAAAACTGAGCCCACGTAGCCACCTCGCATCGCTTTCATGACGTTGGTTTCAAAAAGTCTTCGATTTGACTGGAGGACATCGGCGGCCTCTTTGTTCAAGGGGTCTTCAGGGTTTGGTTCCTGGAAAAAAGGCACAAAAGGCATTTTATTATTAGACGCGAACTCACAAAAATGCTCACATTCCACAAATTCCTCAATGTATCAAATGCCAACTTACCAGGAAGAGATACTGAAGCCCGTACACTATCGAATTAATAGTCAGCACAGGTTTCCAGTCTTCTCGTAAAATGTTGAGACAAACGTTCCCTTCCAAATCGATGTTCGGATGATAAACTTGCGTCTCACACTTTACTTTGGGGGGTTCATGTGGATAATTCTGTCCAACCTTGAAATTGAAGACGAATCGACCCCCCTTGTAAAATCCTTCATCTGGGCAAATGTTCAACTTGAAATTTAACAGGTCATCCGCATCCGGAAAGTCTGTTGTACAGGTTTTCGGGAGATTCAATTCATTCAAATCTGCAACCAAACCAGTCAACAATTAATCACTGATTAAAATCATCACCTTATCATTATTTTATTTTATTTTGCTTACCCTTCATCACACGGAGCTGTGCAGGGGATGACCTTTTCTGGCTCGTCGATGTGGTAGACACCTCCCCATCCTTTTTCTGCTGTTTCAAGGAGAATAACTTGATCATTTTTTATACCTTATCCGACTACTAATTTGTTTCAGAAGAAATACTACTTAATTCCACTAATTTCACTAATATAACCAGTGCACAATTATCCTTTACTTGTACACCAGCAGCCTTCCCTGGCGAGTGAAAAGTGCTTTGTGAGTCAAGTCAAATCAAGTCAAACAAATTCTTTTCTCCGCAAGGGGCGTATTCCAGTGATCAAAAGGATTGGGGTCAAACTCACCAAAGCCTGTGCGTGCTACGCCACTTTTTTCCTCCTCTTGAACAAATAAAAAAATGAAAATTTTGAATTTCCATGCATTTCCAGGAATTTCTGTAAATTAATTAAATTAGTTAATTCATTTGTTAGTATTTACCTTAGTTGTACAAAAATTTCAGGATTTATGGCTAGAAATAATTAAAATGATGATGAATCATCATCATTGATGATATGCTGATGAAGCGATTGGAGGTTAATTATTTAAATTTCATTTAATGTAATGTATGTATTTTAACTACACATTTTTGTAGTTCTTACTTCATAATGGTATTAATTCATTTTTAAAAATTTGCCCACTGGACTCGACTTTTTGTGGCGATGATCTGAAATACTCTGACGTTCTGAAAATGCTTGGGGTTGGAACCGTTTTTTACAGATTATTTGCTCCAAGCTCGTGATCACTACAATTTAAAAAAATAATTATGATTAGTATTAAAAACAATTAATTTGAATTAATTGGTGAATGCTTACCCGTTGTCACTCTTTGTTTTCGTTAGCTTCAGATTTATTATTATTTAGTGAACGGCAAGCGGTGAGTGAGATGTTGTGCGGCGGCTAGCTCACTCACTCACTCACCAGCCACCACGTGCAAACGACACAATTCACCTAAATTGTTCTTATTTAATTGTTTTAAGCGTAATTAAATTAGAAACAAAAATATTTTACACGTGCACTCGTCGATAAGTACAATGGGTGAAAGTTTTGGGGGCAGTGTGGACATGACGTCGGAGAAGGAAAAGGCCACCTCGACTCAGGACCAACTCCGTAAGAAAAAATAAATTGAATTGAATTGTAGCAAATATTTAATTATTTATTGTTAATTTCTCATTCTAAATTATCCCCTAGGAATCTGGGACGCCCTTCTCGAAGTCAGGATTCGGATGCAGAGAATTCTATTAGAAGTTAACAAGTTGCCACAGACGGAGACATTTAAACGCGTCGTGGAATCACCATTATCCAAAGATGTTAAACTCCCGGCGTCATCTAACAAGGCGCTGTCCAACGTACAAGAGTTTGTCGATAACTTACTCAATTTGCAGGTAAAGTAAAGCAGTTTGATTAAATTTCACGTTACAAAAGCAGTAATCATTCTATTAATTAATTATGTTTCTATTATTTAGGAGGTAATGACTCTCAATAACCCCGAAACTAATGGTGCCATCAACAAGAAGCGCAAGGCGAAAAGCGGCAATGATAACGACGACGAAGATGAAGGGATTGATGACGATGAAGAAATTACCAGTGAGGAGGATGAAGGAAAAGAGGACGATGAGAAGGAAGAAGAAATGGAGCTGAACTCTGAAGATGACAAAAGTGAAAGTGATGAAGACGTCCAAGAAAAGAAGAAGTCGACGACCGTGGCGACAAAGGCATCAACAACGCCACCAAAAAAGAAGAAGAGAAGATTGGAAGAGTACCATAAACAAATTGACACCGAGTTCAAAAAATTTGACTCCTACAGGAATGACATCATTCAAAAATGGAACGACAAAACGCAAATGGCCTTTGGTAAATTTCGCAGCAAGGGCTCCGCCGGTCCTCAGATACCAACTTTAAAGCAAATCTCACATATTTTATCTGACAAGGAAAGATTAATTAAACGAACTCAGGTGAAAAGGACGGCTTATACGACGATTGGAAAACCTGACGCGAACATACAACCAAGCGAGAGTGCGCAAGATGAAGAAATTTTTGACGACGATGACTTTTACCATCAGTTATTAAGGGAATTAATTGATAGAAAAACGACCAATGTGCAAGACCCCGTTCAGCTTAGTAGACAATGGTTAGAATTACAAAAGTTGAGGACAAAATTGAAACGTGTAGTGGACACGGATGCGAGTAAAGGTAGAAAAATTAGGTATGATGTGCACCCCAAACTTGTAAATTTTATGGCCCCTCAAGATAATTGTGTCATGTCTGAGGGTGCTGTGAAAGAACTTATGAGTTCGCTGTTTGGAAAACAACCATCAAATTAAATAGTACTCTAGACTTGTAATATTTTCTTTTTACAAAGGATCCAATAAATCAATTTTATTATATATTTAAAATTTTTGACAAGTTTCTTATTTCATTTCGCTGTATAAATATGGAATAGGCGTATTATTATCATCAATTTATGAAAACGGTAGCGTCATCGGGCTTGGATTTTGAAGATAGGACATCACAACGGCAGAAATACTTAACCTGCATATCGGACAATAAGTAAATCATGAAATCAGAGGACTCTAATAACAATCAAATCTTAATCAAAAGTTAATTTCTTTAATTTACATGAAACTGCTAAAAATCTGCTTCGCATCATCTTGCAATCTTGACGAGGCAAACCCAATACAGGAACAATAAATTGCAATCCAAGCGCACCACTTCATCTAAAAAAAATGAACCAATTAAATTAAATTTCAGGATAATTATTAGTTAGTTATTAGTTGGGAAACAATTTGTTGTAACATATTTTTTTTAATCTGTCCCTTCATTAATTAATTGCTTACTCTCATCATTAATCCAAACATGCTAAACAACATTCCAATAACGCTCATATAATCGGACGTGAAATCTTCAAAGATAAGCCCGGATACTCTGAATCTATTTAATTACAAAAAAAATCAATATTTAACAAGAAGATTAGAACTTTACCGAACTCAACGAAAATATATTCTCCCAGAGATCCGTGATTAATGAATTTTTTTCTGGGATTAAGGATTAAGGATTAATGTTATTCCGGGATTAATTAAATAATTCAATTTGGTGGGATTAAGGATTAAGGATTAATTCAAAATTCTCTGAGATTCGGGATTAAGGATTAAGGATTAATTAATCCTGATTAATTCTTGATTAAGGATTAATATTATTATTATATTACTCCATTTAATGCAGTTTAATTGTTTATTGTAGCACATAGGAATATTGAAACATCAAATACATACAAAACAGACAATGTATAGGACTTTTGCATGTCAAATGTGAAGTAAAATTTGATGTTGGCCTAATATTAACACCAATTATGGCACACATTGGTGCAAAAGCTATGCGCCTGGCCTATAAAGAGCCGCTGAATTTGTCAATTTGTTCGACATCAAACAATCTGCCGGTGAAGATGAACGGCAAATTTTTCAGCTCAGTCAGATCACTGTTAACCATGATTAACGACTGAATCAGTATTTTTACGGAAGCAACAATTTAAAGTTAAAGAATTCAACACATCTTAATTTCGGGAGAGGACAGTAGAAAGAGTGGAAAAATATCGTATGTTTGAGAATATGTAATGTTAGTGTTACTTCACTCCATTCTCAGTGATTATTCTCTTGCGAGACTTAATCCTAATCGTGATTAAGAATTAATAATTTGGATACGCTTTGTCGGGATTAAGGATTAAGGATTAATGGCGTGGAAATATTTCGTCGGGATTAATGATTAAGGATTAATTGCATACAATTTTTTGTCGGGATTAAGCATTAAGGATTATTAATCCTTAATCCCAATCCTTAATCCGTTAATCACGATTAATTAATCACGGATCTCTGTAATTCTCCTTACCGTCGAACCTTATCCTTCTTCCTTGGGTCCGGTTTCTCCATCCCGGGACGAAACGATGTCGACATTTCTATTTTAAAAGATTAACCGCACCCTTATTTCTTTTTAATTGCTCTAATTTAATAAACTTCCGAAATTGTATTGGTGCTGACTCGTCTCACTTTTTGGTGTTCCCACTGCTGAAGGATTGTCTTTGTCTCTCTTTGCTGGGTACACGCTTTAAAAGCTGTATTTTTTACTGGGAGAATTTAGTGATAAGTGTTTAACGATAAAATGAAGCCTTGGACATGGTATGGTTGTATAATTTCGATAAGATTAATAAGACGAATGCAGTGAGTGGAACCGGATGTAAACAACGAACGTCCCGTCCAAAGTCATTTGTAAATCTCAAGTTTAGTTAAAATGAGACACGTGCATACTAAAGTTGACAGTTGTACTTATTTCGCAAAATAAGGATGCACCTCTTCCAATTATTTTGCATATTCGTCTCAATCCGTCATATCCGGTCGGAACATTGTCCCAATGACGATTTGGAGTTGGAATTGGACCTGGACCAATTGAGAATTGCGGCACAAGTGGATAAAAGATTTCTAAGTTTTGCTCTAGACTCATTTTTATTAGGGGATCATTGGCGCAGGACAAATTTAAGGTGACAACCGAAACTGAACAATTCTTAACTTTCATAATAAAACCCTTGTAAAATAAAAAACAAACAAATATGTTTCTTAATGAAATCCGTCGTTGAATACTAATCTAAAATATATACAAACCCGTTTCGCACAGGGACCCCAAGTTGATCTCATTAACGAAGCAGTTGACCCCTGCATACCTCCGCGTGGGAGGAACTGACCAAGACAACTTGATATTTTGTCCCGGGGCAAAATTCGGAAATGGTAACACCACTAACTTATGTGTTAAATATAATTGCAATTAATTTTCGGGAATATCTGAACGAAATTTCTCATAAATTTTCATAGTTCATGATAACACGATCGATGCCTTGCCTTGCTCAACAACACGGGAGAGTAAAAACTCAACGATTCCAATAACAGGTACAAATTTTACACACAAATCTATCAATAATTATGCATTCTCTTACATAAATACTTGAACTTATTAGAATCGGATATAAAAGAACTCGGCCAATTTGTCAAGGTCACCGGGGTCGACTTGGTGTACGGACTAAATGTCCTGGAACGACATGGAGGACAATGGAATCCTGCCAACTCTGTTCGTCTAATGAATTACATGGATGCGCTGGAAATTCCAGTGGCCGGTTGGGAACTAGGAAATGGTTAATATTTTCATTTTCATAAATCAATCGTCACCCCAGAATTCATAACTTGCTTTAAAAATTCCCAACATTTATATTATGAATTTCAGAACCGCTCCGATTTCCAAAAGTGTTCAACAAATCTGTACGAGCCGGATCGTTGGGGAGAGATTTCAACCTTTTAAAGTCTCTCCTTTCTCAAATCTCTCGATACTCGAACTCTGCAATTTTTGGTCCGGATGTCACCAGCATTAGAAAGGCTGGATCCCCAGCTCTGCACTTTTTAGCAGAATTTCTCCAAGAATGTGACAACTCCACTTTATCGGGAGGAGTTACATTTCATGAGTAATGAATATTAATACAAATAAAATGCGCACGTACTGGATATTAATCACGGAAGGATTAGTTTTGTTATCTTTTTCTCCGCAGCTACTATTTTTCCGGCTCAACCGCAACCATCCTCGACTTTCTCGATGTTAGAATTATGGATAAATTGACGACCAGGATTCAACTGGTGAAGAGAATTGTTCGGACACGTTTCCAACAACCAGATATTCCTCCCTTATGGCTAGGTAAACATGTCGCATACATAAATATTACTTGATTTATGATACAAATTTCCATGAAAAAAAACTACAGGGGAAACAAGTACCGCTTTTGGAGGTGGTTCCACAAATATATCGGATCGTTTCGTCGCCTGTTTTACGTGGGTAAGTAAATAGTGGGGAGAAACAGTGGCCGCGGAAGGGTGAGGGGGCAAAGGGACAATATTCCCACGGTTATTCGATGTTCCCATCATCTTCCCATGTTATAAAGTTTCCCTAAATGTCCCCACAGCTTCCGCGGCCACTAAAAATATTTAAAACTATGCCCGCATCCTTAAAATAAGACGAATTCAGCTCGATAAGTTGGGACAAGCCGCTCTGTCCGGAGTTGCCGTCGTGGTTCGGGAAGCCTTGTCTGGGAACAAGAACTACGGACTTCTTGATAAGACGACTCATCCAACCCCGGTAACAAAATAATTTCCCCATTTTTTCAGACAATGAAATAACAAACAAACAAGCCAAACTAATTATTTAATGGAATAAACATGTCCATTTCATTCAGGGCTACTTTGTTTCCCTTCTGTTCAAACGACTCGTAAGCCACATCGTTCTCACGCCACTGGGGGATAATTTTGTCAGACTTGATGCCGCAAAAAATAACAGGACCATTCGATTTTATCTTCATTGTGACACAGAATTGAGGGGAGGTTCGTATGTATAAAAAATCATTAAATACGTCAATAAATTATTTCAGACTGTCAATAATTTATGTAGGCGTCGTCGTATTTGGGATGAATCTGAACACTAATCCGGTCAAGGTACGGATAAGCACGGGTGGAAATATGGGGCCGGCTCGGATCTACGAATATTTGCTGACACCACTCAACGACGATTTGGAATCCAGGTAGTAGTCCAAATTATACCAGTGGCCGCGGAAGTCGTGGGGACATGTGGGGACATTAACATTGTAGGATAGAGGAGGGCGGGGTTTATGTAAGAAGGGCAGATGATGCGACATCGAACAACCGTGGGGACATTGTCCGCGGCCACTGAATTACACAAGTAATTAAATAACTAAATAATTAATGCATCATTTCCTTAAATGCGCCAGGTTTTGCACGCTGAATGGCCGAATCTTGAAGGTCGGACATGGGGGAATAATTCCTAAATTAATCCCAACCCTGAGACAAGAAAGTTTTTCAGTTCCATCACTATCACTGGGATTCTGGGTTGTTAGCAATGCAAATGTCTCATTTTGCGCAAGGTAAGGAAGTAAAATGAGACATCGTAGGTGAAAGCGATGGGATTTTTCGCTCGTTATAGAATATTTTCCTTACATAAACTTAATAAATTGTGGAAAAAAATCAAATACAAAATTTTGTCTTTTCTACACGGTTTCAATTTCCTAGTAAAAAATTCTTCTTTATTTATTTCGACTTGTTGCATTCAACAACATAACATGACATTTATTTACCCTGAGAAATCTTACCTAATACTGAAATTACGTACGTATTTCTCGTACCATTCAGGTAGACGGACCCATTTCGTTGGTAAAATATAAAATCCAGTAAAAAATGCATACCTGCACATTTCACACAAAAGAAAATGTGTGGATGTGGATGATGGATTGGACAAATGTTGAGTTCCTATTCTTTTCATCCATCCAACCTTCTCAAAGGTAGTAAAAGACTTGCATTACGTAACAGCCGAACCAGACAATAATAAATGTAATCCTTGAACTAAAAGGTTGAGGGTACATTAAAAAGGTATCATTTCGTGACAACTGCGTACGCACTAGGAGAAAAAAAGCGTCTCAATTTTACCACGGTCGTCCCCTATCCCACGCTTCTGTCCTGCGAAAGACGACCAGAAATGGCCGCGGAAGGTTGAGGGGACAGGGGGACAATGTCCCCACGGTGGTCTGATTATCCCACAATATTAATGTCCCCACGGCTTCCGCGACCAGTAGTAGAAAAATTAGCCGTATACTATCGCGATGAAATTGCCAATTCCGAATTCGCAATAAAACCCAAATCACATTATTGGCAAACCTATGCACAAGGTATTTCCTGCTTTTGGGTGTTTATGCATTTATTTGCAGACACCATTTTCACTTGAATTCCAATCTGCCTGAGTGAGTGAGATTGCCATTGGTCATAAAGTAAATAATAGGTAGTCGTATATATCTAGTCTTTGGTACTAAATTCTACCAATCTCCCCAAAATCTGGTAATAAACAAACAAGCCTCCACGCCAGGATGAACTTGGTGCTAAAGCATAACCATCCAACCAACCAACCAACATCATTAAACAAGGAAGTAAGTAAGTAACTAATCCTTCCTCGTAAATAGGTTGCTTTACACTCTCCTCCATAATAAAACTGTGCTCGTCTCGATTGGATTTATATTTTGTCAGGTTTAAGGTTCTCTCTCTCTCCTAATAAAAGTGAGCCTTGAAGCCCAATAAGTACATGAAATGAAGGGAAGAGCAGCACCACGACTAAATAACCCAAGGATTCCTCATTGTTACCACTTTTCTGAGGCGAACAATGCATGAAAACTAAAAAGTGAGAATTGCACACATTTTTTAAGTCGCTGTCTCAACTTATCCTCCGCAAAGGAACGTGACGATTTTCACTTTCTCATTAAATAAAACTCATTGTGTAGCTAAATAACTGTGGGGGGAAAATGAGAGGAAGTTGTCGACTTCTCACTCTCTTTTTGACCATACCAAAAAGCAAACCTTGTGCCGTATTATTTGTTGCCTGACTGATTCGCATTCTCTGCAAGAATTTCATAATAATGGAATTCTACTGCATTTCCCTTGCATGCAAGGTGCAATTCTTCCACATTTTTATGCATAAACTAAACTTGGCTAAAACTCCTCGTCCGTATTTACTGCCCTTGCTTTGCTTGCTATTCTCTCTCTTTCCTTTCCTATCCTAACTAATATGCATTCACAACCATGAATCCTGCACATTCATAACATGCACGTAGTCAACCTCCCCAACCACTAAAAGCAAAACTCTTTAATACCTTGGCTTTAAGCGAAATACGTAACGAACTAGAGCCAGTCAGATAGCTCAATCAGTTTATATATGCTCTCCACTTACTAACCAACGCTATAAGCTAACCATTGATTACGTACGTATGACCTCGTCTGTAGTAAAAACCTTATGCAAGATGGAACATTCACCCGTGATGTTAAAGTTATCCTACGTCTTGGGCCAGGACGCCGTGTCGGGGTCACATTTGCCCTGTCTGCTCCCTCCCCTCGTCTCATCAGACTTTATATATTCTCTGGTATCTCTGAGTGAGATAATATGGGAAAAAGGGGCCTATTGTATGTATGTAATGCTAGTCTGGTCTGTAGAATTCTTGACGATTCACTTCACTCGCACCATAACGCTGAGGAAGGAAGGGTGTGCTTTTTGCCTTACACACATTTATTCCCACACGACGACGACGACGACTAAGTCGAATACGAATCTCTCTCTCTCTCCAGCAGCACTTGCTTTCCGTACAGTTTTTTTTTCCTTTGTTCGAGGCAGGAGGGCCCACAACCAAACCACCAGGAAGAAGACGAAGGGAGACTTTCAGGCCAATATTATATTTTGGTTCTCTTTCTGGCTCAAAAACTCTCTCCGACTCGAGAGCTCTTCTCACTCTTTTGGTCGCCATCATCGGGCTTTCTCCTCCTCCGACTTGGACTTCTTCCACCAACCAAGCATCCAAGCAAGGACGACTATTTTTCCCCGTTTTTTCTGTTCACCACCAACCACACCCACCCAGAGAAAAGAAAGAACAAAACTTTTGTCGCCTTGTCCTGTGTCCTCGCCCCACAGAAAAATTGAACCTGCCGACTGAACCCAGGGTTGTGCAGGTCGGGTCAAGGCCAGCCAAGTTTATCGGTTATTTTACCCCGTTTTCTGTTCACCAACCACACCCACCGAGACAAAAACTGTGACAAACAAGAAAAAAAAGTGAACTCAGGTCGGGTCAAGGCCACCAAAGTTTATCGGGCGGTGATCAAATCGGAATTTTTTCCACGATCGTCACCACTTTTACGGTACGGACGGTGGTGGTGGTGGAGGAAGAGACAAATTATAGTTAAAGTTAGTTAACTAATGGTGGTGGTGGTGGTGATTTAATTTCCATTTCGTGTCAAGTTCACAAGTGAGAATAAAGAATTGTTGTTGTATTGCTGCGGAAGGCGTTTCTTTCTTCTGCTCAGCAGAGAAAGTTCAAACTGGAGGAGGAAAAGAAAAAAAATAATCAATAATTCCTAATTTTCTCTCTTCAGTTTGTTGATACCATCGTTCGTTCGTTCGTTGAGTTCGTTCCGAGAGGAGGACCAAGTCACCAATTGTGCTTGAAATAAATAATAAAAAACAATCATTTAAACCAAATTTAAAAAAGACGGATATTCAAATTATTAGTGTAGGGTAAAATTTTAAGTGAAACAATAAATAACTAAAACTAGAACAATCATTCGTTTCCAAAGAATAATAAGAAAGAAGTTTGAAACATTTTTTCCGTGTGCTCAGAAATAAAAAATCTTTGCGTTGTCCTGTTCGTGTTTACTTTGTGAATTGGGGGTGTATTTTTGTGGATAGCAAGCAAACAACGGAGGAGAAAGTGAGTGAGTACATATACAATGGATGAATTGTTTACAATGGGTGTGAGGATAAGGTATTAATTTATATTTTTTGATAAGGTTGAATAAATCGGGGAAAGAATTCTGCGAGGATGAATTTCATGACGGAAGGTGTTGGGACGACGGTGAGTGTCAATACGGTCGAGTGTGATGGCTACGAGGTCAAAAATCTGCTCTCCAGTGAACTCGGTCTCCATTCTTCGAGGGGGTTTTTGGCCGAGAGCTTCGTCCGACCCCCGGTCACGATTTCGATCAAGTTTCCACTCTGCATTGAAGTCAGTCATATTGTTATCAATCCTAAATTGGGGAAGCAAATTACATCCGCAATTTTGATCCATACGGAGACTAGTTATCGGGTAGGTGTCGCGTAAAATTATGCGAAATAATGGTGTAAAACTTGGGATTTATTTTTTCCCGTTTGGTTTTAGAGCTGGACAAAAGAGAACAACGGACCAATTTCGAGCCACTTGGTTGCCAAAGAATTCATCAATACCAGTCCGATCCCAAATGTAATTGTGTTCAGAAATCCGAGATTTGTTCTACGACGACCTTTCGCTTCTCTTCCACTTGATCATTATCAAAGATATAGGAATCATGATGTCATTTACAATCTTAAACATCCAGCATTTAATGTGAGTTTAAATCAAATGTGTGGACCACGCGAGATTAAGTACTATTATTAAATTTCGATTGTTGTAATATTTGTCTTAGGCCAATCAAAGAGTTGTTGGAATGGAAATTTCCATTTTACGTGTGGCAGGGTCTTCCGTGCCTGCTCTGGGAGGTTTACAAGTTTGGGGACAACCTTGCATTCGGTGTTCTCAAGATGAAGTGAACAAAATTTACAAACAATGGTCTCGTATTTTACGAAGAGGTCCAGATTCCTTTCTTAATCCTCAAGTTCAAACTACCGACTCTTCCGTAAGTGTAATGCAATTTTTACACTCAAGTATTTCAAAAAATCAAATTAAGATACGTATAATTAAATTAATAGTATATAATTAAGTAATTAAATTATAATTATTCTACCAAAACAGGATGAGGGGACACCGGCCGCAAAGAAACCAAAACTTTCCAACAATACGTCTTCAACGTCTACACCTTTCTCCGTTCCGGACGATTTCTTGGACGCTATTACTTATGAAATTATGTGTCAACCTATTCGACTTCCTTGCGGACTTGCCGTAGACGCACTAACTCTTGAAAAGTACTACGCAGAAGAAGCAAAGTTTGGTCGACTACCAAACGACCCCTTCACCGGAGTCACGTTTAACGATACCTTCAAACCCTTGGCAGACTCGGCCTTAAAGTCTCGAATTAACACCTTTATCCTCCTCAACCAAAACGAACCATCCCTTAGTGACATACCTCGCACACTTGGCGGCATGTCTCGGAGTGGTCCTATCACTCGACACGGAGGGGACACGAACACGGCTTGCTATCAATCCTTCCGTAATCCAAACTACAATCCTCGACTTCCAAATCCTAACAATTCGGTCTCAACCAAAAAGAGTAGTTCATGCACCGTTACGAATGACAATGGCTACGACAGCGCGGATGATTTTCACGATACCGGTTTCACCCAAAATTGTATTACCTCCTCGCATCATAATTCTGCCCAGAAACCTGCTGCAGCAACTATGCGAGACATGATGAGTACGGATGATCACATGAACTACGAACTTCTCAAAATGCTATCGGGAGGATCCAACTACTTGGCCAAGATCAAACCGAAAATCAACTTGGAACGCAATTGTAAAGATTGTGGACTCGTGATGAACTTGACTCGGGGAATCTCATCCTTTTACATTGGTCTCTGCGACCATGTAATCCTCTGCAAAATCTGTCTCTCCAAGACGGATAAGCAAGCACGGAAAACTTGTAACCAATGCGGCACTGAGTGGAGAGCTAAAGACTGTTTGCGCATATTTATTTAAACAAATTAATAGTATCTAGTTAGTTAGTTTTTGACGGGTGTGTGGGGAGGAGGCAGTAGTTAGGGAGCCATTTAGCCTTTACACTAATTATGCTCACGTGGTATCCTACAATTCTACAATGATTTCTTTTACTTCCCACCAACAACAAGCAAGAAAATGTGAAGAACTCATCCACAAAAAACCACAAACATCTACATAAATCTACCTACAAAACTTACTCAACGACAACTTAGCTATGCATTCAACTACAGTAAATTCTGTAGCCTCTCGTGTAACGCAGCAAATAATCAATGTTTAATATTTAAGATCAACGTATTTGTCGTCTTTTGAAAATTTGCCATTTTGTGAATCTTTCCTCATCGTCTAGTAAATATGTATCAAACGTATCGTCGTCAAAATAACAAACATCGTCTGTAACATTTCGTTCCTATAATTAACAACTTGTTGTATAGAGAAAATCTTCTTCCAAAATTAACCAAAGTATGAACCATAAAATTAGCAAATACTATACATACATACATAATTTTAGTCCAGGCCAAAAAAAAATGTAACAACAAATTCGAATTGAGATTAGAAAAAAAATTGTATTATCATACTGATCAACTAAATTTATGATTTCATTGCGTCATATCACATCTCTTAATTTTGTAACAAGTATACCAAGAATGATTATTATGACACCTGTATAAAATTAACTCTAGTATATATTTGGCGTCGGTCGTGTGGGTAAATGTGGTACGCGTGCGTTTATGATCTGGTGACTCAAACTAAGCTTTAACTAGAAATTCAGAAACATAATTTTTTGAAACACCTTATACAACGTAAGAAAAAATACATCGACAGTATCGTCTTCTCTCTCTGCCTCTCCTCCATAACATAATTTGATGGCTTGTATGATGATTGACGAAGAACCAATTTGACATTATTACAACGAATGAATGTCATAATTATGCCATTTCTTTCACTGTCACTTCACTGCAAATACTTTATTCTTTCTGGTTCTTCCTCGAATAATAAGTGAGACATGTATTTTATGATCGATCAATTGTTGTGGTATGTTTTAGCCATCATATAAATACATAATAATAGCAATATAGCTCTTATTGTTGTCGGTCGCTGATGATTTATTTATTATACAATTTTGTGTTATCATGTTCCTTGCAATTCAATTCATGACCTTCCACAGCTACAAGTATTCGACACACACATTATTTATTTATTTTTAATTGTTACTATTATGTAGGTAATATTATGCATGTCAGTAAACACAATCCAGTGAACGATAGGTCAGTTTAAAAGTTTGTTTAATGTTGTTAAAGTGAATTTTTTAATTATGTATGTGATCACGTTTCGTACGACAATTTTCGAATGAGATTGGTTTAGTTTAGTTAATTATAAACGTTAATTATGAAGTAAAATTCAGATTAAGAAGAAGATCTCATTACCTCAGTTTAACTAAATAGTTGCATGGTTTTTCTATGTTAATTTGCTTTCTGGGTGAGAAACGGGTGGTTTGGTTTGCTTATTTGGTGATTAATTGATGAATGGATGAATTTTATGCTTGTGCTTTCAAATTGATCACTATTTATGACTAATTAGACCACCCTCACTCACCCAGCAGCAGCTCGCCAAGCCAAAACTATTGCATTTAAAGAAAAGATTACCATCATTATGTATGAAATGAATATATTGTTCTCCATGTAACAAATTAGACGACTTATTTACAAATTATTTAATTAAAAAGTTATGTTCAATGTGTTATTTTATAATTAATCAGGGGTACTTAAATAAATAAATAAATAAATGCTGAAGAATATCATGATACATGTGGTTATTCATTTATTTTGACATCGGAGATATGGAAAAATTTGCATGCAAAACAAAGGTAAAACGTATATTGGAATTAATCTTTTTAAGGACGTTACATACATAAGCACTACTCGATTTCAGGAAATTTTGGCTTCTATCCATATATGCCCTACGCCTTCCTCAACCTCGAATGGAGAAACTTCTATATGCACACGCTTAATATGACAAATATGAAAATGCTACAATACCCTTATGCACAACGGACTTTCATCGTTTATTTTCTCAAGGCTACCACCAAGGACCAAGGGTGATCAGGACCTCGAAGACTGGACCCTATATGCCTCCAATCAATGCAGTCTTAAATTGCATGTGCAACATTCAATTATCATTTGCATGAAACCATTAAAATAATACTGAAAATTATCTATAAAAAAACACTTATCTCAAAAATACAATGTGCCGTCAACAAAATGACAAAGTAAGATATCAAAATTTGAAATATTGTTTGAAGTTAATAAAATGCTCTTAAATATCGCCATTTCAGGCAATTGAAGAAAAGTATTCGACTCATTACGTCGTACCAAGAAATCGTGACAACACGTTCCGAGAAAATCTAGAAAACCGTAAGTGTTTCGTTTAAGCTGGAAATCATATACCTTTAAGTTTATCATTACAGTTTCATTTTGAATAATTCATTCGAACGTATGTTTACTAGGGAGACAGCACAAATTTACTTACATACAGTATAAAATTGCAAAAATCTTGTATCACAACGACAAATGTCGCGAGGCTCGGTGGATTTCGGAAGACTCAGGGCAATCCTGTAAGTTTTTAAGCTAGATTTACATAAGTCACTTTATTTTATACATGTTTCCAATTATTGTCTTTCTTTAGTCTCCGCTGCTAAAAAAGCTTATGATGGTATGTACAATGCCAGTGGCCGCGGAAGCGATGGAACAGAGAGGCAATGTCCCTACGGTTGTTCGATGCCCCCATGATGGGGGCCCCATCATCTGCCCATCTTATATAAACCCCTCCATATATGTCCCCACCACTTCCGCGGCCACTGTGCACAACTCGATTTGCTGCATTTCGTTTGGAACGGTTTATTATTCTACATTGCAGAAAATCATAAGAAGGAAATCCGAAAAATCGAAAAGCTATGGAACGATTATCAAGTATACCGGGACCGGGTAGTCATATCACTCGGTTTAGAAGCCACCAACACCCTGGAAGAAAGGTATGGTGCTAAGGTGGAAAGAAAAGTTATGAAAATCGAAGCATTTGAAGCCGCTCAAGATTTCCAGCATTTCTCCTTATTTAACCATTTAGTCTTTCTTCTAATTATGTTCACGTGGTATTTATAGTGATTTCTTTTACTTTAAATCAAAAGCAATGTGAAAAAATTATCGACAAAATCATAAAGCTACAGTAAATTTTGTTGCCTCTCGTGCAAATAATGAATGTTTAATACGTATATATCAACAACATTATTTGTCGTCTTTTAAAAATTTTCCAATTTGTGAGTCTTTTCTAATCGGCAAGCAAATATGTATCAAATTGTATCATCATTATAGGTATCCAGGCAAATATTGGGTGTAACATTTCGCTTCTATAATTAATAATTTGTACACACAAATTTATTTGTTACATTTAAACTTGCTTTTAAATAAAGAAAAGATTACCATCATTCTGAATATTGTTGTCCATGTAGCAAATTATTATCATGACTTATTTACAAATTATGCAGAAAATTATGTTCAATATGTTATTTTATAGTTAATCAGGGGTACTTAAATAAATAAGTACTGAAGAATATCATGATACATGTGTACCGACAGGTTCTTCATTTATTTTGGGGTTGACATTGGAGTAAACTGAAAAATTTGCATGCAAACAAATTGGAATAAATCTAAACTTACATATGTACGTAATGGATTTTAGGAAATTTAGACTCTTTTATATAGAATATGCGTATACCAAGATACACATAAACGCATACACGATACACGATACGCATATTCTTATCATACTCTTATCTTATTCTCTACGCATGCGAAAGGATTCCTCAACCTCGAATGGAGAAATTGCTATATCCACGCTCCCTTAATATGACTTTAACTCATCTAGTATGAAAATGTCCAAAATTCTCCAACGTGGCTATCATTTCCAACAACATTTTGTATGAGAATAAAGATTTCAGCTTTTAGATTTCAAATTCCAGAAGTGACGACGTCGGAAAAAGTTCTCTGAAAATGCAATGCGTCTAAATGAGCGTCGGGTTGACTTGACTTGCATATTATTTATTCATCATTTTCAGCTGAAGCGTTTAACCTTTGTCTCTAAATTTCGTATATATATCTACTTTTATGAATATAGCATAAGCCTGATATATATATGAGGATGACCATACAACAAATATCTTGATGCCACAATACCGTTATGCACAATGGACTTTCATCATTTATCTTCTCTAGATAGAACGCAACCTTTTTCTTTCAAGGGTACCACCAACGACCAAGGGTGATCAGGACCTATATCCTATTCCTTCAATCAATCTAGTCTTAAGTTGCCTGCAACCAAGGTTCACATTCAACCGATCATTTGCATGAAACCATTTAAACGATATTGAAAATCATCTTAAGAACAATGTGCCGTCAGCAAAATGACAAAGTAAAATATTGAAATTACCGTTGTAAAAAAATATTGTTTGAAGTAAATAAAATATTCTTAAATACCCACATTTTAGGCAATTGAAGAAAAGTATTCGACTCATTACGTCGTACCAATAAATCGTGACAACACGATCCGACAAAATCTAGCAAACCGTAAGTATTTCGTTTAAGCTGGAAATCATATCCTTTAAGTTGATCATTACACTTTCATTTTGTATAATTCATTTGGAACGTATACTATTTTTGCTAGAGAGACGGCACAAATTTACTTACACAGAGTATAAAATTACAAAAATCTTGTATCATAACGACAAATGTCGCGAGGCTCGGTGGATTTCGGAAGACTCAGGACAATCCTGTAAGTTTTTAAGTTAAATTTAAGTCCCTTTATTGTTATTACACATTTTTATTGTTTCCAATTATTTTCTTTTTTAGTCTCCGCTGCTAAAAAAGCTTATGATGGTATGTATTACAAGCAGTGGCCACGGAAGCGTGAGGGGACAGAGGGACAATGTCCCCGGTTATTCGATATCGGCATCATCTGCACATCTTATATAAACCCCTCCCTCCCCTATCCTGCATGTTTATGTCCCCAGATGTCCCCACCGCTTCCGCGGCCACTGTGCACAACTTGACTTGCTGCATTTCGTTTGGAACGGTTTATTCTACATTGCAGACAATCACAAGGAGGAAATTCGAAAAATCGAAGAGCTAAGGAACAATTATCAGTTATACCGGGACTGGGTAATCAGATCACTCGGTTTAGAAGCTACAAACAGCCTGGAAGAAAGCTATGATGCTAAGGTAGAAACAAAAGTCAGGAAAATCGAAACATTTGAAGCCGCTCAAGATTTCCAGAATTTCTCCTTATTTAACCATTTTGTCTTTTTTCTAATCATGCTCACGTGGTGTTTACAATGATTTCTGTTACATACTTCCCATCAACAACAATGTGAAGAAACCATCACAAAACTACAGTAAATTCTGTAGCCTGTCGTGTAGCGAAACAAATCATAAATGTTCAATGTTTAGGAACAATATTTATTGTCGTCTTTTAAAGATTTACATGTAACATGTAACAAATTAGTGACTTGTTTACAAATTATTTAAAAAGTTAAGTTCAATGTATGATTTTATAATTAATCAGGAGTACTTAAATTAATAAATGCTGCAGAATATCATGATACAGCCTACCGACAGCTTGTTCATTTATTTTGGCATAAAAGTTTTATGATAAAACCTAAGCAGAGACAATTTTACTCGAATCCCTAAAGAATTTCCGGTGATCAGCTACTTACAGATATTTCTGAACACTAATCCTAAGGAAAAACTATTTGTAATCATATCACAAAATTTATGATGGCTTAAAATCTGCGCAGTTTTTCTTCTTCCGCATTCACAAGTATGTCCACATTTGTATAATTTTGAAGGATTATACACCCCGTTTTCTTATCAAAGTATAAGCATCAGTCTTATCTTAATCTGTATTATTCATACCTACCCATCCATCCATCCATCAAATAATTCATATATATGATTGTCATTTTCATTTCATTTATAAAATATTTTTCTTAATTTCCTTTCTGCAAAATGCCCGTCATTCGGCACAAATGTGCACAAATGTGCAAAGCAAGCAATGAACTGAACTTTAGTCAAGATCGGACATCATATCTCAGGTTCAAGGCACTTTTCATATGAATCTCATTTTTCATCTGGCACTCTCTCGAGCTGACGCCTCGTTTTTTTTATCTGACATGTGTGTGCCAATAATCGTCAAAGTGTGGAATTCTAAATTGTGCAAATTCAATTTAATCGGGCAAAAATCAAAATATTGAAGAAAAGAGAGACCTTCGATTCAACAGGTAACACGCAATTGAGGAGAGACCGCATATGTACGTATGACTGCCTAAATACGTATGCACCAGTGAATTTATGTATGTAAAAGGATGAAAATCATGATGAAATTCAGTGCTTCTTGCGGGTTTGCTACTTGCAAAAATAAGAAATTCGAGGTGCAAGAAACTGGGAGAAAGTGCAAGAAATATGCGTTATCTAGTAATTTCTTGCACCTTGCATTTCTCCCAGGTCAAAATATTTACCTGCAATTAAGAAACCACTTTCTTCTTCCCGTTATTTCTTGCAAGGGGTTACCTGCACCAGAAACACTGATGAAATTTAGGCGATGTGGAAACTTTATGGTTGAACGTTGTTTCTTAATCACTTTTATACATATGCACACGTTTTATTATGACGTAACATTTTCCGGAGAAATTTCACCATGACATAATTCTTTGACATGGCGAAAGGTTAAGTCCTCTCCTGGTTTGTCCTTCTTCTATAATTGAATGTGAAACAGGGCATTGTTCATGCATATCTGGTGCAATGATGCTCCTTGCATGTGTCCACATATTTATGTACATATGCACGTATATAGTTTAGTAAAGTTGCATATACATAGGTCCACGTCCTGCCCTGTCATGATGTCGAGTGGAGGAATTGCATTACACTTTTGCCATTATTAAATATTATTAAGAATCGCCCATATATTTTTTCTGTTCTCATTTCATTTCATTTCATTTTGCTGCCAAGTTGGCAACCAAATACTTATAAAGTGCACATGCATGATGTGATGATGATGTAGATTCATATGTACATACATACATTCATAAATATTATGTCGAACCACACACAACAACACGATTTATTATTAACAAATAAAATTTGACTTGTTCATTATTCTTCAGAGCAGAATTTTAAGGTCAATTGTCAACGGTATCCGACACACATAATAATCTAAAAAAAGGGATGTAAGTAAGTGTGTAAAGTAAAACTCGTCATGTCGATTGTTTTATGTGTGTAACCTTCAATACATTTAGATATTTACAGGCTTTTCCAACTCTCTCTTATGTACATACGTACCTACGCAAAATAATACGCGATGGGGAGGGGTGTGGTTTGGCGTGTGTCCCATTAATACGTATTTATCCCTCATTGTCCATACATATACTTTATTTTGTAAAGTAATCAAAAGTAGGCAAATTTCTTGTAAGTACTTACTTAATGCCGACTGGAATAAAGGAGCAATTATTTGTATTGACAATTTATACATACATAATTCCAATCCAACTCCTTCCTCGTGACATAATAAGTATACATTACATACATACGTAGTATTGATTTTGGTTTTCCATATTTTCCATAAATAACGATATTATATTTGGGTAAAAATTACACATGGACATGCAGACAGGTGCCTCGTGCCGACCTGTTCCGTAACGTAATGTAATCATGTTGACAATACGAACCAGTGGCTGCGGAAGACGCCGTGGGGACATTAAGATAGGGACGGGTTTATATAAGATGGGGAGGTGATGCCGACATGTGGGGACATTGTCCTCCCCCTGTCCTTCCGCGGCCACTGGACAATACACACACACGAAAATAAAATGACAAACCCGTGGCTGACCGGCCTTTCTTTCGGCTAAATGTCAAAGCTACATATACATTGTGCTCGAGAGTGGTGAAATAGGTAGCAAATAGCAAATATGCCAGGCTTGGGGACCGAAATACCTCGGAACGAACCAAAAATAAACGTTATCAGTAAACAAACTGGTGGTGGACAACAAGTCAAATAAAATTTCTAAATATGATTGATGATATGCGCATTATAAGTTTTTAGTACATTTTCGTTTTCGAAAAAATTCTTGGCATTTTTGTATTACACAATTTATTTTCGTGTTTCTTGTATTGTATTGTGTGCAAAAAAAACGTAATAATGATTCGACTGGTCATGTTACATGCATTGATATGATGACGAACGTGGGCCAGTGACGTAAATCTATTAATTGTAAATAAGTACATACATGCATACTGAACATAACTATAGGTTAATTTTAAATAGGGTATTTATTTACTTGAACCCGTTTAGTATTCGCCATGCTCTGGATTGTAAGGTTATTTTCCTCCCCGGTATTTATATTGTATTATTACCAACAAACAATAAATACATAAATCGTCGTCGTCGTTCTATGTCCTCATGCATGCACATTATTCATGAGTAGTGAATGCAAATGTGAACCGTAATGAAATAAATGGAGCCTTGTGGTTGTCTTATTCCACTCAGATATTGATGAACTCTGACATTTCTCACATTAAATGAAATGGGTGCATGCATAATAAAAAAACGTGTTCAATATCATATCGATGATACGGATCCAAATTACATATCCGTCCGTTCGTCAGCAAGAAGAGAAGAAAAAAAGAAGAGAGAGAATTAGAATAATAAACGGGCTGAAACGAAGGAGAAAAAGTGGTGGCATGTATTAAAATGTAAAATGAGACTGGATGAAAATTAGGTGAGTTATGACCTTTGACCTCATCTTTAAGGTCATGGAAGCGTGGGGACAGACAGAGGGACAATGTTCTCAAGATTTTTCGATGTCCGCATCATCTGCCCATATATGTTATACATTATATAAACCCCTACCTTCCCTATTCAACAACATTAACGACCCCAAATGTAGGACATTTCATGTCCCTCAGCTTCCGAGGCCACTGGATCGGAGGTCAAAAATATTGAAGGCGTTGGTTTCGTGGCAAAATTTCCTTTAAAATGACACCCCATATGAAAATTAAGGTTAAATTTAATCTTGGACCACACCCCCTCGCGTTTATCCGACTGATGTCATTATCGAGCTTGACCGAGAACTAAAAATTATAACCCATGTCGAAAACGGGGTTTGATTATGTTCTGCACATATCCTTCGTACAGACGGACAGACAAACCGATCACAGTACGCAGCTCACCCCACTTAATAAAGGATCCTTCCCATGCCTCCTACTTATTTAGATAACATTGGCCATATCCCAATAATCCCGTCTAACTGAATGAATATGTACATATTCATAAATAAATACCCATTCATTTCATAACACAATCAACGATATCGGTCGGTCGGTGCGTTTATTTGTTCCTTTCTTCTTCTTCTTCTTCTTGTATAACAGCGTTTTATGAGGACATGACATGCTTTTGCATATCGTGAAGTGAAGGAAACGAAAAAGAAGAACCACATTAAATTAAGAAGAAAACGGTTAAACTTCGTTTAGAGTTACACATGCCATCATTTTCCAGGAGAGAGACAAACAACCCATTAAATTTCCATTTCATATGCGGCCAGGCCATCCTCGCCGTTTATATAAGTAATTTTCAGTTTGAAATTCAACTTTGATATGGTAAACATGCATTTAGAAAAAAACGGGGTATTATTTGAGGCTGGATGAGTTCACAAAGTTAAACTAAACGAGTTGTTGTGCATGTGTAATGAATGATCAAATGTGGTCGTTCTTATATATCGATTCTATCCAGGCATGAAACTCAATCACCAACCAACCAACCAACCAACTAACTAAAAGAACAATGCATAATATCCATTTTTCTGTGTTTCATCTCCTTTGATTCTTGCTGATTGGGCTGAAATGTGGGATCTGGAATTTGTCCCTTTTTGTCCGCTTTTTGGCTCTAAAAGAAATTACGTAAAAGCTATATAGAACAAAACAAGTTGTTAACTGTCCTCCGTTATTATATATTCGTCTACTTCAATCTGATGACCGTACCATGACAATCTCTACTAGAATGACGATGGAGGTCTCGCGGATGCTCCCAGATTTTGAGGAAATTAGTCTCAATCGAGGACAAGTTTGATTAGTATGAAATTTGTGAAAGACACGATCTCCCAATGAGCACGTTTGGCCGAGATATTTGCATCCGAAGAGGAGAAAACGCGCAGTAAAGTCGACAAATTTTACACTTTCCAAATTTATTGTGCCTCTTTTCTCCTCTTGGGATGCAAATATCTCGGCCAAACGTGCCCATTGGGAGATCGTGTCTTTCGCAAATTTCATATTAATCAAATTTGTCCTAAATTGACGCAAATTTTCCCCAAAATCTGAGAACATCCTCTCGGAGACCTCCATTATGAGATACATACATACGTACGTACGTATATACACTGTACTGTACATTTTGCGTCAATATTTCCGGGGAAAAGTTTTATTATGCGGACACATCCCCATACTGCGCCTCGACTTTCTTCTAATAGCATCATTACTTTTGCATGCTTGGCATCACATCACATCATCATTAATACAATATGCAATCCAGCCTGAGAGAGAAAGAGACTTTATTTTCTACTGTTCTACATGGTTAATGATGATGACACGATGCAGGCAGACATTGGCGATGGATCTCAAACTGCGTCATCAGCCTGTCCCTGCCTGCCTGCCTCTTGTTGTCTGTCACAATCTCGCTGACCCGTTTCCACCAGCTTTCACTTCCGGAAATGATGATGACCGTCATCATCCAAAACGGAGTCGTAGTTAGTTAGCTAGCTGGTTTTTTAGTCGGTCGGTATGCTTTCTCCGCCTGTTTTAGTGGGCGTTTTTCCTCTTTTGCGATGGATATGTAAAGAGAATTTAGGCAGATTTCCATCTCAGAGGAGACGATAACCAGGCATCAAGATATAAAATATCATCCAGGCGACCTCCCCCTCTCCCAAAATTGGTGGAATGGAAACAAATCAATCTTCTTGATCTCTCCATGGAAAAAAGTACTCTTTTAGTACATATGCATGAATACATAACTGTTGTTGGGGAAAGGCGCAGTAGTAATTGGTCACATTATTATTCGTACTTGTAGTGTTTCTCGTGGTGGTTGGTGAGGACAGAGATCGGCAAACCGTGAATGGAGGAATTTTGTTCGATCCATGGACCATTCCCTTTTTGTCATGATCATTTTATTCTTGTGTGTCCATCATCTATATAAAATTGTTGTCTTATCAAGAAGTCGTCGTCTCAGTGGGCGTGGAAGTGGGGGGACAGAGGGACAATGTCCCCCCGGTTGTCCGATGTCCCCATCATCTCCCCATGTTATACAAATCCGTCCCTCCCCCACTATCTTACAATGTTAATGTCCCAAGATGCTTACGCGGTCAACGCGTCGCCTCAATATTTTAATCATAAACTGATATTTACGGTATACTGAATAATTTTGAAACATTTGGAATAAATTCGAACCTTTTTGCATGAAATAAAATTCCATGCAAATGTTCTTATAGACGATGTCCAAGAATTTTTTTTTTTGGGGGGGGGCATGTGGGGACATTAGCATTATGTGATTAGAGTAGGAGGGACTTATTAACATGATTCTGCCGAATTTCTGGGGGGACATGTCCCCTTGTCTCCCTACTTCCACTGCCAATGGTATCGACAATCGTTTATCCTTGGACTTATCATCCCCAAATATTTTTGTGTCCAGCTCCACCCACATTTTTTGATGGTCCACCCATCCTAATTTTTTTCGTCCATCGTCCATCGTCCACGCCGAAGAGTGTTCACCGTATGTACAAAGTAGTAGGATTGCAAAAGTTGAGTTAGTTGGTGGTGGTGGCGGTGGTGATAAAGAGCAGTCACTCCATCCACTGAATTGTACATTCCCGTTTAGCCACTTGGTTGGAGAGGACCCTCGATCTCTGCTCCCAGCCACTCTCCACTTCGCCTTCTAAAACGTTAAACAAGAGTCGTCGTTCTGTTGACTTGACTTTCTTTCCCTTTCCTTCTTCATCATCCTCCCTGATTCGTCATCTCAAAATATTACACAATTCATCACAAGAAATCCCCCAGTTTTTTGGAAGAAAAACACGAAAAAACAAGAAGAATCAGAGGAGGAGGAGGAGGCGAAGAAGAAGAGCTTAAATAAGTTGTTAAATAGTTTATTATTTATCTCTCTTATAAACTATAATCATCATCGTCACACCACCACCACCAGCACTTTACCACCACCACACCATCATCAATCAGCAGCAGCAATATAATAATATAGTCGATATAACAGACCAGACCACCACCACCTTTATTTAATTCTCGAGCAAAACAATTGAAAATTGGGTGGATTGGAATTTGGTTGGAGGATCATGTTACTCTCTGTGTGGTGGTTATCAATCAATAATAGCAATAGTTTGTGTGGGGTCGTTGATGATTTGATCTAGTTTTGTAACAATAACATTGACTGACATATTAGTTATTTGTTTGTTATTAGTTGAGCAGCAATAATAACATCGACAGTTTGTAGTTTGTAAGAGTAATATGTCATTTTAATGTAAAATGCCCAACCTAACGGAAATCGTGTGTCAAGGATGGCTCACAAAGTCCCCTCCGACGAGAGGAATTTTTCGTCCGGTAAGTCGTTTTGAGTTAATTGTCGATGTAATTAATGGGTGGATAAAGTTAAATCTTTATTTACTTTTTTTACTTCTTTTTGCGCAGCGCTGGAGGAAAAGATGGTTTGTCTTGAAGGGAGGAAATTTTATACATCAGTTCGTGCTGGAATATTACACGGACGATTCTATGAAAAGATTAAAAGGGGGGATCAATTTGGACGAGTGTATGCAGGTGGGTATGGGTGGAAGGCGATTAATGATATTCTAAGGTTTATTTGTATTAAATTTATATGGTTGATTTTTTTGTGTATTAGATCATCGGGCCCTTGGCTGTACAAGAAAGGCATAAGCACACATTTCAAATCCACACGACTGGAAGGACATATTATTTAGCAGCGGAAAACAATAGCGAAATGCTGAAGTGGGTAACTAGTCTGTGTCAAGTTTGCGCTCTTAAGTCGGCCGATGAAGAATCCGATGCTGGGATGGGTACATAAGCATTTTTTAAATTATTACAAATATTTTCCACATGTTTGCATTACTAAAATTACCCTTGATTTATTAATTTCTTACAGTTTTCACGCGAACAGGAGATGAAAACAATAAACCCCGAACACCTGCGCAAACCGTGTTGGCGAATGGAGTGCGAAATCGTATCGACACAAACGAAAGTGATGATTCTAGCCCAACCTTATCCAACAAGCTCCCATCCGGTCCTTACATTCCTATTTCAGAGTGTTTCACTGGGAAACCAATGCCATTATCAAGCACTAGCGGCGATGTTACCTATTCCAACAGTAGTGTTTTTCAATTCCCACCCAAGGTCAACTGGGCGACGCACCCGTCGCAGAGAGAACACACAGACTCGGACGCAACTCCGACGCCCACACCGACATCGGCCGACTCTAAAATGGTCACTGGTTCTCCAGCCGTTCCACCACCACGTCCCCCTAAATCCAAAATGAATGGATCTCCGGTTTCCGTCACCGTAACATCACCTCCTTCACAGCAAGCGTCTTCCGACACTGCAGCAGCTGCCACCACCACACCGACCGACACGGTCGCAGCCGCCGACTCTGTCGCTGTCGCAGCTACGGATCATCTGAAATCACCTCTGACCCCATGCGAGACGGAAGACACGCTTGACTCATCCTCAACCTGTTCCTCACTGCACTCTCCACCCAGCTCTGCGGGGGCAGTATACTGTAATATATCGGAAATTGACTCAAGATCAGCAGCTGCTCGTGGAACGCTGGTATCCTCAGGTTCCCTCAACGCGAATTCCCCAACCTCCCCCTCTGAACTCACTGCTTCGACTACTGAAGGCGCTCCTCCTCCCGTGGTGGACAGAAACTTGAAACCACTCAGGAACACTGAGCCATTCGAAGCTAAAAGGACAATCACAACAAACACCACTAGTAAGTCAACTACATCCTCGTACGCCAGTGGGACCATGACTCTACCCTCTCGCGGTGGTCAGTACAACAGTAGACAGCACGGGTATGCATTTTTCGCCGGACCAGTCATTGACCGAAGTAGAAAGCCTCCCGACGGTCACTTATCACTCGGACCAACCCCCGCACAAATGAAGAGCAGTCATGGAGGAGGAGGACGTCAATCTTTCTCGACATCACAACACTATAACCAAAGAACTCTTCCATCTAGTCCACACCGTCGAGCTGGCCCTGTCGTTTCTCCGAATGAGAGGAGACCTCCCGTATTCCACGAGTACGAGCAGGCCAACGAAATGAAGGGAACCTATTTACAAATCGAATGTCAGAACAAAGACGCCGTGTCGCCAAAATTCCCAGCCCCCGCGAAAACCATGAGTGGTCGGAGAGGATTCGCCAGCATACATCCTCCAATAGATCCCAGTGGATCCGTCGAATACCGTCTCATTGACCCGGTGAAGACGAAAGCGCTAAATAGGACCATTGAGGACAGAGAAAAACAACTTCGCAGCATTCGAGGTCATCACTAAGAATCAACACCAGTATATAATAACAAAACAACAAAAGTATAATAGCAGCAGGACAAGGAGCAAAACAGATTGCTAAACTTATCATGTAATATCATGGAGCACTAAACTATATACTACTAGTTATTTATTAATCCTGGTTCAAAACTATTTTATAGGAAAAAAGTGCCATTATTATTACAAGATTATAGATGACGAATAGAATATATTTATTCTCCTATACTACAACTACTACATACATAAATACTACTACTGCTATTTACTCTTTACTACTATATATATTTTGGAATATTTTGTATGTATATAAATTCATTCTCGGTTCTCGGTCAGTTAGTTTTCGGGTTTGTACGAGTATTCAACTACTACTTTTTGTAATTGTGATCAGATCAGGTTTAATTTATTATTATGCGAAATTATTACAATGTACAATAATCCACGCACAATTTCCATCTATCTCTACAAACTACTACTTACTTATGTACTACTACTCTTGTTATTTTGTTACTTAAACGCTAAATTGTTACGAATTTCCTATCTCTTCGGTATGAATGAAAGTTTTTAACGATGGCTGGCTTAGCCATTACTTCCTGTTTGACTGACCATTTTAATTTTCTATCTAACTTTTGGTACAAATAATTCACTCGTTATTCAACATACCTACGTTAATTTCATTCATTAAAAATTGTATTGTTACTACTTCTTTTTTTCTCTTTCTCTGTTAATGACCCCTCAAGCGCCCTTCACCTCTCGGCCTTTACCTCTCAATCAAATAATAGAATGGTGGAATGTGCACGAGGGGAATAATAAGTAGTAAAATTTTCACAATCCTAAAAAACAATATCAAGAAATCAATCAATCACTTATACGATTTCGGAACGTAGACACATCACAGTAAAAATATTTATGACTATTTACGCAGAATTATATACATCACTCTCAATCTATCCATTGTATTATATATGTACTGAAACAATCACATGTCATGTACCCTTACAACAAATGTACCATTCATTCATACATACAAATAAGCAATTAATTCATTTATTGTGATGCGAATAACCAACTAACTAACTAACATAACCAAATCCTAATTTTCTCCTAGATGCTCATAGATAAATTAAATTTTAATTAATTAGCTTACAATTAATTTAGATTTTTGCAGTAGAGAAGAAGGAAAAAAACTGTGAATGTTAAATCTGCATTTTTGTCTTTGTTTTTCTGGAATAATTCACATGGACATGCAATCAAGTGTCTCATGTTGTACTATTAACGATAAGTGTATGCAGTAACCCCCACCCCCCAGAAAGAGAGATATCTATATAAGTATAATATTGTTATTAAATTGTGCAGGTATTTGCTATCTGGTGGAGATCATGCATAATGATGATGTTGATGAATGGGCAATAATAAAGAAACGGTGAAATTACAAAAAATTGACGCGCATTTTGATACATATTTTTCATTTAGGTTGATTTCTGGCTAGAAAAAGTCGAAATTTAGCACATGTTATTAATATATAACAATTAAACAATGAGGGTATTCACTACTAGATAGCATTGCAACATAATTTTTGCGAAATTGCGAATTTTGCGAAGCAACAAAGGGCACGATTCTGCGAAGTTCAGAGAATTTGGTATGTGAAATTTCAAAAATTTCATAAGACAAACATTCGGTAAAGATTTATCGACTTTCCTCATTTCAGAATTTTCCAAATGTGCATGTCAAAAATATTTTGCGAACTAAGGAAATACGTAATTTCGCAAGTCATTTTTTTTTGCGAACTTGCGAATTATGCGAATTCTTAATGAATACCCTCAATATTTACAGCACATAACAAATAGCCATGAATGAACACAAATACCCAGCTAAATAAAATTACACCCACACATTACAATTACTTAACTACAATTAACCATCTAACCTAACTAACTTTATGCAAATGCGTAAATACAAAATGAGACAAACATGAGACTCAAGAAAGCAGCTTGCATTCGCCTCTCACTCAACTCACCAAAAGATGAGTCTCTCCATAAAAGATAACTGTATCACTTTTTCATGCTTATGCTTATGCATGTGAGGCAAGTTGAGACGGGGGGCAGAATGAGACTGGAATCTACACCACAGACCCAGCCAGAGCCCAGTGCTACTGGAGAAGAACAGAGCGTGCGTCCCTCTCTCAGCCATGTTGCAAATGTGCGAATGCACGAGGTTCAACTTTTCCTTCTCTTTTCTTCTCCTCCACTTTTCCACTCGTTCCCAAGAACAAACGCAACTTATTTTAACTATTCTGTTCCCACTAATTAAGTTTTTTAATTTATCGGAACACAAGCCTTCGCTTAATTAAGTATTGTATTAATTGTACCGCACTGTATCCCGGACCGTCCGGTTTTTGCACCCTGGTGTCTGGCTGGATAAGAAAAAGATAAGAATATGTCGGCTAATCCGTCTCTTCCAAATAACCGAACACTACCACCGAAGGAGTATGCTCTGTTCAAAAGGATTCTGGTAAGTTTATTTTTAATTGTTGGGAGGGGAAAGGGTTAAGTTTAGCTAGATATTTGGGGGGGGGGGGAAGGCGAAAAAAGTTGGAAAAGTTTTTTGGAGGGGAATTAGTAATGTGTGAAATTTCTGTCTTTTTTTCTAGAAATGTTACGAACATAAATTGTACAAGAACGGACTCAAGTTCGCCAAGCAGATCTTAGGCAATGGACAATTTGCGGAGCATGCGGGTAAGAATTTATTTAAAGAATTATTTATTTCGGGTTTAGTTGATTTGATTGGGTGAACTGGGTGGAAAGTTTTTGATGTTGAAAATAAATATGTAGAGGAGAAGATGGGGTGGTTTATTAATTATTATAGTTAAGAGCTTATCCGGCTAATTATAATAGACTTTTGTGACGAGGAATATAATTTACACGCATTTCACTCATTGGTTGTGCATGTGACCTTGAATGTTGATGGGAGATCATAATTTAACATTTTGTTTGCCTCTTTCTGCAGAAACTTTGGCTATGAAGGGGCTCATCCTCAATGCCCTTGGAAGACGGGAAGAAGCCTATGAATACGTTAGGAGGGGGTTGAGGAACGACTTAAAATCTCATACCTGTTGGCATGTCTATGGACTCCTGCAGGTAAACTTGTACCGAGCGTTTACTATTTTGTATTTTATTTTATTTAGATACATTTTAGGATCATATTGTTAAATTTATTCTTTTGCAGCGATCCGAACGAAAATACGATGAGGCAATCAAATGCTATCGAAATGCACTGAAATGGGATTCGGCCAATGTTCAAATTCTGAGAGAACTGTCCATAGTTCAAGTTCACACACGAGATTTAGTCGGCTATCGGGTACGTGACAGTAGTAGCAAAACAAATTATTATACTATAATCCAACTTTGTTTTTACTAATAAAACTTGTTTTCTATTCCTTCAGGACACACGAAACACTCTTTTTCAACTGAAACCAGCCCACCGAGCCTCATGGATTGGATTGGCAATGTCATATCATTTGCTAAAAGATTATGACATGTCGTTCAAAATTTTAGATGCTTTTAGCAAAACATTAACCGTGAGTAGTTTTTACAGATTGTTTACTTTTACTCGTGTTTGACATTTGTTTTAAACAAGTCTCGGTCAATATTTATTTTATACAGATTCGTGATTCATACGACTATGAAAAGAGTGAATTGCTACTGTATCAGAGTGCGATATTAGAAGAAAGTGGCGATCTCCAGTCTGCTAAAAAGTTCCTTTTGGACCATGAGCGGGACATTTATGATAAGTACACCTTCCATGAGAGTATATGTACGTTAACTTTACAACCCAAACAGACTAACCAATCATTCATAAAATAAAACTAAATGTAATTCTTATCCGTTTGCAGGTAGACTTTACCTAAACCTTGGCGAGTATGGGCGAGCAGAAGCTGGGTATCGCAAATTGCTCAGTATGAATCAGGAGGACGGCGCCTACTACGAGGGATTAGCCAAGGCAATGCAAATTGCGGATGATCCGGCAGCCAAGCTGCAATTGTATCGAAACGTTGAGCGACAGTATCCACGAGCTTACCTCCCCAAAAGGTTACCCCTGGACTGTGCGGAAGGAGAGGAATTTCTGACTTACTTGAGGCCTTACCTCGCCGCCGCTTTGGACAAGGGAACACCCTCACTCTTCACTGATATTAAGCCCATGTATCAAAATCCGGCAAAAGTGATTCAAATCGGAAACCTAGTCGAATCTATGGCTAACTCTTTGAGAGACTATGGGAAGTTCTCTAAGGGTAAGAAATATCAATTCACTATCCACGTCCATGTCCTGACTATTTGTAATGTTGACTGACCAAGTTTTCTAATTCCTCCAGATGACGAGAAAGTTGCATCCGCCTCTGCATTACTGTGGACGTATTACTACTTAGCGCAACATTATGATTATCATCGCGACACTGACACCGCTCTTGCATACATTGAGAAAGCAATCGAACACACTCCCACTTTGATTGAACTGTTCATGTGCAAAGGGAGGATTTACAAGCATATGGGCGACATGAATACGGCTGCCCAATGGATGGATGAAGCACGCGAGTTGGACACGGCTGATAGATTTATTAACTCTAAAAGTGCCAAATATCAATTGCGAGCCAACCGTGTGGAGGCTGCGGCTGCTGTCTGTGGAAAATTTACAAGGGTTCGTGAGATGATTTAAACAAATTGGCATAATTTTCATCAATATTTGTAATAACTTTATTCATATGATTGCAGGAAGGAGCGTCTCCCATGGAAAATTTGAATGAAATGCAATGCATGTGGTTTCAAACTGAATGCGCTTTAGCATACCAACGACTCGGACAACTTGGTGACGCTTTGAAGAAATGTCATGAAGTTGACCGGGTAAGAATTCCCACTCCATTGGTCCAATAATAAATGATCAAACCTGGTCGTTATTTCTTCAAATAAAAACACAAACATATAAATATCTACGGTTGTAAACATGATGTAGCAAAAATCCAATAGATCCTTCTGAGTACACTTTCTGAATGAGACTTAATTTGCCTGATTGCACAAAAAATATCTGCAAAAAATCAAAATATATTCCTCTTGTCATTAATTAATTACGTTATGTAACCAAATCCTGTATCCTTTTTTGTTGCAGCACTTCACAGAAATCATCGACGATCAATACGACTTCCACAGCTATTGCCTCAGAAAAATGACGCTACGCTCATACATGGAGCTGCTCCGTTTGGAAGATGTTCTTCGAGCACATCCGTTTTACTTCAAAGCTGCAAGGTACGTGGAAAAACAAATAATTGACGCAGAAAATACATCGTAAAATCCTCTTTATCTCATAAACCCAATTTGTTAATTGCTTATCTGATGTGTACTACACAACAATTCATAATTAATAATAATAATCTTACATCGTGAAATAATAATCTTCCCTCGCGCAACAATATCTTCTACTGGTATCATTATATTGTATATATTGTTGCAATTCAGGATAAAAATTATGTTGGAAAGTTATTCAATCCAAATCGAGGCGGCGGATTGGAAGAGAGTTGCATTTATTTACCAGTAAAAAATGCAAAAGAAATAAATTGTCCAAATGGCCGGAAATAAGATCCTTATTAACTAAATGTTTACCACACATCGAGCCATTGTTATATAGTTTCTTCTTTAACTCATTATCCACAATTTCAATGCGTTATTATTATTATATTACGAGAAAAACTGTATAATTTATAGCCTTGTCGTACTCCCCATCCCGCTGAGGAGCAAAGTGTACTGTTATTAATCCATTTATTTTACTGTTAATTGTTTTCTTCTTATTGTTGTTTGTAGGTGTGCAATCGAAGTTTACATTCACTTGTATGACCACCCTTTACAAAACAAGTCGGCGGATGAGCAAATTAGTCCAGGTAAGAAAACTTTGCTGACAAGTTCACACGCTTCTGCTTCCTCTCAGACATATCGTATTGAGAGAAGAGGTCTTGGCCTATCATGGGGGACAGTTATCTATACATTTTTATTCCCATCACACAGTCGTCGAAGCCGTCTTTAGTGACATCAGTATCATTTATGTCACTTATGCCTTTCAAGCGGACAGACGTCACTTTCATTTTTAATTTAAACACACAGTTTGAAATTAAATCTGTCACTCGTTTCCTGTGGCATGATTTTTATTCTTGCTTGATTTCTGTTCTCGTTCATTACTGAACTGACCGAGGATTTATGTATTTATTTATTTGTTCTTGATTACCTATGCTTGCTAATTTGTATTTATGATTTTTTTTATCCTTTCAGTCATTCCCATTACAGGTTACTGCTGCTTAATCAAATTGCGTGATTTTAACCGTATGTGCTTTTGGTTTGTATATATGCTGATTTGATAACTAAAAAGGGCTTATGTATTTTATTCGTAGCGCGTATATATTTAAGTAGTTGCGTTGCGTTTATTACTTACCCGGTCTGTATTTAATCTGGTTTATGAATGGGGACATGTTTCTTTGTGGGGTAGATTTTTTTTATGCGAGCTGTGACCAATTACTTAAGCCTAAAACCTAGGCAGAGAGAGGGAGAGAAGAATTGAGAATGATACTTTGATCCAATTCTTGGGAAACATTTAGAATTTCATTATTGTTGTTACGCGACTTTTCGAAATGCATTATCTATTCGTTGACTTATCTTTGTTACCTCTCTCTCTCTGACTAAATACCTAATACTAGAAACTCGTAGAAAGCACATCCGGACTGAATTATTCTATTTGTCGCATTTATTCATTCATGTGCGTCAACAATGAGGAGGAGGAATTTGATATTATTATAATAGTAATTGAGCTCTGTATAACGCGATAATATTTTGCATACTGTCAAACTATTTGGTATTCAGCGGCTCAATTTGCATCCTGATGAAGTAAGTAAGTAGTAGATTGCTTGCTTAGTATTTAGTAGAGCCGTTGGGGATATCTCGTCCTGCTGAATTTTGTAGCATGGCTTGCAAATAATACCTGACAGATTATTATTATAATCCTGTTGACAATAATTAAACTGTGTGAGTCAGGATAACAGTAACAACAACCTTGTCTTTATGCAAGTGACTGAGGTGCAATTTTTCTCTGCTTGGTTTTTTTACACGAGTAAATATTTAGTCATAATTACTTCTAGAAGAAAGAAATCATGGAAAACTTGTGCAAAATGGCAGGATGTAAACATGATCAAATGTCCTTCACCACCTTTGAGCCAACATGAGTACATACAAACGACTGGAAATTGTTGTCACCTGTAGAGAAAAAAATGCTTATTATGACAAGTTGGGACGAATTGCCTTGAAATTTTGCCTTTTCGCATATCAATGGTTGAATTATGGTGAAAAAAGTGTGTCGCGGTCGAAATGCGAAGCTGCTAATCGGATTCGATATGACATTTTATTTTATTTTATTATTCATACACTTAGAAGATCTGAGCCTGTGTTTACACGGTGTGCATCAAGCATGTAAATAATCCCAACTTCCTTCCCATTCTGATTGATGCGTGGCAATACATAAGTGAGCTGCAAAATGGCACCACTTATTGTTCTTTAGATCTCTGCGTTTTGTTTGTGCGTAATAAAATAGTTCATGGTGATGACGAATTGTTGACGAAATGATGTCTACTTAAAGGAAAAGTGAATCCAATAAATGTTTAGGTAATTTAGGCAGGTCTAACAATTTGTTAGCGTGAAAATTATTGGGTAGGCAGGTATGCTCGCGCTTTTAATGTAATTACGACCAGAAAGTCCATTTTCCTTAATCACACACATGTCCATGTCGCCACACGCATATGAGGCAGGCAGGCAGGCGGACAAGGCATGTAAGATTAGGTAGGGCTGGTTAACACCAATTAATGATCGATTGAGTGGTCAGTTTCAATATTTGTGACATGATTGTCTACCATGCAATTATGTGGTGGTTCTCGCAGTGCTGCAATTGAGCGTAGGACCTGTATCGATGCAAATGTATTTCAAAAAACTATTAAGTTTTTACCACACTGCATTATTGCTTTGGTTTGGTTAAGGACTCAATTGGACATGTATGTATATAGGCACACATGTTGTCATTAGTCATTAGGTGGACATGTATATATTGGTTTGGATCAAGCAAGTGCTTCCGTTCAGTTTTTGCCGTATAGTGATCACTTGATCACTCACTCCTTTTGGCGTAAGACAAGAGTCATAAATAATGCATGTAGTAGCTGTCGAGTGGAGCAAGAAATTAATGACGATAAAATACAAAACCAATGACTCTGTTGCACATTATTGTATCGTAATTATGAGGCCAGTTACATACTTACTTAGATCGATATACAGATATTGGTTGGAGGCAGTTGTAATGACAATGTCGTCGTAATTGTGTTAGAGGAATACCATCATCATTATTATTATTATTATTTTGCAAAAGATGGAAAGAGCGAGCAAGCAAGCGACCTGCAGGGTGGAGGGGGCCACGCCTTGCTTACTTTACTTTATACAGCTTACTTAACTCAGAGTTCAGTTCAACATACATTTATTATTATGTCCTCAGGAAAAGAGAATGCAGTTATTCCACTAGCAGCAGTAAGGAATGAAAATTGCTCCCATTTTTACTTTTTGACCCATTTTTTATCCCAACGACCAACCTGATTCATTCGCGTATTACTTAACAAAATAATGATAATGTGTAGGTAGGTGCAGGTAGGACTTATGTATACATAGAACAGGACAAACTTAAGGATTTTCACCCCAACATGACACGAAACATCAGGGGCAGAGGAAGAAGTCGTGGGGACATTAGCATTGTAGGATAAGGGAGGCATGGGTTTATATGAGATGTCGACATCGAAAAACCGTGGGGACATTGTCCTCCTATCCGCGGCGACTGGTCGTCTGTCGGCATTTCTTAGAGACATAAACTTTACCATTTTTATACGATTATTATTAATCGTCCCATTAATTTAATGGTACTGGCTCTCCTCTTAATTTAATAGTTATGATTATTTTGCTTCGATCAACGACTGAGACAGATGGAGATAATGAATAAGTGAGCAAGGCTGGTCAGCACCGGCCACGCCAGGTCTAAACGTATTATGAATTATTGTGATGATTATTATGTAATAATGATGACCATTAATTACGCTTTTTTCTCTCTCTTCTTTCTTTTTCTTTTCAATACATAACATCATTCGCATTCTTTTCCTTTATTTTATTTTACTTGTCCTTCACACATTTTATAACAAATTTGAGACGACGACGAATTTTTAAAAAATATAGGGTAAAACTTATCATTATCTTCTGTACATTTATCGATTTACATATATTTATAACGCGACGATTGATCAACAATGAATGAACGAATGTGGGACGCGTGTCTTATGGGAAACAAGGTTGATAATTGAGTCTGAAAATTGAAAATCGCCTCTACTTACGTTTAAAAAAGGGGTACACACAATACAATATATACGTATTTATCTATATATAACTTATGTATACAGGCATAGTAGCATAGGAAATTGATACGTTCTGCACAGTAGATGAGCACAAGTCAAGATTACAAGAGCCATAAGAGAAATATATAATTGACTTTTTTTCACACTGTAAAAATTGAGCCGTAGTGGTAGTATCGTTTTGTCAACACGGTGATCCTAAAAAAATGGAGGAAGGACGCTAATTAAGTAGGCAAAAGGGGGAACCCGGGGGTTAGTGACGACTTGTATGGCATCTGATCAGTTCCATCACACGGTGTGCATGCAAAAAAAAGGTTGAATGGTTGATATTTGACACCACTGTGTCACCACGTCCGTTGAGAATCGATTCCTTATTCCTGGCTGCTAGCTACTACCACTTTATTTAAGGAATAATTCATGTAGCAAGCATTTTTTTCTAAGCGGTATGAATGAAGTGATACTTGTACACACACCACGCCAAACAATGATAATACGACTGAGATATTACAATGTCGAACAATAAGATCGTGTCTTTTTGCTGCATATCTTACTTAAAGACCCAGCCTTTCCCTCAGGCTGTGTTATTTCTTTCATGCACGACGCTTCGCCAGTCAGTCAAGACTTGTGGATAAATATTTGACATTATTTTTTTCTCTGTAGTAATGTCGGACCTCAACTTCAATTGAATGACTGTACAATATCTGCTGCTGCACCAACACAAGTGCAGTCTTGTAACCTTAATTGTTCTTTTTGGATGCAGCAACAACAATAGAGTTGAACAAGTTTTTACCCTTAACTCAGTTTACGCTAAGTTTAGTTGGTATTCTTAGGAGGAGAATTACACAGATTTTGTAGAATTTATGTATGTATGCAAGTGTCTCTGTTATATCACTATCTTGACAACTTCCTTCCAACCGTTTCCATTGAGTGAGCCCTTTCACATATCACAATCCCTGCGCACGTTTTGCACGACGAAGTACCACCACTACCACTTTTAGTTATCTATGTGCGTCCGAGGAGGTATATTTATTTATAAACGTAAATAATTGTTCCTTCTCTCTTAACGTATCATTAATATTATGTGGTGGTGGTACTACTTAATGAAAAGGTTTATCTCATTCAATGGCATTTATGAGGTCGTTACACACACACAGACACACTTGTTATTATTATTTAATTATGTTGGCTAGCTTCTCGTGTACCGGCTGCAGTACTACATTTTTTTTCCTACATACTCCTTGTTGGTTTTTTTGGTTTGGCACTTTCAGTCAAGTTTCTCTTCTTATTTCTTCATAATTTGATTTTGTAACTAAAACCTCCCGGTCCGCCGCGTTGGAAGGAGTAGTAGCTTCCATCGGGGGAGGTGGAGGAGGGGGAATTGCCAGTCTTGCCAGGGTCTCCTCCTGTCGCCGAGGAGGAGGCGGAGGCGGACGAGGACGCCGAGGTGGCCGGTTTGGTACTCGGACCGGCTCGAAACACCGTCGTTGTCCGTGTAGTTACCGCTTCCGATTCTGTATTGTACTGGGGGAGTGGTTCCCTGTGAGAGAAGAGGAAAAAATTGGAGGGATTATTGCACATGAGGAGGAGGAGGAGAGAAGAAGCATTGTTTAAGATTATGTACAAGTCATGAGACAATAATAAAAACAGGGGCCGCGGAAGGGTGAGGGGACAGAGGGACAATGTCCCCATCTTGTATAAACCCCGGCCTCCCATATTCAACAATTTTAATGTCCCCAGATGTCCCCACAGCTTCTTCCGCGACCACTTAATAATAAACATGCATCTCGCAGAGAATAGATGTGCAGATGAAAATTACAGGGTTTTGTTGTTTAGTACAGAGACCTACATTCTTCTGAAAGCTCTATGAAAACGGGGGAAATGTTGCGTCACTTAGTTTACATTTCATCCATTCATGTATGAATACATATCACATTCAGTGAGTGAGCAACAACCGCTAACTAACTACTGTCTTGTGTTAGATCATGATACCGAATTAAATAATAATAATTCCATTGTTACCAATTTTATGCGAGGTGGTGTGGTATGTTGCGGTATTACTTTTTTGATTGTAGTGGTGATGGTAGTAGAAATGGAAACAAATAACTATTTGCAATCGCGTTCGCTTGTGACTTGACACAGTCAGAGGATAATCATAATTGTTTTTTTCTTCTCTGTCTCTCTCCCTCATCAGAGATATCGTATCATGGCGTAAGAGAAGTTTCAATTTAGCAATGGACAAAATCAAGCCAGAAGAAATTAACATGTCGTCGTTCTCGTCGTTCCTTTCTCATAAAATGAATCTGTCTTTCTTTCTTTCAAACATTGCGACACACGTTTTACGATGGCAGGATTATTACCGTTTTTTTAAATTTTATTTTACTACAAATTTTGCCGTAAAAGAAGATAATTCTGGACTAAGGATTGAGTTCATTGATTCATAAAAATATTGGAGTAATGGTCATGGTTTTTTTAGAGCAGAGATAAATAATAATTTAACGTCTTGCACATTAAATATATGATTCATGATTATCTCTTTCTGCCTGCGCGTGCTTTTTACACTTGCCGATGGTAAAATTCCGTAGTTGAAACTGGCTCAATAAAAATGGGTGGAGTCGTGTCGAACTAAACATGATCTTTCTTTCTCCTCTTTCGCAAACTATCAATGAAGCATGACCAAGTTCTCTGCTGTTGTAAAGGTTAATTGGTAGCAGGCTGTGCTTTATGAATGTAGGTATGTATGGGGCACATTCCTCTATATTCGGCCTACACGTTCGTCATATCGTCATTATACTCTTCACTTCTTTTCTTTAACAAGCATCAGATTATCGTTATGATTGTTATTATTATTTCATTATTCCTGTTAGATTCATTCAGGTGGGGCTCTGACATGTCCCTCAACTGACGGTAATAATATTATGACGATTAGAGAGAGAGAGAGACTTCATTTTTAGCAATGTTGTGAAACTAGGTTCCTTCACAATATTTTTTTGAAGGACACGACACAAGTGTTTTGATTTGATGTAGAGCAAACATTTATTATTGTCCCTGTAGAAAAAAGGCTACAAGTGTTATATTCATTCATGTGAAATGGATGCATTATTTTCCTGACATTCCATGGGAATTGGACAGTGAACGAATCGACAGGAGGCATTGTGCGTTTGTTGGGCATTGTTTATGTATGTACAGTTTTGTGCTTTATGACTGACTTGAGTTATTTAAATGATGATGTGTGTGTCCTTTTTTTATCCTTTCACTTGGTCAGTCAGTCAGTCAGAAATGGGATGAGAGGGTTTTAATAAAGGAGATTTAATTTGTATGAAAATTGAGACAATTAGACGCACCTGTAATTCACGTACAGATCTTGACGAAGGGGCGATTGTTGTTGTTCTTGTTGTGGGAATTGTTGACTTAAAAGGGGCGACCTATACTGGTCAGGGTTTAGCAGGGATTGACCCCCGTTTAGGTTTTCTTGTTGGTTGAAAAATGGCTGGAAAGTTTGTTGTTGAGGTTGTTGGTATGCAAGGTTGTTGTTTTGGTTATTGAAGTTATTGCGAAATTGTTGCGAATTAGGGAAATAGTTGTTTTGTTGCGGTTGGGATTGTTGGAGGGGTTGGTAGTACTGCGTTATTGGGGAGTAGTAACCATCAACTTGGGGTCGAGGTTGAGGCTGTTGAGGGTTGAAATATTGGTTTTGGAAGTCGAAAATGGGACCACGTTGTCGAACTGATTGGTTCGAGGGGTAGATGAGATTCGGCTTATTGTTAGATTGTGGTTGGACCGTGGGTCCGAACGCGGGGCGGAAACCGGTCGCGAAATTGTTAACTTGGGGGAGACTGTTGGCACCGCTATTGTGATTGTAGGCGTGGGGTTGACGCCGCGAGTTGGTGTCGGCGTTGTTGAGATTCGTCGCGATGGTGGGGGTGAGGGAATATTTGGGTGATTGGAGTTGAATTATGGTCGGTTTTTGGCGCTGACCACCAGTACCACCGAGAGGCGTGTAGTAGTTATTGTTGGGATGCTGGAATCCATTGTTATCGTCAGATTGGTACACGACATTATTCTGATTATTTTGATGGTGGCGAAGATTGCTCAACCCATTGTGATGATTATTGTTGTTCTGGTTGTTAAGATAAATTGGGGGCGATTGTTGATCGAGAACAATTGGTCGGACGGTGTGAGATGGTCTGTCGTTATTATTATTTATAAAGTATTGATGATTCTGAATCTTCTTACTGGTCGGTTTTTTCGTGTACATGTTATAAATGGCGTCATACTTTGGCGTATTGTAGTACACGGATTTGACCGGAAGTTCCGTGGGTTTCTTGTTATACTGGAGGATAACGTGGTCCTCATCGTCCAGCACTCTGGTTGGATAACCACGCTCATCAAACGGAGGGCGTGGCGTGGGTTCATACGGAGAATAAAGGTCTCCCTGCTGCTGCTGCTGGTTGTGTTGATTGAGCGCTTCTTGATTCAACTCTGCCAAGGATTTCAACTGACCTCGCACATACACATAGTTGTTCAACGGCTTCGGAGTAGTCACAATTAAGTTGGTAACAATTGGCGCAATTGTGTTTGTTATCAGTGGTGGCACTACTGGAAGTGGTTGTGGTGGTGGAGGCGATGGTGATTGAATATTGTTGAATTGATGATCATCCAACTCGTCATCTTGAGACAAAGGAGTTATCGGTGGTGGTGATATCACGTTACTCACATCCGTGTCCGCCTCATATTTTGACCCAACGTTAAAATTGCCCTTGTTGAGCTTGGTCCCAGCCCCACCCAAAAGAGCAGCCCCTGGGCGAGTGTATTTTCTCTTCTTATTGTTGACATTGTTAACATTGTTGTTCAAGGCTGCTTCCGAGTTGTGGTGGACGTAGGGAAACGGTGTGGTCACGAGAGGCTGGTAGGCTTCCTCGCTATCGTCGGGTGGGTTGGTCATGGGGAACTTTGGTTTCTTTCCGTTAGGTCTTTGTTGCGGTCTTTTATTGCCGAAGGAGTTGTACAATCCGGTCGCAGGGGGGAAGGTGGGACGTGTCGTGGTGGTGGGGGTTTTGTTGTACACGGTGTAAAAGTTTTTAGGAGGTGGGACCACGAGTCCCGGGGCGAACGGGCCGGGCGGCACGATGGTGGTGTTATCATCTTGATAATCAAAGTCGTACGGTGGGGGGAGGAAGATTGAGGGGTCGTCGGTCTCATTGTCGTTGGGGTTGAGGACGAGTGGTGGGAAGAAGGGTGGGTATCCGCCAGGACCGGGACCGGGTGGTCCGCCGGTTCTGTTGAAGCCGGGCGGAGGTGGGTAAAACCCGGGTGGTGGCGGGCCGGGTGGGAAAGATCCGTTTCTATTATTTCCTGGGGGAGGGAATGGGAAAAAGTGTGGTGGTGGGGGTAACTGGTTATTAGTAAAGTTGCCCTGTGGTGGGAAGAACGGGTATGGGGGAGGTTGTCCGTTATTGTTCGGGTTAAAGTTTCCCGGACCATACCCACCACCACCGTATTGCCCTCCGGGGGGTGCACCTTGTGGAAAAAGTGAGTTATTTCCTCCCCGGAAGGGGAGGGGTGGTGCGAAGTACTCAGGTATCGAGCCATTCGGGTAAAGTGGCACCATTCCCGGGGGAGGTAGCCTGCTAGGATCGAAGGACTCATTAAACGCACCAGGTGGTGGGTATGGGAGCCCAAAGGGTGGAAGTGGCCCCAGAAAAACGGGAGGCCCCGTATCATTCACAAAGACGGGGAACGGGGGTGGATTATTAGAATCCAACGCAATCCTCAACGGTGGTCTATTTCCGCGCTGATAGTTATCAATCGGTTTCCAATGTTCTCTCAACGACGCGTCCAAATCACCCCCTTTCAAAACCAACAAATGTCCATCCGATAACCAAATATCGTTCGCTTTCACATTCCCTAACGTTTGCTTGTTATCATTCTTGGGGAAATCGTCACTCGCCTTGTACGAAACCAGACCCGGTGCTTGGGACGGCTTATCATCGAAAAACTTATCGATCAAGGCATACTTCCCGTCTTGGGAGCCAATCTCCAACGCCAAATTTTTATCACCTCCACCACTCGTTGTACTGTTATTAACAGCGGTTAGTTTCTCATCCTCGCTACCACCTTCCTCCTTATTTCTCGTCACGACGATCTTGTTCTTATTCGGACGCTTGACCTTTCTTCTCCGCCCGCTCTTTGGCTTGGTGCTGATTGGTTTAGGTGTGTACTGCTCTTGTTCGATGGAGGACGCTTGTTGTGGGGATGGCTCTGCCGGCTCCTGGGGCAAAGTCACGGTCCGGATGCGGGACCGATTTCTGCGGACGGATTTTAATTTCTTATGGTGGGGACGACGACGTGTCGTCTTTCTCGTCGTGGTGGGGAAGGAGCTTGGGGGATATCGAGAGTAGGTGGAGGGGTCATCTTCCGATGGATTTTGATAAGGTTGTAGGTGTCCCCCCTGGTCTGGGTCGGACTCAGTCTTAATTTCTTCAATGGAGTTGGAAGGGGCGGAGGGGGGAGGGTAGATGGAGGGTTGGAAAGACCTATCACTGTTTAATCGTCGCCTATAAATTAGGGTGGGACTCGCCGTGATAATCCCATCACTCCCGTCCTCATCTTGTAAGTCTTCTTCCCCACTGTGGGTCCGAATTCGTAGTGGCGTCACTCCCAAACTCGTCAACAATGAGAGGGTGACAATCAGTGTGACGTGAAACGTGGGTGTCGTGACCCTCATGGTGGTGACTACACGGGATTAAAAATAGGTGGGGTTTTCCCTCAAAAAGTTGGACTTGGTTGGGTCGTATGAATTTACATAATTTGGAGGAGGGGATCTAAATGCTTGTTTAAAAAATTGTTGCTTTAATTACCTTGTCGTTAGCTTACTCCTTAACTGCCCAGTATTTTTATTAGTATTTTTGGCTGGGTAAATAATTCTGCTGGAACTTATACCACTAATTTTATCAACCAAACACAATTTCCAGCTCCAGCCGGACTTGATGTTCGACTTGGTTCCGCACAATGTTCTCCTTACACTGAAGAAGGTCCCGTCTTTTTTCTCAGGCTTTCCACAATAGTGGATAAAATCGCAGTTATGCTGGTAGCAGTAGTAGTAGCAAGGAAATGGCTTTTCTACAAATTTGCATCCCATGCTAATAGTGCATGCATTCTACAGGTTTTCAGTCTTCCTCATCCTCCCCGATGTTTCAGAGGTTTACACAAATTCCTACACAGCCAACTTGCATAAGACACGAACGAACGAACGAGTAACCCTCACATAATATCCACATGATTACTCATCGACCCAACTACCAGTTGTGGTTTCCTACCTGGGGGCACAAGCCCCATACTGCACGGTACACCAATTTCATAAAAATGCACTAAAACCAACCAGCCACCCACCGGGATTAGTATTTTATTACACTCCTACTTGATCCTGGTGAACTTTTCTATGCAAAAATCTATGTAATCACATCTCGTCTTACTGGAATTTTAAGACTCTTATTCATACAACGACTCGTTTCTGCTGTTGAGTTCGGAACGGTCACAGTGACACTGACGAGAGTCGATCACTTGGTTTCTGTCTCAAGCCAACGCCACAGATTATATGGGAGTAGCCTAGTAGCTCTACTACTAGGAGTGCATACTAGGTAGTAAATAATCGTGCAAAAAATAAGCAGTGCACTGCCGTAATGGAGAGTTTAGTTTAAGGGGAGACAGAGATTGATTGTTATAAAATAGTTGGCAATGCACAATCCTAGTGCTCGTGGTCGTGGTGGTACTGGTAGGTAGCTTCTATTAGTTGGATAGCGTCGTCTCGTAGGGCAGGGAGTTGTTTTCTTGGACTTAAGTGGTACTAGCAGCAGCGATAGGGTTTGGTTTGTTGGTTCTTTCTTTCTTTCCTATTCAGCAGGAGTAGTACCTTCCTTCCTTTATGACATTTAGAGTGGAGGTCTCCCAACGTATGCGATCAGATTTTGGGAAAACTAGTGTCAATCGATGGCAGATTTAATTAGGATGAAATTTGAGAAAGATACGATCTCCCAATGGGCACGTTTGGCAGAGATATTTGCATCCGAAGAGGAGAAAAAGCACCTTAAAGTCGACAAGTTTTACACGTTCCAAATTTACTGTGCGTTTTCTCCTCTTGGGATGCAAATTTCTCGGCCAAACATGCCCATTGTGAGATCGTGTCTTTCGCAAATTTCATACTAACTAAATTTGTGATCGATTTACACTAATTTTGCTCAAAATTGGAGAGCATCCGCTGAGAGACCTCCATCGTAGTCCTACCGTCGGCAGTAAGTTAGTAGCTGCCCATTATAATTACTTCCATCGTCATCATGCATGCCTGCCTGCCTAACCTGCTACAATTCTTATTACCCTTTTTAAAAAAGACGCAAAGCAGCACTACTACATGGATTAGATTTCACGTCGTTGTTTTTTGTTGGTTTAGTTTATGGGAATAATCGCAACAAAATGTGAATGAACACAGCCTAACCCAGCCAAATTATGATAAAGGGCAGTCCAACCAACTAACCACCAACAACCTCCTCCTTCTCCTCCTCCTATTAAGTTAGTTACTCACTAACTAACTGTAATATCATACCTGGTTGAAATCCTACCTATCTGCATAATAATCTCGACAATTACAATACAACACTACAATCTACAATCTTGTCTCTTTTTTTCTTTACTCATGCTCATTCCTTATTTTCCTTCTTGGCTGCGTAAATAAATAAATAAACAAGTGCAGTTGGCAGTCGTAGATATTAAATGCTTGACTTGACTTTGATTCAAACTCTGATTGCGAGACGAGATTAAATCATCGTTGGGAGGGAATTGGATTCGATACATATTTTCTATCAGGTCATCACACACAGTGGCCGCGGAAAGGGCGTGGACAGAGGGAAAAATTGTCCCGGACAATGTCCCCACGGTTGTTCGATGTCTGCATTATCTCATAAACCCGTCCCTCCCCTATCAATGTCCCCACAGCTTCCGCCGCCACTGATCACACAGGTTGTCGATCATACCTGAGACGAGTTTTATTGCCAATTGTACCCACATTTCCTTTACGATGGGAACGTAATTGTTCTGAATTAGGGATGCCGTACCACATATTTATAAATATTGGAATGAATACTAGGTGTGTATGTTTTATTGATTGGTCAGTCACTGCTGCACAGATGTAAGTATCTCATCGATTCATTCACCTGCCCATTTACTCACTCGCACTTTTACTCTGTTTGGCAGGTTGGGTTCTCTTTTTTTTACATTATGTAAGGTGCCATTTATGATGATTGACAGACTTACAACAAACTAACGAACTTATGGTCTGACCACTTGAGAAAGAGAGAGAGAGATTCCCATTGTGACGAGAAGGAATAATGGGAAATGAACATGTTCACAGAAAGATCTTGTAGCTATTTCAACCAGTCAGCCACATCGCACATTCGTCATTATTATCATCATTATTATTACGTTTGGTCATGTATGTAGTTCTCCATAGAATTGAACTTCTTGTGCCAATCATTGCATTGCAGAGGTAACATAACGAACGAGGAGCATAGCAGAATTGGGTGCAACCTTGTTAGATTTGCTGGTATTGTGTCCTATTGACGAGATGGGGGCATTACCCACCTTGGGAGAGAGAGACTGACTCGCCTCCATTATCATTATCCAATTGTTACTTATCATTATTGATTGCGCCCAATTGACTAATAGTGGGATACAAGATATTGGCCAAAGAGTAATTATAGGGTACTGAACTGAACTGATCCACTGTATGTAATTCTTGACGAGGCAGTGTGCATTTCTCATTTGACGAGTCAAGGCGATAAGACACCAAATGTTGTGTACATATGTAAATCATACTGGTTTCCTCTCCTGGAACTAATTCTGCCAAGGTCATGTATGTACCGTGAGCATATTTAATTTCGCGTCGTTAAGCACATAAGTTATCCCTTCCTGTCAAAGGACACGTGTCGAATATATAAATTTGTTTACTTTTCTTTGAGGTGACGAATTTGCGACATTTTTTTCAGAGGTGACGAATCCGCGACATTTTTTAAAAACAGCATATTTGCCGAGCAAATACGTGTAAAATTTATTATTTCTTAGTAGCCGTCACATAATAGAAAGAGCACTTTGTTGCATACCTATTTAGATTGGAGACCTTGTCCTTAATACTCTGGTTGTAAAACTTTCTTCGTGTTTATCCACCTTGCAGTCAGTCCAGTGATGATAAAATGTGCTCACGTAAACTTTATCAAATCAAGGCACACGCTCGCCATGATATCATTATGCTCACACCACGATGCTTCCAATAATAACGACAACCACGGAAGGTTGTCTTGTCTTGTCTTGCATTTTCCATTCTTCAAACCTTCTCGTCTTGTAAACAAGCAGAACAAACAACAAACAATGAAATCGCGTGTTCAGCTAAATCACCAATTTTCTTCATCGTGTCAGCGTTATCTCTCTCAAACTTCAATATTTTATCCGTCCGACTTAATTATTTCGCATATTATTCAATCTCAAATGGCTCAATTTTATTTTACATCATGCACAAGTCCTCCATCCATATTTGTAAAGGTGCAGCCAATCTCGGCAGGGGGTGTGGGATGTGAGCGTCATAAAATCAAATAATTTGTCATGTATGTGTAGTGGATCATAATAATAATGCGTAACATGTGCTCTAAACGTGTGCACATGCATCTCATCGCTATGCAGGCGGCGTATGTTTGTTATTTTTTTCTTTCTTATTAAACATGACTCAGTCATCAGTAGCACCAATTTTGCCCTGTTCACTACTCGCATTTTAATAGTTTAAGTTTAAACGTTGACAGTGGCCTAGCTCTTTCAGGCCGGATAAGATTTATATGAGAGAAGAATGCCTTAATTTGAGGTAATTGTTCTTATGTAAAAGTCCTTCTAATGCATAATAATGGATGCTAATACTACCACTACCGACGAGAGAAGTGGATGTCATGTTGTTGAATATAAAGCACAGGTTTATATACAACGTCGTTAAAATAATACTTGTAACAATTCAAGTTTACCTACTGTAAAGTAATAATAGTTTCGTTGTGTGCATGTGAAATGATGGCAAGAATTTTTAGCAGCCTTGGAAAAGGCCAGCAACAAACATCCTCAAATGCTCGTTTGAAAATGATAAAGTTGGAACAATTTCAGTGTCGATCTGAATTTTTATGTTGCATAAGATACCAAAAAAGAAGCTGGCTGAACTTGTGTGCGGCCATTCGTCGATAATAATAACGACTAAAATCAAATTGTCTTGTTTTCTCAGAGATTTGAAATGATGCCCTTCGTATGTTTTTTTCCTTTGTTTGCTTCCACACAAAAGCTTAACCTGCTCACTGTTTAGTTTGCACGTTTGTTCGTTGGTCGCTTTCTACTAAAAATTTAACACTAATTAAAATTAGAATCAGGCCGTTTATTTATCAGTCGTGGTTGCATGTGATTGTGCATTTATCAACGTTGTCGTCGACGTCGTCGTCGTGTATGTTAATAATAAATGCGACCACTTTGTAGAGCAGCATGCACTCTAGTTTCAAAGCACGGCAGGAGGAGTGACATATTAATTTTAGATGTAAATCTCGCAAATTCTCTCAGAGGAATTAGGTAACGATTACTTGTACTTATATGTTACACGGTGTAATTGTGCGCACTATTATTTTTATGCGTGTATGGTGCATAAAAGTGCACAAAATGCATATAAGTGCATGAAATGTAATGCATGTAGGGAATTTTATATTTTGAAGAAATTTTATATTTCCATTCCCTGTCAAATCGGGGCAAGATTTACTTATCTAAATTTCGAGTTATAATTCCACCAGGGTTTGAAAATTTTCATTTCATTTTTTATATTAAAAACTGAAAAGTCGTTTGGCATTAAAATACTAAGGTGATGAGGAAAATACCATAAAATTGCGGAACGATTTCTTAATTAGTCAAACGTTTAGAAAAATTCCAACATTACAATACTTGCACTTAATGATTGTTATCATTTTCATGAATTCTTAACGGTGTTATCAAACCTTTAAAAACATTTATATGCATAATTTTATGCAGATGGTTTTTAACAGCAGAAACACTGTTACTGTTACACACCTCCTCAAAAAACGCTGCATGAGAATGTAGTTACCAGACTGAAAACAATATTTCATTTGTTCATGTGCCCTTATAAAATTACAGCGCGTTTTGTTTGACACGTCCAATTTCATTATTAAATCATCATCTGTAACAAAGTCTTATATTCCATTCCTTCGCATTGTCAGGGGTAGAGAATCATAAAAATTACTCGCAATAATCGTGGTGTGCACTGATTATGAATAATAATAAAAAATATAGTGTGAGTGATCCAATAAGATGAAAAAATAGGCTCGTTTTTTTTTATTACGGTTCCTATTTACATTTTGATTTCGCACTTCTGCAACTTTTCTTACTTCTACTGCTGCTGGCTGTCATCCATCCTTCCGAGATGAGAAATGGCCCATATCTCTGGCACACGGCTTGGCAGGGGAGCATAAAATATATCAATTTACTACAATCATTATGCAATACAATCATTGCACCGAGCCTGAGTTACAGATAATTTAGCGAGGTGTGTCTACACTGAAATTTTTATTAGCTTTATTTTCGTGTTGTTGATTTTATTAGTTTTTTTCCCGATACGATACGCATTATTTTTTTTTGTACATAATATTGGGAGAGAGAGATATGTATTTATTTAAAAAGGAGCGATTAGTACGAAATTTCGAGGGGCGTTAATTTGCCTGATATTTAATAAGGTTAGAAATAGGAAATGTTTGTTCGTTCTGCAAAGTACACATTTACTTCCACACGTTCGTGGTTGGTGATTAGAAAATAGTTAAGAAGTGAGACAGACCTGCAGGCCAAGTAAGTAAGGGATGAAGTTTGCGTGGACTGCACATTTTATTAATACACATTCGCTCTCTTTGCTAAATAAAATGCAAAACTTGGGCTCAACGCTTTACTTTAATTTACCTTGTTATCAACAAGTTTGCCACATTTTTAACTATTTAAGGACCTAATTTAGTACTTGTATCAGGATCATGTCGTCGTACTTTAAAGTTTCTCTTACACATTTTTTTTCCTTTACAACTTTGCTACTACTCATTTATTTATTTATTTATACGCGTATATAAGCTTTAATGCTCGTGGGTGGCATTTAGTTTATGCCGAGAATGGGACACTATTCGAAAGAATGTGGTTTGGTTTGGCTCACGCAATGCGATTAACATTATTCTCGACCAAAAATGAATGAATGAATGAATGAGAAATGTGACTTAATTCGGTCTGTGATGTTGCTGCTCGTTACATAAATTTAAAGCTTACAACAAATGACAGTTTTTCATACCCGTCTGGAATATACACCTTTTGAAGAATGCAATGTTATAAATAGTAGTCGTAATTTTTATGACGTTGTAAATCTTAAACTTGTTTTAAAATATTTAATTGACCCAGCGGCCAATCAGACCCTGTTTATTGCCCCTTCTTGCGCGGAATATTATTACCATTATTTTTTTTTACGCAATGCAAATTATCTATTATGTAATTGAAAATGATGTTTGTTTTATTTCAGAAAACTTGACTCCTGCTGAACTGAAGAAGGTGAAAAACAAGCAGCGAAAGGCTAAAAAGAAGGCAGAAATGGAGCAACAGGTAGGTGTCCGTCCAAGTACCACACCTCGAATTAATTCAACTCAGGAAACATCAAACATTTACAAACTGATTTATATTAACGACATGATTTTTTTTATTTTCATGTCAGGCCGCCGCTGCAATTGCTGAGAAGAAGGAGCATCACGCAAAATCGAAGCAGGCCTCGGGCGAAGATGGCGAAGCTCATCCGCCCCCCTCGGAAGAACTCATGCCAGAAAAATTAGCTTCCGTTTCTGACCCATTACAGCAAGCAATACGATTTCTTATTCCGTTACAATCTTTCGCTGCAAGTAAGATAGATACGCACTTGTTAGCGTATGAGATCTACAGCAGAAAAGGTGAGTTGTCAGTGTCAACTTGTCAAAAATTGGACACTATTTAATTTGTTGATCACTCTTTGCAGAGAAACCTTTACTGATGTTGCAAAGTATCAAGCGAGCCTTGTCGGTGGACTCGAGACACCCTCAACTTCAAAAATTTTTGCTACTATTTCATACCTCAATGGAGAAAAAGTATGTGATTAATTCGTAAAGAAAATAAGTTTCAAAATTCCTAGATTTTCGTGTTTAACATAATTTTTTCTTATTTTCAGAGTCAATTTCTTACCAAGTCCCTTACCAGATTTCATGAAGCGAGAAATGGATAAAATTTATAACACAGTGAACTTGGAACAGCTCAAACTCAACGTGGAAGAACAAATCAATAATTAAGCTAAACGATTTACTACTACTAATAATAATTATTTAATAATATTTCTCTTTCTCATCAGGATTAGTTTTTACTGTATTCTCATTATAATGAAGAAATCGACCGAGCCATACCCATGAATCTGTACACAATATTTCCTCCTTTTTTTGTCAATCCTATCAATCTCTTATATTTAAGTTTTTTTTTCCTTCATGTAAATGAATTCAAAATTCCTTCGTGTTCTTAAAATATTGTTCCTGAATGTTGTTCGTGAAAGTTAAAAAGTAAAGGAAGAAAAAGCCCAGACTTTTAATATCTTCTTGTCAACAAAACATTGTACTTTATTTATTATTAAACATAATGGAACAATAATACAGATAGAACTTTTTTCATGGATAAAAATCTTATACGCAACGTATAAATTTAACTTCTTGACACCTTCTTCCTTCCCAAAAATATGTAGGTCTTGTTCTTCTCGGTGCTACACACTCACTCCTACTCATACAATTAATTTAGATTTAACCAACTATCATCATCATCAGCCATCGACTAAATATATTTACATCTTATTTATCATGAATTAACCAAACCTTAAATATATTTATATCTGCATTTTACAGAGGAATTAAAAGTTTACAATATTCAGCAGAGGGTATGTATGGCATAGATTTGATTCTCTGTTTTGTCACTTTTTCGTAAAAATAATAATAATTGAAAAAAAACATCAGGAACAAAAAATTTCATATAAGAAAGTTTGCTAAGTAAGTAGTTGAAAAAAAATTGCATGGCGGAGGAACAAGTTTATTTTGTTACACTGATGATGAGAGTTTTCTCCGAATCGTGTACGAAATGAAAATATCAGCAAACTTTAAAGAATTAACATTTAATGAATATAATGACTCGGCTGTTTTCACTGAACGATTCAACAGCAGCATTTTCATCTCATCAAGAAGTGCTAAATACATTAATAGACTAAAAAAATTGCGAATATACACAAATCCTACGCAGCGAAGAACGTGCCTCACTCGCTGAAAACGTCCATATTTAGTATTTGTAGCAACAAGGAGATTTTTCAATCTGGTAAAAAAATTATCCCATAAAATTTTGTAAAATCGTGAGAAAAATACGTTTAAAATTTACATAAAAACAAATAGATCAGTTTTTGAGCAAAAAAGGATGCGAAATATAATTACAATTAATTATAATACTAATACATGATTGAATTAATTAGTCTTTGTTGAAACTTCTTGGACTTTACAAAAAAAATTGGAACAGTCGCTTGTTCACTATCACATTTTTTATGCAAAAGTTTTAACATAATAAAAAACGTCTTCTTCTTAATTGATATTTACCTTATAATGATAAAGATTTAAGTCATGTCGGTTTCTCATAAATATGGCACTGGTTGGCGCACTGACATTACGTTACACACTTTTTTTTAAAATCACTAATATTATAATAGTTTACCCGAAAAAGAAAAAAATACCAGTACGATTAGGATTTAGGGATGTAAGAACTTTTATAATTGCGAAGGTCTGGCTTAACTTTTAAATGCATAGTAGCCACACGAGGACGGAATTCGAATTGTATTTAAAAAAAAGATATAATCTTAAAAACTATGAGGATAGGAAGAACAAAAATGGTAACATTTCAACAAAAAAAGTATGTAATAAGTGAGTGACTCTTTAAGTCATAGCTGATTCGACTTCCTTATTCAGTCCATTTTTTGGCTTCTCGTCCTTACTCGTGATGATCACCTTGTCCTCCATCTCGACTGAGTTGCTGTACTGGTGCTTCCCGTTCACACCGTTCTTCTCATTGTCCTTCTCTCCCTTTACGGGGAATGTGTCGACCTGTTGAAAAAATAACAGACAGATTTGCACCAGAGGTTTAATAAAAAGTATGTTTTTTTTCGTCTATACCTTGGAATGAGGGGGGTGGTTTGTCGAGGAGGCGAGCTTGTTCGTCCTGCCGTACGAGTACTTGATAAAGTACATGATACCTCCGACGATGAGGAGCCCTCCGATGACGAAAAGAATGTAGGAGAGGGCAGCTTCCGCCACTTCTGGCATGCTGATGGCTTGTCGGAGGAGACCCAACACGACGGGAGGAAGTTGTTCGATACCCTGAAGATAAGTACATTTACATATTTTAAAAATTATGGAAATTATAAATCCTAATTAATCACGTGTCAAATGTGACTTACGTCTTCAAACCAAACGATAGGAATGAGCAAGTCCGTCAAGTTTGCAGTTTGTGGAATTTCGTCAACCTTGGACATTTGAATGTTGATCTGGACACGACCCTTGGCTTGCATTGCGAGGCCCAATTTCTGCCAGGGTTAAAAGAACAAAATGGAACATATGCATATTTAGACAGCACATTTTAGTTGTAACGAATCACTTACCGGTTGAATGTCAACGTAGAAAGTGTGCAGTTCTGGTTTAGGGTTAAGACCGACGATATTCTCGGACAGTTTTGGATCTGCGTTCAGGAAATGTGGCCACGAAAGGAAGACGGGAGAATCTATAAAAATTAATAATCACTAAAAAAAACTGTCTATCCAAACATAAATTTGCATGTAACAAAATTTTACTCACTGAATTGACAATGAGATACGTTGAAAACTCCACGTGGTGCACATTTAGCGTTTTCACAGTAACATTTATTTTCCGGATAGTCTTCCACACTTCCAAAAACGTGATCGGCAGGTTGGAATCTGATAACACAAAATATCAAGTTTTTAAAAAATCCTAGGTTCAGATACAAACTGACCAATGTAAAATATGTACGCACCTCAACGTCTCAAACCCTTCATGCTTCTGTGGCTGCCTATTCTTCACACGAAGTTCGAGAGAACGGCAGAAATCGGGCTGATAAATGAAAACCGTCGAGTTTTCCGTGAGCATGGCAGGAAATCCGGTCCCATCCGAACCTTTGATCGCGTTACAGTCTGGCGTCCCCCAAACCCCCAAGTTGTCCTTGCCCCCGTAAATCTTAATCTTGGCAAAGTCCACCAATTCTTCTCTCCCCGTGAGAACCGTGTACACCTCACTCGGCGTATTATTCTTCCCCACAAAGAAGCCGAACTGGTCGTATGGGAATCGCTTATCTGCGGGCAGAACTCCCTTCGCCAACTTGAGGAGAGGGTCGTCATACCCCCAAAGCAATTCTTTCACCGTGTGCACGGAAAACGGCTCCATTTTCAACACATCCAAAATCGTCGACACCGCCTTCTTCACGATCTTTGTGGAATGTCCCATTTGAGAAACGGCAGCCTGGAGGAAAAAATTAATGACATAATTTTTTTTTTAATAAAATGGACCACATTTGATATCATAATAATTAATTAAATACCAGCATGGGCAGATTTGGCAGCAGGACTGAATCTGCTTCCGACCCAAACGACAACTCTGGCTCGAACGTAAAGTTTTTGACTGTCCGGTACGAAAGTGTCCCATTTGGATGCCAGACGGGATCAACTTTCTCCCATTTCTCGCTACAAAGTTAAAACAAAATTAGCATAATTTTCCACCCACAATTTACTCATCTATTTACTACCACCCACCTGTACACGTAAGGTCCAATTTCCTTCACGTGAAGTTTCGCCCCATTCTCTAAAAAGTCTTTATGATTGGTCACATTAAAAAAGTAGACTTTTAGCATCGGCTGCACGGGAGGTTTACTCCACAGTTCGAACGTCTGCGACCCTTGGCGAAGTGGGAGTTCCTGCGATAGATACAAAAAACTTGTTAATTTTCACAATTTTTTAATTCGTAAAAAAACAAAGTGAAATAATCGGTGCGCAAAAATGCTGCGAATTGAAAAAAGTGTGTATACAAGTCGCGGAATAACAAGTCAGAAATAATCGATGTTAATTCTGATTATGCTGAAAATCGTTGAAATAATTAACTTTTGAATTTGTTTATTGCATCTGCAAGATGCTATCAAAAAGATGCTATTTACCTGACCAGCAAAATCGTACCTAGACGACTTCACTGGCATGGACTTCAACCCACTCCCCAAAACCAACTACACTAACAAATTCTAACTTTTCAGTCATTTCCACCCGCCCGGGGAACAATTGAAGCCGAACATTTTTTATTGTAGTGTTCAGCAAGTGGATGTGGAAATATTAGTGCATCAATCTTCCTCAAATGTTAGAAATCGGTGTTGTAATTTAAGTTTTCTCAAATTTGCACACCCCTCTCATTTGCATGTCGTGCATAAATCGGAGTGGAGAGAGACAGGCAGCAGCAGCCGCAGTTTCAAAGGTATTGAGGCGGTTGGTCAGTCTCAAGTAGTAATAAAAAATAAAAACATCTCCAAAATAAAAAAATGTTGTCTTCCCTTAATAAATTTCCTGTACAATTTAAATTTATAAATCACCAATTTATAAATTTAACTAAATCATACTTATCATTCCTAAATTAAGTAAAGGTCAGTCAACAACATTCCGTCGCAAGTAGTGAAAAAAAATATCTAAAAAAAATCAAAAAGATCGTCTTCGCTAAGAAACTCATCATAGTTTATAAATTTCCTATACAACTCCCCTCAAGAAATTTCAACTGTATGCGTATTTATTAACGCAATGTGACGTAACATTAACTGCAGTACGTACATATATATTTAGTTACTCTTCGCCGTTTTGAATCGTCGACCCCATAAGGCACCCAGGCACGACAGAACGTTTGACAATACGTACGTATGTACGGTCTACACACAAATTTTTACCTCCAAGAACTACATAAATACTCGCTCGCGATGGTCAAGAAGATAAAACCGGATGTTGCAATTAGTTTTCATGCATCACAAAATTGCATATTGCAAGTTATTCTCTTAAAATGCAAATACTATAAAATCTTAATAAGTAATCCAACTAATTCTCGTCTGAGAACTTAATTTTTTGGAACAATAGGGTCTCCCAAGTTTGTAAAAAAGATCTGAAAAAGCGAAAAGCTAAAAAATCTGAAATCCGCTTTTTTCGCTCAATACTTGACTGTCCCGATTTTTTATCGCTTGAATACTCAGGAGCAGAGAATGGGTGGTCAGGAAACTTTCGAGTTTCTTTTAAAATTTAAATTTGCTTCATGTTGGATATGATAAAACAACTATCTAAGATCATGTAAATCCAAAAATTACCAAAATGGGATGAAAATAGGATTTTTGGCAAAGGTTTGAATGCGGTAGTTTTAGTGGTTGCAATGCTTTTCAGGGGGTGTGGCGGGCGCAGGTGGGGCAATGGAATAAAATCCTCCCTCACTTTTCATACACTCACCTGATATTGCAATATATTCCATAGGGCATCAAAATCGGGCGATGTCCCCTTAAACATGTCTCTGAGAGACTGATTTTTCACTCAAAGTAGTAAAAAGAGCGAAAAAATCATCTTAAAGTAGATTTTATTTTTGAGCAGAAAAAGCGGAAAAAAGATCGGAATCGCATGCGCAGTGCGGTTTACAAAAAGAGCGAAAAAATCGTGAGCGGAAAAAGCGATTTTTTTTACAAAGTTGGGACACCCTAATATCAATGCAAACCCTTTTCTTTTCCTTTGCCATTTATGTACGCAAATTCGGCCAACTTGCTTGATTTGATTTGGTTTGGTTTCTGCAACCGCAAATTTTTCAAGTCGACTTACTCGCCCAATTTGACGTATGTAAAACACACACATGTGTCATGTCTTGTCTCTCGATGTCATTAATTCGCCTCAATTTCTTAACTTAATAAATTTTAATGGTGAACTTTGGTTTCGTTTGATCGGATCAAGCAGGTTTCAATAAATGCATATGTGTCTCATCTCGTCCAGTTTTTAACCATGAATATATCGACGTGACCTTAATGTCTCATTTCCACTACCACTTTGCCCACTAATATGCATAATTATCGTGCCCCTTGTCGTGCGACAAGTCATTTATTTATTCCTTCTCCCATCAAAAAACCTGTCACTTGATGGACGACACTATCAACTATCTCGTTTTGTTTTCATGTCTGTCAAAATTTATTTCCAAATTGATGGAAATTACTGAAACATTATTTCTTTTTTGTGAAAAAGACTTACCCCGGCGATAAAAGCGTCGACCAAAGCTCTGAAGAAGAGCACAATCAGAACTCCCAGAACTAGGAACAGGATGCCAAGAATGATGGCGATTGCTGTAATAAATAATAAAAAAATGTCATCATTAAGGTTTAAAAAATGTTACAAAATTATTTCCCCTTTTAAACATGCCAGCTCGTCACCCTTCTTAGAATTGGATTAAAAAAAGGGACATACTAATTAAACGCATGTACATACATATTTACATTAATGATATTTGCACATGCCATAATCCCCAACAAATTGGCGAGCCAGTAGCTGTTTGCAAATAAGTGTAGGTAGCATTATTTCCTTCTGATTCATTCAGCCCCCAGTCATTCATTAGCACATGCAAAAAAATGGTAAAACCAGTGCAAGTCATAGTCATATTTTGACATTTCGTCCTGCTGCTGACTAACTAATAGACGGGTAGGAATTTTTAAATAATTACTACATCCTCTCACTTTTCTTCAGTGTGTGGTCGATAGAGATTTTATGTACATGGCTGAAAAGTGTATCCCGCACAGTAACCGCGGAAGCCGTGGGGACATTAGCATTGTAGGATGGGGGGAGGGCCGGGTTTATATAAGATGGGCAGATGATGCGGACATCGAGCAATCGGGGACCGTTCCGCGGCCACTGATCCCGCATTAAAACACGTCGTCACAAAAAGACAAAGACATTTTCATTCTGGAAATGTTTTCCTATTTATTTATTTATTCCAATGGATTACCATGATGGTGATGACTTTATGATGCAACATGTACAAAAAAACTCGTAAAATATACATACGTGAAAGGAACTAATTAAGGTAATGATGATGACCAGACCAGATCAGAGTTGCTGCCTTTGTGCAGATATTTAAATTTAACATTACATTACAAATACGTTGGGTTTCACCCACACTTGACTCACACCTGAGCATGAAGGTCAATTCAAAACTATGTTTGTCTCGATGCAATACAATTAGATATTTGTGTCCAGGGGAGAACAAATTGACCAAAAGGCAGTGACGCTTCATTAAGAAGACTCTGCTTATATGCACACATGCATCATTTGCATCTCATTATCTGACGAGATTCGTAATGGGAATCGTTCCTATTTTCTAATAATAAATACACACAAATGTAACTTTGGCACGTTCCCATGTACAAAATATGGAATGGAATGGAATGTGTACCAAATTAGGAGTTAACAATGGACCATTGCTATTTGGGAGTTGGTGAGTGAAATGAAATCTGTTGCTGAAAAAGGAAGTGGATTTTCATGAGGAGAAGAATAAGGAGTCAAAAACAGGGAGGGTCCACTTCTGGACCAGAAACGAAAAAAGAGCAGACCACACCATCCGTCTGCCACATTTCGTCCCCACACAATTCATGTCCTCATATTTCATCCCGAACTTAATATCCTCGCTTTTTATATTTCTCGAGCCACGTAAACGTATCGCAGCCAAGGGAACATTTTTACGGTTTCTTGTTAGTTCCCGTAAGAGTTAGCAGTGAGGCGTCGGACTCCGAGGCCTCACTTACTTAACACATTTCGTTCCCTACCGTTCATGCCCCGCACAGCCCGCCATTCAGTATCCCACTTATTTACACTTATCCAAATTAATGGTGGGCAGGGGAATGAAATGTGAGAATATGAATTGTAGGGGAATAAAATGTAAGGTATGAAATGCCCTAAAATCATCTCAGCAGAAGAATAAGAAGGTTCTTGTCTGACTCCACAAGTCCTTAACCTCCCTTCCTCAAACAAGTCCTTAAATTCACCACGAACAGAAATAAATGTACCCAAGAAAGAGACTGCAGACACCTCGAAAACCTTTCCCTACAAGGCAAGGCAGCAAACAACAGGGTCTAAATCTGTACCTATCTACCTATCAATCGTTATACAGTTCATCTACCCAAACGTATCTAGAAAAAAGGGCCTGTTTGTTTCATGGTGGGAGGGTTCTTTTCCAGAAGGGTTTCAAATTTGTAGTCAGAAATGACCGTTACAGTTTTATTACCTCCATTCATTCCTTCCTCCCTCGCACATTTATAAATCCGACACATTTACTTATTCCTCCAAAATTTACAACAAATGCGAAAACAAACAAGGAAAATGAACCCTCTCATCAGTACAAATGTCGTCCTTATTTTAACAGAAGCCTGTCTTCTAATTGTACAATCTAGTTCACTCAATGACGATATATTTGCATTCGTCTTCGTCGCCCCCGTCTCGTTTGGCTGAGTGGTCCCAGCCCAATAAAGCTTCGACAAAACCTCACGCATCACCACCACCAGCAGAAAACCACAAGAAGAAGATAAGGACATCAATAACGACGACAACGGCAACAACAAGCCACTCTTAATCTAATGGGACTTTAATGAGCAGCACCAGCACAACTTTCTCTGCTGGGATCTACTTCCACTTTTCTATTTTAGTCATCGCATCGCATCACTCATCGTCATCATCATAGATTTGTATTTGTGGTGGACACATGAATCTTTGCAGTGTCCGCGGAAGGAGAGAGGGACAATGTCCCCACGGTTGTTCGATGTTCGCATCATCTCCCCATCTTATATAAACCCGTCCCTCCCCTGTTAATGTCCCCACGGCTTCTTCTGCGGCCACTGAATCTCTGCGTTATAAATTCACGGGTGGACGTGGACATTACACTCACACTAAGGCATCCACCCCACCCAACGAGAATCTCCTAACTATATGCATTCTCTCCCCAAGTAATGATAATATATTCAATCGAAATTGCGCCTCGGTTTGTGTTGACATTGTTTGTTAGCATCATGATGATGATGACTTTCGATTTGATTGTTAATTGAACCTAAATTTAACCACGGCACGACCACGATGAAGAAGAAGGCCATACACCAGCAGACGGACGGACGTATGGACGGACGGACAGACATGACGATGCCATGGAACATTTCGACTACATATCGTTACTCGTAATTATTAGAAACACACTTTTTTTCTTGATTATCATCCATTTTATACCAAATATTAAAAGTCATGCGCCATGCCATTTTGCAAGAATAAAAATTCGCACATTTTTTAATAGTTGTAACATTTCTCTCTGTGAGGTAAAATTTTGTGCCGTACCATTTATTAAATCAAGACTAATTTCAACCTGTCACTCTAATTTCACAGGAAGAACTTGAAAAACTGTGTGGTTTTGAATTTCAAATAAAACAAAATTATCTACATTCTATGTGTGACGACGACGCTCTCGGTGGAGTTGACAGCTTCTCGTGGTGCGGTTTTCATACCATACCACGATTGAGCATAATTAGGTTAAATAAAATTACTTGTGCGTAACAAGTCCACAATTGAGAGACAAAACTGAGGCGATCGAAACTTTCCCTCCTGGTTCGCAGGCAAAATAAAATTATTAATAATAAGCGAGACATAATAAAAATGGGGAGGAAGTCAGGACAGCTAAAAATTATTTCGTCAATTCAATCCTTTAAGTCATAAATATTGGGCTCGGTTGGTTCCTGCTTGAAAAAAGGCGTCCCTCTGCATGCAGCAAATTAGTTAGGTGGGCCTATGTAAAAATGCAAAATTGGGACAATCTCGTAACTCTTCAGCTTAGCTTTTGTGCAAATTTTTTAATCCCTTCTCAAGCCGAGGGCCGTGCAATTCCTCAAATGTAGAAGAAAGAAAAGAGCATTGCCAAATTTTATGTAGAGCTAAATGCACACAGTCATCCAATCCTCAATCCACCCACGTCTAAAATATGTATGTGTGTACATGTGAGACACAGAATGCAGAAGTGGATAGGTTTTTTATCTCGCAATTTGCAAACTATACAATACGATCAACCATGATTATAAATTGCGAGAGGATTTTCCTCTACTAAATCGCATAAGTATGTATGCATACGAATAACCGACTATGTATGTACAGTGCTGGTCAGAAGTAATGGAACAACGCTACGTTGAAATTTTAGAGTTATATTTAGCTAAATTTTAAAATCGGATAAAATTTAAGAACTTTTAATTTACTAAAATTTATCTGAAGTGAGGCCTTGGTAACTTTGTAAAATCTGAAAATGTGTATAAAATAATTTTGCAAACTTCATCAAATTTAAAAGACACCCTTTAGCTGAGTAACCTTGCAAACAATTTTAATCTAATTTTCCGTTGAAATATTTGTAAAAGTTGTAAGTTTACGTGAATTTTACGAAATTACCAAGAACAGTGTCGATTTCCTCAATGATTTTTACATTAATATTTATTATGTTACGGCAGCTTTATAAATCTAAAATTTGATTAAATTTTCCTTAAATTTTTGTTAAAGTATTTCAAAATTGCTTCAGCTTCTTGCAGATCAGTTCAACTAACTAAAGTGTACCCATTTCTGCCTCACACTGTATCTCCATCGTATCAATTTACCTCTCACACTCATTCGCCTTCTTGTTCTTGATGGGATCCGTTACGCTTATTTTAAGCGAATGTTTAGACGACACAGAGTGTAAAACCAAGTGATACGACAGACAACGATCCATCCATCTCAAACCATTGTCCTTCACACAATCGGGTTTTTAAAACTCACAATCTCACAGCTTGAAAAAAATAAGGGGGCAAAAAATGCACTACTATCTGCCTGCCTGCTCGGGCTAGAAATAAATGAACAAAGATGTTGTAATTACCAAATCTCGCATTGATTGCTTACACTCTCCTAGCCAACAATAGTGCCTAAAAACCAACCACTATCTTATCTACAATACAAAAATACACTATTTCGTCAATTTTACCCCACAAAAGGGAATAAGTATGTTGGTTGGTTGGTTAATTACATAATTTTAATTACACCAAAAAACCACGAAGCCATTACGCAATATTATTATTTCGTGTTGGGAAATCTTCCAGAAAATAAACCGAATCACAAATTTATAAATTTAAATAAATCATTTCTTTGAAAAAAGAGAGATAATTGGTGCACAAAAAAGTGCTCCGAATTAGAAAAGTCTCGAAGTAACTTGTCACAAGTGACCAATTCTGAAAAATAATTATCTTTTGATTTTGTTAATACTTCCTCAACATCATTTTTGATGAGAGAAAGAATTTCGACCTAACAATTCAACTGACATGCACGTCCACCTCGTCTATCAAGCAACAGGACACAAACAGGACCAACTTTTGCAATAATTTCCACCCGCCCGGTGAACAATTGAAGCCGAAATTTTTTTACTATAGTGTTCAGTACGAGGACGTGGAAATATTAGTGCATCAACTTTCCTCAAATGTTCGAAAACGGTGTCGAAATTTAAGTTTTCTCAAATTTGCACACCCCTCTCATTTGCATGCATCTCGTGCATAAATCGGAGTGGAGAGAGACGGGCAGCAGCAGCCGCAGTTTCAAAGTTCTTGAGGCGGTTGGTCAATCAACTACATTCCGGCTCAAGTAGAAATGAAAGAAAATGTCTCAAAAAAATAAATTTCCTGTACGATTTAAATTTATAAATCACCAATTTATAAATTTTACTAAATCATATTTATCATTCTTAAATTAAATTAATTGTAAGATTCATGACAATTCTTCAATTCCAAGTTCAGCCTTATTCTTGGACGAATGGGAATTAGAGTGTCACCTTCTCACACGTCACGTACTTACGTCCAACAATTAATGTAATCTCGAGCAGCTCTAACCAAGAAATTCACAATATTTTCCATTTCTGGGCAAAACAATCAGATGACATTCAAAACTAAAACTACAGCAAAATAATAATAATAATCACGACTGGTTATTCAATTAAATTGTGCAGCCAGCACTCCATGTAAATAAATATGTGAATAGCGTGTGCCAATAATTGTACAAGGTACGAATACGTGAGAACCAAGTTCCGAACACATAAGTAACAAGTAAAAAATAGCGTTGTCCAAGTCCAAGTCCAACAAATAGTATTATGTGAACCAACAAGAAACGTATTCCTCCACTTGTTTTATAACTCTTCCTTTATGCGTCATCACATGGATTGTCCAAGAAATGGACTCCTCACCTGCGCCATGGAAAAAGACCTTCTTCATTAAACACCAATTTCTAGCTAAGAAACAATTCCAATCATCTCGTACCAAGAAATAAAAATAATGCGTGATCGTGTTTAATTGCAGTATATGTAGGAATGGGAAAAAATTATTTAATTTCATTTCATCCATATCGTTCGTCATTCGTCACGGTTTAACGTGCCAATCAACACTTTGTAGATACGTTTTTGTTCATGGATGGATCGAATCGTCACGTCATGTGACATCGTCGTGGTCGAGAAGTCGACGTGCTAATAACTTTGGTAAAGAAGACTTGCTAAGCTTGTTTCTGGAATTGAAATGCCCACAGAACCAAGACCACTAACCAAACCACTAAAATATATCGGACTATGATTAATATCTAAATGTATTTCCTTTCCTACAGCATAAATATTAGCATAAACTTGAATATTATTTATCATCACATATATTTACGCCTCATGGGCAATTACACATGCGTTTAATGAAATCCAGAGGTCAAATCTATTTACGGGAGGGTTCGCGTGATTGATGTTGCGATTTCATATACAGATTTTAATATTATCCCCTCCTCCTCATCCTCATCTTTTGTAAATACAAAAATTTCTGAAATTCTATATTGACACGAGTCTAGTGATAATAAATAAATAAATGTTTAGATAATTCATCTCTACTCCATACGAACGAAATCAACTGATCAAATCAAGAGCAAACTGGAGGACATAAAATCCTTGAAAGTTTCAATAACAAGGAAATAAGTATAAAGTCCTCTTCTCCTCCTTTGCATCTTAAAAATTTATGACGGAAAACATGACCCGATAAGAAATATGGATTTGTTTAGTTGGTTTGTGGAGTGGACTCCTGCTGGAATCTGAGATAAGCTATTTTCTGTTATGGTCTCTCTCTCTCTACACCGAATTATTTACACAATATTATTGCGTCGCCATTAAATAAAATTGGTGTAGCAAAACATTTAATATTTAGTTCTGGAGAAGGAATGGAAGCCTTCGTGTCAAGTATTTACTGACAGAATGTTCTTTGTTTGAACAATTCGATACGTTAACTTTATCTCTAAATTCTACAGAAAATTAAACCGTGCAGCTAAATAATTCTCCTAATCGTTATCTATACAAGCAACCTACTTATCATTAGACCCAAGTAATAAAATGACTCAAAATTCTATTGAGATAAGGTCTCGTTTTAGATATCTTCAAGATTCATCCATCCTTCCAGCAGTCTGATTCCACATCCCACAGATGACAGATTACATACGCACGTAGGCTTTATTTCATCAAAATATATTTTTCGGAAATAGTTTCCCTCAAAAATATTTATCTTCTATTTTGTCAACCTTTCTAACTACCAACTGTCCTGTCCACATACGTAATATGATCACCCATTGTTACACTGGTAACAATGCCCTCATCATGAGTGAGTCATGTCATAATATACCCACGTCACAACAAAAATTTAATAGCCAAGTAAATAAAAGCACTGGCCTCTCAGTCAGTCAGGCTCTTTAATAAGTAATTCTTCCCCGAAATTAAAGTGCATATTATTTATTATCTATTCCTTATTATACGATGAGAACCTGGCTAAAAACCAAAAAATAAGAGTATTAATTAATTGGTCCATCCATCCATCCATCACTAAACTTGCTCACAACACGCCCAATTAGCAAATCTTGGAGGAGAACGTAAATCTTATTACATGACGATGACGATATAGTTCAGGCAGATACATAAATTGGGCTGGATAGCAGTGACCGCGGAAGCCGTGGGGACGTTAACATTATAAATAGGATAGGGGAGGTTCGGGTTTATATATATAAGATGGAGAGATGATGCGGACATCGAACAACAGTGGGGACATTGTCCCTCACCCTTCCGCGGCCACTGCTGGAGAGATAGATAAAAGTTTGACATTGAAGGACAGGTTCGTTCGTAGTACCATTGTATTATCGCATATACATATTTAAGAAAAAGTGGATTTTACAGCGTCCAGTTTCCACATTTCATGACGACGCGTCATACATACATACACCAATAATAAACGAAATGAAGCATTCAGGAAAAAAATATTCTTCAACTAAATTACAGATTAGTTTTCCTCTCAATTTCCCATGTACAGAAGACAAGAAGCAATCAAAGCCAAGCAAGCAGTACCCCTTGTTGTACATGCACTGCCGTATTATTATCTTCCCGTATTTTATTTAATAGCACTCACCCCGTGCTTTTCCTGGAATAAAGTTTCAAGAAATAAAATAAAATAAAATGCAACGACTTACAAATGCATATCGTCCTCTTGAGCGTCATTTTTCTTCTTTCTCTGAGTCACACACACACGCACCAAATTGTTTCGACTTCGTGAGTCAACACAAGCCCTCCAGTAGTAAAATGGTGTCCAAGTAGAAATAAAATCAAGCTACCGTTGAGATTAGATTTTTTTTCCGTACAGATTTTTTGAGGTTGAGGTTGCTCAGGTCAGGATCGTGCCAGCCAATGTATTTATGCGTCTTCTACATGTGTGAAAATACTTTCGGTTTTATTTCAGAGCAAAACCATCTATTTTTAGCAGTCAAGTGTAAAATCTTGAACTTTTCACAACAAAAATGTTCCTTCCTTTTCGTTCGGATGAGATGAGAATGATGACACCAAAAGAACAAGAGATAATCACGATTATGCAGATCTTGTCGTCTTTCTTCGTGGTCACTCACTACACGGCAGAAAGACTTTTATGCTCTAAAAATCGTTTGGATGATTGTCTACCTCAATGATATCTAGCAACAGGTTGTCTTGTCTTCGTGTAAGTACAGTTCTCTTCACAGCGTGGCTCTTTTTTCGCAGCGTGGAAAAAAATAAATAGATAATTTCAAAATCTTGCAGATTGTTTTCCTCTTAAACAAAAAATATGTCGTGTAAGTAACAAGCCTAACTTTTAAAACCACTAGTTTTCAGTTAAAAAATGAGACAAAAATCCAATCCACCACTGAAACTCGTACGTCTTCGTCCTTGCACCTGCAACACTCGACTGATGAACGCGGAGCTTGTTAACCGTCGTTCGTTCGTCCAACAAACAAGGAATCTTTAACAAGAAGAACACAATAATGCACCACCACCACCACTTCAAAAGTCCTGGTATATGATGGTCTTCTTCTTCTTTTTCTGATCCCGAGATGCACGACACAACCACGACCACGACCACTATCCTCTCTTTAAGAAAGACTTTACAAAATACACCCTACCAGAGACCCTTCTTCAGTCCGGCAAAAACCCACCCTCCAAAAAAAGTTGGTGGTGGTTTGGTCTGGTCTTTCTTCACTAATCTCTCCGTGCAGTACTGCCTTCGATGGCTACCAAAAAAAGGGACGACGACGAAAAATTATTATGGGACACTTTTCTTTTGGGGCTGATACTTACTTACTGAAAATATGTGCCACGAATATTTATATTCCTTCAAAGTCTGCTGCTGGGGACGCGATAGTAAAAAAAATTCACAATTTATTTAGATATTTACTGCTTTTTTTACAAGTTATGAGGACGAGCAGTGAGTGGCAAGTGGACGGTTTCCCTTCTACAAAACGACTGAATGTTTGACAATTTAGTGGTTCGCCTTCTTCTTCTCGCAATAATATTCTCCTCGCAGGCAAGTTAGAGAGACGCAAAGTACGTATCATTTTGTGGCTATTGGCTTGGCTTGGTTAAAGAAAAGGGTTGTATGTATGTTTAGTCAGCAGCAACAGTCATCTCGTCAGAAAAAGGAGGCTGCAATAATAATATAACACACAATTTGAGCTACAACTAACTAACCAAGCAGCCTTTAAGTAATGTGTGTAACGTTGTATTTAATAAGTAGCAGCAGTTCCACCAAACCAAATATCTGCCCCAAGAGATTACTTGGCCGTTCTATTCTTGTACACACCTCGCACGACGACTCCCTCCGCACGAAGGAAAGGCTGCCATGGGACGATAAGTCAACAAATTTAAAGTGTTTTCTTATTTCCGCTCCCTCCTTAATGAAAGAATGAACATGGGTGTTTTCACCCAAACGCTGTAGTAATTTGAAACGTATTTATATAAAATACTGCAACTTTTCGACAAAAAAAACAACAGGAAAACAACGGAAACTCGGGATAAAGAGGAGACGACGAGACCCCGACGAGGCAGCCTTATCATCGCGCAGTTCATCATCATCACGGTCCGATTGTTTTCTCATTCACGCATAAATACAAAAGAGTATCAACTGTATTTTCTTTGAGGATGGCAAACAAGAACAATAAAAGACTACGACAAACTGCTGTGCATGGCTTATCAATAATAAGAAGTGAATGAAATTCCACCCCTTCGTTCAACGAATCCTGAAACTTATTAGTATTCTGAAAACTGCTGTGCATCCATTCACCCACAGTGGCCGCGGAAGGACAGAGGGACAATAATGTCCCCACGGTTGTTCGATGTCCGCATAATCTTATATATCCTACAAAATTAATGTCCCCAGATGTCCCCCCCCCAAGTTCCGTGGCCTCTGTCCATCCATCCTTCATTTCATCATTGCTTATTGCCCATCAAAAATACATCTCTGCTAATTCTGTCGTGGTAAATGCCAATATGTGAGTTTCTCATTGCGATAAAATTGCACGATGCATCAATTGTCTTGTGCAGAATTAAATCCCCTCGTCATTATTTTTATTGTTGTTTAGCATTGTTTGTAAATTTCGTTGTAAACATTTTTATAACGACTCCGTCGTATAAATAAATAAGCAAATTAAGATACACAAGTTGGTTACCGACCGCCACAGGTCAAGAATTACCGTCAGTGAGGAGTAAAGAGTCGAAAAGCAACCTCGTCGTCGTAAAAAATAATCGTCTTCTTCTCGCACCCAAAAAAGGTTACTTTTTTCTACACTGTGACAAATCTAGAATTTAGCCACATGCGGCGATGCGGCGAATGAATGATTATAATTCCCTGTGGCACACACACAAAACAGCCGAAATATTAGATAAAAAGGGGGAAGAAAAGGGAAACCTTGCTATTTATAAGTCTCCCAACCACATCTCTCTCGCTCATCTGTGGAAAATAAAAGTGAGTGGTGGAAAATCTCGGCACGCATAGTAAAATTTTTTTTATTTTTATTTTTCAAAATGGAGGGATATATGCAGTAAAAGTAGTCATTCTCCAGTAGAGAAGCGTCTACCACGTCAAGTGGCCGCGGAAGCTGTGGGGACATTTGGGGACGTTGACATTGTAGGATTAAGGGGAGGGTCGGGTTTACATAAGATGGGGAGATGATGGGGACATCGAACAACCGGGGGGATATTGTCCCCACGGCTTCCGCGGCTACTGGTCCACCCTATACCAAGAAACCCACCGATATTAAAGGGTGCAGGAAGGAATGCGAAAGATGATCCCTTCCTTCTGCCTGCTTAAGTAACGGACTTTTACAAACCCTTCACGCTTGTTCGTTATATTCCCTTCGGAAAATAATGATTCTTTGGTGTCAGGTTTTTTTAGTAGGCGCAAAACTAAATCTTAATCCGGTACATACAGTTGCATATTACGTGAAAATCTATACTTTTACTCTCGTCGACTGATTTTAAGAATTGTTTATATTTTCCACTACGATATGTAACAACCCCTCGATTTAATTAGTGTCAACTTTATCTACACTGTTTTTTTTACTGCTATTCATTCGTCACCTCGCATTAAATTTAATAGGGCGCTAAATCAGCAAAAAAATAACGTTTGTCGACGCTTTACAAATAAAACTATTAAACGCTTCCTTAACACCAACCAGATTTTAAACACTTGGTTGCAGGGACGTGTCAAAATATCGATATTATAAAATTCAGCTTTACTCAGCACATAATAACAAAACCGTCTCAAATTTATGGAATTCATGTCAACATCATCACAATTCTTACCATTTTCATTGCTAAGAAGTCAGTAAATGTATATAGTCAGTTAGTTAAATACAATGGTACATACGTATAATAACTGCATTATTATTATGATGATCTCTGACCATATACATACATCTGTACACTCATAAATATTTATATATGTACTGTACTGACTGACTAGTGCCATTTTGGTATTATGTACGTAATGGTAATTGTATTGCAGCACAGCACTTTGCCTGCCTTATAGCACGACCCTTGCCTTGCCTTGCCTTCCTACATTGTGAAATCATTCCTCATGCAATCACTGCAAGAATTTTTCATACCCTTTGACTCTTGACCATCAATATTGCAGTCTTGCTGCATTACAATTTTTCTTGTTCGTCAAAAAATATTCGCCAAGTCTCAGCATGAAAAATAAGCGTGGTTGGTTTGTTGGATAAAAGTGCACTCAAATGTAATTATTTATATGGTGCAATGCAACATTGAGGCAAAAATGTTGAAGTAAAGAACACAATTCTTTTTTTCATATTGTTGCATGTAGTTAGTTAATTGTTTGATAAGAAGAAGAAGAGCGCAAAAAAATCATATCACGGCATAAATGAAAAACGTTTATTTAAAAAGTTTTCTTTGCAAAAATGAAATGAAATCGGCCAAAAATATAGTAAGTAAAATAAAATTGTTTATGAGAAAATTAGAATTCTGAACTTGATCAGGTTGACGTCTACCCAATTATCTCACTGTCCAACTTTTTGTTTTGTTTTTCCTAAATTCATTCGCCCTTCACTACTTCGTATTCTCCTAGGACACGTATTACTCGTCGTCTACTAACAGCAGTGGCCGCGGAAGCTGGGGGGACATTAACATTGTAGGATTTTCGGGGGGGGGAGGGACGGGTTTATATAAGATTGGGACATCGAACAACCGTGGGGACATTGTCCCTCTGTCCTTCCGCGGCCACTGAGAAACCTATCTGATCTCATCAAATCTGACCTGACCAAACGGCTAAAAGAATAGTTAACCAGTATACATACGTAAAAAAGTTTATATATACAATTTTTCTGAGGTGCAAGTAAAGCAATCCAATCCAATGGCCTGTGAAGAAGTCAAGGTGTGCATCTCACTCACCATCGTCAAGTTGTTGTTCGTCATATTATCCTCATCAAGGATTACTTGTTTCATTTTCATTTTATCCTTAAAAACCAAACCACTTGCAAGATTGAAAAATACAAGATACGTACAATTATTTACACATAATAAGAATGCTGCCGTAAGCAAATATACATATAACCATAACCGGTAGTGGAATGCAAAATCAAGTGACGCATTTCTTAAACACCGTGGTGTAAAAAACCGAATATTTGCATGTTCTGGGAGTGCAAAAATGACGGGATGATATAAATTATGTAATACAGGCTAACCTCCCTTTTCGGATTAATGACATCAAATTTATGTCAGGAATTATTCACCCGAAAGAAAAGAGCATGCTTTATTAGGCAGGTTCAAATTTATAAAAAATTGCTATTATTAACCATCATACATAAATAATGGCGATATAATTGCAGATAATTCATACATTACTGAATTGAGGAAAATATTTATGACACATTTTTATTCCTGGTGGTCATTTGTTAAACGTCCATCCATCCATTTCCATGCAGTACGTGTCAGTGGCCGCGGAAGCCGTGGGGACATTTGGGGACGTTAACATTGTATGATAAGGGGGAAGGGACGGTTTATATAAGATGGGGACATCGAATAACCGTGGGGACATTGTCCCCCTGTCCTCACGCCTCCGCGGCCCCTGCTTATCACGTGGTTATTCTTCACCTGATGGTCAAGCCTAATAAAAAAGGACAATATTTATGCAATAATTATCACACCATCATAATTTTTGCAAAACTGTCCAGCAGCAATTTATGATAATAACCAACCAGCCAAGAAAAACAAACCTGTCCTTAATATTTCTTTCCTCCACTTATTTAATTGCTGCGATGGGCCAACATCATCATCATCAATCAAGGCCAGGAGGAGAGACAAGCTGGAAGGAAGGAAGGAAGCAGAGAGAGAGAGGAAGTCAACCAACTTGTTTAATGAATCAATAAATACGAAGGTATGAAAATAATAACGCGTAAATTGACCCTTGGAGTACATACATTAGCATGTTCCGCATTCAATATATTTACAATGCCATCCATCCATTCATCCATACATGATTGTAAATGAAGCATTTGTCCAAATTCTACATATGCTACATTGCGAATTTCACATGCGAATAAATTGGCACTAATAAGTAGAGGCAAAAAAATATTCACAGTATGCAAATAAGATTGACCAAGTCACACCGGTGAAATTTATGCATAATATACACATTTCCCTCAACATTTTATAATTTACGTGATTTTTTTCACTCTTTTGGTGGGTGCGATATTTGCCCAAATCTATCAAGAAATTGCAAATTTCTTAAATGGGCACGGTTTAAACTAGCAGAATTTAAGGCATGACGTACATACATATTGGTCATCAGTAGTGCAAAAGTCGTATATGGAAATGAATAAGCTTACATAAAGTGAGATTTATTCGTGTGAAAATAATTAAATTTTAATGTGATTAAATAAATATGAAAAAGACAAAGATGAAATAAAAGTGACATTTTATGACGTGTCGTTATCACATCACAATCTCAAAATTTTATAGGAGGGTCATCTTTCCAGCTAGATAGATGCTTAATCAATTCTTATATAATTAATATATTCAGATCTAAAACTATATACACGATATATGTATTTATGACTGGACAAAATACATCTAGAATTAATTGCATGTATAAAAATAAACCTTTTTTGTCTCCTTGGCCCTGACGCAATATGCAATAGTACAAATTCCAACATCACCAAGCAAGGCACGTGGTCGATTTGCATATTATGTACGTTTTCATACGTATTCGTTCGTACCGAAGTCAGGGTGATCAATCAATTACATACAATTCGTAGTAATCCAACACTATTTATAAGAATGCGGATTACGAAATGAAAGATGGCAAAAAACTTTATGACTTAATAACAATAGTGTTCAAAATTCTTTAAATATTTTAATACGGAAATCCAATTGTTTAAATTGTTGCTTAAAAACAATTCTGTTTCAAATTCTTTACATATTTTAATATGGAATTAATCCAATTGTTTAAATTTTTGAAATTTTTTAAACATGGAAAATTTTAATTTCATTTCATTTCATGTTTAAAGATAATTTTCCAAAATTTCAAATGCATTTAATTTTGAAGCGAATTTTCTTTAACAGTCATTTCATTATGTATTGCACAGTTTAAGTGGTTTCTCTCACGTGGGGGCCAGATGCATGTTTTTTTCACATCTCTACTCCATGTTACGTCATTTCATTGGGTTATGTAAAATATGAAAATTAATTCAGCTTTTTTTAGCCAGTACTTAACCCGGAAATAATGAACGAATCGGTATCATATCATAATAAATTTTGAATATATTTAATTTTTTTCAAGTTTATACTTTAAAAACAAAAATTTCCGTGTTATTGATTCTTCTTATTCTAAATATGAATTGGGTTCCTGGTGAGTGACGTTGCGTTGCGTTGTTGTAAATTCCATTCAATTTTTACACAATTTTTATGCACGAAACAGAAAAACATTTGTTTGTTGTATATAAAATAAAGTGTAGCTACATGATGAGCACGTATATAACATGTAATAAATAATATACATATACAGAGAATAAATAACATGTAAATCGGAGGTAAATAATATTGTAACTTTTACAGATTCTGAATCTTTTTTGGGCTGAGTTTAAAGTAAATTATTAAAAAATTTGAGATTGCAAAAGCTGCTCAGTGTCGTGTGCGTGTTTGGTCGTTTCACGATATTACTAAAAATTGTAGGCTAGATAAATAAATAGTAACGTTAAATTCTCAAGTAACGATAATACTAATAGCATTTCTGAAATCCTTACTTGTGGTAAATTTCACACGGGATAAAAATAATATAATTTTTCACGGGTGTATTCTGATTATCTTTTCTTATCTCTAGAAATACAAATGACAATGATGATCTTTAGTTTGTGAAGTTTCAAATCTGTTCAATTTTCACCGTATTTAACAATTTTTCCTTAATTTCGTCTATTTGTTTGGTTAACTGTCCCACTTGAATCTCTAACATTGCAATTCTTCGGTCTTTCGTTTCAACCATATCTTTGAGGCGCTGATTCTCCAACTTCAGTAACTGGAAAATTATATACATACAGAATTATTTAACTTTCCTAGTATACTTACATTTGTACTAGAAAAAACTTACAGTTGCATCTTCTTTTCCGTGGACGTGATGAATTTTTACCAGACCAAGGTCTGAGCTATCTTGAGCAGCTTCATCGTCGGCGTCCAGATCTGATTCACTATTTAAAAAATCACAATGGCATGAATTTTATATATTTACCTTTTGATTAATTATACGTGAATAACTATGAAAATACAACACACCTCTTCCCTTTGTTGTGAATAACTTGAACTTTCTCTTCTGGTTCTGGAGAAAGTGAAGTTGGAACTACTTTCGCAGCAATTGCTGCTGCTGCAGCAGCAACAGGAACAGAATTTTCTTCATTTTCATCTTCTCCCGTAGATCCACCCGTTGACTGTAACGATATTAGAGAACCAGGTTATCCACTGATTAATTAAACACTAATTAAATATGTCCGAATGTCCGTACTTCCGTGGAGGGGAGGTGCATCACACCAATTGCTGTACTTCGTCGCTTCTCTCGAAGTTTCCTCCTGTCCCGAATCCCTTTGTTGCTTTTGCCAGCATGCGCTCCTCTAATAGTAAATTTCAATTTAATTGAAAAATTGTGTCATTTTATAAATCCATTCAACCCTCGAAAGATCTGTAACTCACCTTGGAATGGGTCGCTTATCTTTGTTAAGTCCTCTAATAATTGGTTTGGGACTAGCATCGTTCGATTCCACCAAGACGACGGACGTCTGCTGGTCATACTTTGTAGGAATGTGTTGATGTTGGTGATGATGCTGATGGTAATGGTCACCAGCAGCCTCGTGAACTTCACCCCCACGTTCTAACTCTTCCCCTAAAGATAAACAATTAGTTAACACTAATCTCGACAAGATAACCACCCAATAACTCACCCAACGCTCTGCAAGACATCGTATTCACGGCACGATTGGCCCTCGCAGACCGCACTTTTGCTCGTCTCGACGCAATCGCAAAGTCATGCTCGACATCATGGTCATCTTGTGACACGGACGAGGATGCCATAATTAATACCGTCTTTTTTCCTTGTACTTAACGTCGATAATGGTAGTAAAGACACTTAATTATCAGTGATAATTTATCACTACCTACATTTTCTCCGATTGGAATTTAAGCTGGAAAATTAATTAACCCATCAGCTACCCCACACCATATAATTGGACAATTAGTACCAAACTAATTAATACGACATAATTAAGCTATTGAGGTGCTAAATGTCAAATTTGACGGAGTTTAGCGTAGTTTTATTGAGAAAGTAAAATGGTGTTGTTGAAGGTGCCTCTGTATCTGGTCTGGATCAATAATATGTCTTTTCGCCCCCGACGACCGACCCACACTACCCCAACAAGTGGTGTTCCACTCATTTATGGTGCATCATCGTCACCTAAATGGCCAAAATGCACGTTATTTTATGCAAATTTACGTATCGGAGAAATGAAATTAAACTTTCCTAAAATGACGACAACCATTATTCGAAACTTTCGGAGAATGCGGTGCAAAGGACAATGAAGAGGAAGAACAATGGTATTAGAAAAGATTGTTATTGATTTATAGTATAGTTATTCTGCGTTTTAACGTATGGCTAAAATTCGCGAGAGAGGAAAGTTTCAATGTCCATGAATTAAAGAATTCAATTAAATATGATAGTTTAATTTACACAATTAAATGCGATGAGTATGGATTCTTGATAAGATGTGTTTACCGCAGGCGTATACAATTTTTCAATTTTTTTATACTGACATTATTAAAAGTAGCTTCAGTTACTTAATAAGGTGACAAACAAACAGAGAAGATTCTTCTCAGATTTTTTGAATTTTAACATTTTTTTCAATTCTCAGAAAATCTGCGAAAATATTGAGAATTTCGAAAAAGCTGAAACCCCACAATGAAATATGTATACTGAAGCAACTATTTGACTACATCGGGAATATAATAAAATTATGAAACTTCGGGCAAAATTGAATTTTTGGCGTAGGTTCTACTGCAGCTAGGTCAGCATTAGACACCCTTCAAGGGGGTGTAGGGCTCATGGATCCTTTTACACTTTTTCTACACTCATCACGTTTAATTGTACATCATATCAAAAGGGCGTCAAGATCTAGCATTGCAAAGGTCGTACGTATTCCTCCTCAGTAAAATAAGATGCAAGTTTACTCGTAATCAAGACTTATCTTCTTGGGTGTCTTATCTTGTTCATGTTTTTATTGCATTCTCAATTTGCCTCCGCTCCTCTGTCGTGGATAGAATGTCTCATCTCAATCTCATTGCAAAAAGTGAGACTTTTTGCAAAGTGAGACTTTCGATGCACTTCCACCGCAGCGAAAGTCAAATACACGTTGTTTTCCACATTAATCCAGCACATGATTCGTAGTTCGAGAGTCAAGTGTTAACTTTTTCACAAAAATTAATTAACTGTCTACGTCAAGTTTATCGGGATGGCGAAAGCTAACGGGTACATTGGCGAGGTGCTCCCTTCGATGCCACCACGACCCGTGATAGTCGCCAACTTGGAGAATTTATCCGATCCAGACTTACATCACGAGCTAAAAATTGTTCAAAAAGTCTTGATGAACCCGTAAGAAGTTGACACTTTATTTCAAATTTATACTGCGCTATTGGAGTAATTATTATTTTCATCATCCGATTTCCTTTTGTATGCAGGAAAGCAATTGCGACGCTGGGCGATGAGGGGGCGAAACTCAGAAAACACGTGTCAGACCTTGAAGCTGAGGTCAAGCGACGATCAGCCCAGGCAACGACAAGCAAGAGCACGTCCCCCACCACGACTGAAAGTAACACTGTCGACGACAAGATTGACGCCATGATTAAACGAAGCCATGACCTGGGTAGAGAAAAATTTGTGCCTGCAAGGGCCGGTCCTCACAAGTTTTCCATAACGAATTCTAAAGTCCAAGATGATAACCCCATTCTTCCTGGTGACAAATCTTTGGAATTACGGGAACATTTGACTTCGAAGGCCAAGTTCAAATATGACGAGGCCCTTGTTGGGCCGAAACCTCGGTCTTCTCCGATTAAACCAATGTCACTTACGGAGTCCATGGCGCAGTGTAAAATTGAAGGGAGTCGAGAGGTAAGTGACCAATTATGAGTTAAGTTGCCCGACCTCTGAATGGCCTTTTCTGTCAATAAATGAAATTATTTTTTGTGTTATGATTTTGCAGGTAGCTCGACAGAAGAAGTTGGAAGAATCTCAAGAAAAGAAGACAGTCGGCGAGAGATCTGGACATGAGAAGGTAAACAGTGTACCGTTCTACTCTCGGTATGCCGTTCTGCCAAAGAAAGATGTGGAGGAGGATCTGGACAGCGACGACAGTGTGGACATCGATGACTCCTTGAGCGAGGAAGATGAGGAGGATGACGATAAGGAGGCTGAGAATGATACCAAGGAAAGGAGATAATAAAAAACTGAAAAGTGCCTTTAATATAATATAAAGATGTGATACTAATTGTAAGTATTGTTAATATTTATTAAACAATGTTATTATAGATAATTTTTTACGACTTTCTTAGGAAATTTTGATCTCGTCAATAAATGAGAATTGTTGTTGCAGCAAATCTGGATGTTTTAAAATGAGATCATATGTATCATGACCTCTCTTAACTCTTTATGCGAATGGTACCCTCACATCATTATCATTCAAGCACTTAATTCTGTATGCTTCTTTTTGTTGTCGTTAGAATTAATAACTGGAATTATAATAATGGAACTTAAGCTTTTTTTGTTAATTTTAAATATTCAATCGATTCCAATCGTTTTTATTTAGATTTCGTAAATTGTGAAATGCACACATATTGAGTTATATACTTATTTCATGCACCACTATTTCACTAAATTAGTAGATATATATATATATATATTTATTAATATATAGTTTAGAGCGGTACTACGTTTTTGTGGATACATGTTCACGTATCTTTATACTCAGTTCTACATTGTTTTCTGTTTCCTTTTGGGAATATCACTTGTTCGTTATCATCATTTTTTTCTGGGCTACGTACTTTTAGTGTGGAGGAGTGATTTTAGAAAATAGTAATTCGCTGAGAGACAGTACTAAATCTTGATTAATAATTGGATTTTGGAAGAATCCCGTTATCCTTTCTATTGTCACGTCTAACCGATTCCGTCCCCACATCCATCGCACCCACGCTGAAAATACATACATACAAAATCTCAAAAATACCAAACTTATTATCTGAAAACCTCACCTGGAATTCTTTTACGGAGACAATTTCTTAAATCGAGTTCCGCGCAGAGATCGTATTGCAAGTCTTGAACAGAATCCGTTTCTGCCTTTAATGATTTTCCGAACCATTCCAAATAACCGAGGACAGCCTCGTCAGAGAGGAAAACGTCAATCGTTTCTTGAACATAGTTCTCTAAAGACTTGCCACTCAGGGTCATAAATGTGGAGACTGAAGCATTGTGAGGCCGACAGTTTGGAAGCCAAAGAACGTCACAGAGCAATTGTGTAAGGGATGCGGCTAATGGGTATGTCATGCAATTTCCGTTTTCTTCGTCAGTCGACTCTTTAAAGATAAAAAATAATAAGCAAACTTATAAATTGTCATTTCGTCGCTACTCACCGTCTGGCAATTCGTCCGATATTTTCACAGTGATCCCAGGAAACTGTGGGGCTCCGTCACCACTTTGGACGGAAGCATCTCCATCACTCACTCTCGAAGGGACCAAGTTCCCCAACCAGGTTGCATCCTGTAAAAAGTGAGCGTTTTCTCAAAATTGAGATTTAGTTTAAATTAAGTAAGAAAAATAGTTTCATACTGCCAACGAGTTTTCCATGTCCTTCGACCCATTCGATTCCGGAGCGAGGTCTTCTGGAAATTGGAAGGAAGAAGGGGCCAGAATATTTTGGGAGGAGTCGGCCCCATTCTCGGAATGTGGAGAGGGCGGATTCGACTCAAATTTTGGAAGAACATCCTTCAAGGAATTTATTACCCCGGTAAATTTTCGTGCGAGCTGTGTGTCAATCATGAAATGAGTACTAATTTATGTATAATTTGACCTAGTAATATCGAGCATGTGAATAATAACCTTATCCAATTTAGTGGAGAGCAAGTGTTTCGGGTCGTTAATGTCTAATGGGTCGAGGGAGAACCCATCATCGCCATACGCCATGAATTGAAACACTTCACGCGACGTGCCCAACACGGGGTGCGAGCAGAGTTGATTCAAGTATCGTTCCAACATGGTTTTCCTCGTCGAGGTGGCCGTGTCCTTGGAGAAGGACAAGTTCAGCCAGCGATTCGGAGCCTTGATCCCTTTCAGGTGGGGCTTCCATTGGCTCTGCTCTTCCAGTCGGGCCTGAAGGAGGAGGAATTCCTTGAACCGACGTTTTGCCGTTGTCGTACGAAGGATCACTCGGCGCGGGTGGTCGTCATACTTTTCGTCAAAATATACCCCGTCGTACTGCAAGATGAATCAAATTCAGTAAAATTTTAATATATTTAAATAAGTATGATTAATTTACCTGAATGCAGTAAAAGTCAAGTTGTCCACCACCCGCGTCATTGTATGACTCCACCTTGGGAATTGTAATGTTCAGGAAGTGACACTTGAGTTCAGGTACGTCCTCGTTGACATCGTCCTCCTCGTCCTTCTTTTCCTCCTCCTCATCCTCATCGTCATTATGCAATGGAAGATCCCTGTAAAAAAAAGTTGAAATAAATTTCCTATTCTAGTTTCCTAATCATTTCTATGCCCAATTTTCATTACGAATCTAACGCGTCCAGATCCGATGGAGCCTCATCATCCCGCTCGCTCCCATTATTCCGCTCAGGAAGAAGCAGGCCATCCCCGACGCCGGCAGAACTTAGATGCGACGGGGTCAACTCTGACGCTTCTGAGGTCGACGTGGTCGCATGTAAATTCTTCTTGCTCTCCTTCTGCTCCAGGAGAGACCTCAACTTGGCAATGCTCGTGGCAAAGTCTTCCGGTTCTTCGTACACGGGTGAGCGCCCATTCTTGACGTCGGCCCCGTTGAGAATCTTCAACTCGTGAGTATTGCTCCCTTTCACAGTCTCGCCACTCTTTTTCCGATTTTCGATCGCCCCATCGACCGAGAGGGCGGCCGGCGTGGAATCGAGCATCGGATGACTCGACTTTCTAGTGCTGATCTCCTCAAAGGAAAAATAGTGGGTGGGCGTCGTCGCCCGGAATGTCGTCCCGGTTGAGCTGGATTCGTCAATATTGTTATCACAAGAATTGGTGGCCAAGCACTCTGGCGGAGTAGGGTTTGTTAATGATGACGACGAAGATGACGACGAGGAGGAGGAAGATGTCACCGGTTGACAACTAATTTCAGTACTGATCGCCTCACTGGAGTATTCCATACTGTCCGCGGAATCCGTCATGGCAATGGAGAAAGTAGTTGAGGGGGACTCATCCTCAATGGGAAGAAGTGTGGTCGTGGTTATGTTATGTCCGATGGATAACACGCTTAACATATCATCAGCCATCATCATCGTACCGTCAGAATTTATGGAGTGGTCAGTCATGTAGGAGGAGGAGGGGAGGAGGGGAAACGCGGTCGTGGGGATGATCCCACTCAGGGCGGATGACACCGACGTGGACGGAGAAGGGCTGCCTCGACTCGTCGTTCGGCTGACGGAACGGTCGCTCATTTTCAGGGGGGAATCTCCACAAAATTCGTGAATTTCAGATTTTCCAAAGATGAAGCGCATATCGCCACCTTCAACGCCGACGCCGCCGCTGCCACCACCACTGCCGCTACCTTCACTTTCGACCCCATCACTAAGCAGTTTTTCTGGTAACGGGGTCGAACAGGTCGTACCTCCTGCCGTGGTGGGGGTCGTAGCGAGGATGGAAGAAGAACAGGCCTCTCCATCAGTAATATTTTTCGGAGAGACTTCCGGAAGTGGGGTGGCTGGAGCGGAACTGTTCTGACTGCTGCTTCCAGCCAACTCGGCTAGAATGCTGTCCGAGGAGAGGAGGACGATCAAATTACTGTTGATCCAACTCGGTTGGCAGATAAGGTCGGTGTAATAGAGGAAGAAACTCTTGACCAAGATGCCAGCCAGAAATTGACACAACAAGTTCGACTGAAGGTCAGGGATCACCAAGTCTTCTAGAATTTGACAAATAATTTTCTCATAGCGTTGCGCCACCTCCGTCGTGTCTTGTAAGTATGGGTGTACGAATCTGAAAGTAAACGAAACCTGTATCTTTCGCCCCTGATTATAATTTATTTATGCATTTTTACTTGAAACATTTAATAACATTTTCCCCGTTGGACGAGCATTTCGATAACGCTTCGCAGTACTCTTTCCAGTGCATGTGAAACGTTTGGATGACCTCTTTAGCAATCTCGTTCCGGTCAATCTGTCCCAACAATAAGTGTACAATAATAAATTGTCAATGTGTAAAATATCCCAAAAATGCCACCCACCTGTCCCAACTTCTCCCCAACTTGTTGAAAAATCGACTGCAAAATGGTCCTACACTTCTGCATGAAGGCCGTATTGCTGCTGATTTTAGTGTACCACGGAGCCACATATTCTGCAAGAATGGCTTCAATGACGAGATCTTTCTGGACCGCGATTCGCAGCGAGAGTTCGTTCTCATCCGTGGCATCGTCCCCCTTTTGAGCCTCCCCTTGCTGGATGATGGTCGTTATGGGGAGGAAGGTGAGATAACTCCGGAGTCTGGATAGGCCCGAGGGTCGCCACGAGGTCACGACCGAGGTGGAGTTCTGCTTCCCAAAGTAGGCGCATAGGGCGAGTGTGTACACGGCAAAGAAAACAACCACCCCCCACGACACCCCCTCCAACAGACCCCAATCCCTGATCGAGTAGTGTCCCAGGGTCGCCAGGAGGACACCGAGTCCTCCATAAATCACCCAATGCCGACCAAATCCGCCAATGGAATGTCCATTTTGCAGTAAGTTTGCTCCTTTCATCCCTCACGCAGAGTTGGTCAGGACGAAGAAGCAGCTCCTGAGAAAGAGAGATTACGTAAGAGAATCGTATGCATTTTGGTGGTGAAAGTCTCACCGGAACGGGATTCTACGCGTTTAGGAAAAAATGTGAGAAAATTGGGTCATTTTGGTACATACCTCATGATAATCGTGTAGTTTACATGGAACGCTGTTTACGTATGTAGCCCTGTGTGTCTAACTGATACGAAATGTGTCCCTTCCCGACCTAAAACTGGACTTTGTGAGTAATTAATTTGGAGAGTTTGGAGGGGTGAAAAATAATTTAAATGGAGGACGACGAGCTACCGAGGATGGCAGGAGATGAGAATTGTAGCAGCTGGTGGAAAAATTATTAGATTGGAAGGAAGAAGCAAGTGGTAGTCGCCAACCTGGAATTCTCCTCGAACATCACATTTCAAGGTTGCTCTCTCTCCACAGCTTTCTCTCTCCATGGGGAAAGAAAGCTACTTTCTGGCTTGCCGGGGATGAGGGGGGATTCGTGGCTTGAGGACAGACCAGATTTTTTATTGGAAATTGGCTGAAAGAATGACTTTACCGAAATAACGTTTAGGTGTTCAGAAGTTGTGCAAAATTCTGAGATTTTTTGCACAGTGCAAAATTTGCTAAAATGTTTATAGAATGAGGGATTTATGAAGTTATAAGAAGCAGATTTTGTCTGAAAGTTGGGTTTTCTCAATTTTCCCAGATATGTAAAAATCACTGAAAATTACGAATTTGTATGCAAATGACTGATTAACTGCCAAATTTTGGTCGGTTTTTCAACTAAATCTGAGAACATACATAGTTTCCACATAGTCAGTTGTACGTAGATATTGTACAGATTAAAAAAGGTGAGTGTATACTTCACTCCTTGATAACTTTCGCCAATGTTATAATTTAACTATGTCGCAAGTTACCAAGGAATACAGTATAAACACGGGTTAAGACAGCATATGTGTGGTTATCGTCACGTTAGCGTCTACTAAAGTGCTTCCATACATATTTGTGCGCAACAGTACTTTTTGGAAGGCGTACGTGCGTGTGAGTGGTGGCATTTGGTCGCATCCCCCTCCATACTTTCTCCTGGTTTTGTGTTTGTAAACGCACTCTCGGTTGAGCAACAGTCTTTCCTTTGTCAGCTTTCTCCCACGCAAACTTCCATTCTTGCTACCTTGGGTTTTAGCATAGTCTAAATTTCACGGGAAAGATGGAGCGTTTACCACAACTCCAATTTTGTGGCTTTCACCCAACAACTTTCCCTTTTCATAATAAGCCTCACTTTCTCGAGTTTTCCACTTAATTGGGCTTGAATAGAGCAAGGAGTGAAGTATGTAAATATGTACATATTTACCGAATATGATGAAAATTAGCTAAATATTTTATTGGGTCAAGTGAGAATTTCAGTCTTTTTTCAGAGGACTGAATTTTATGTCAAACTGAATGCAAGTATGGATTCATAAAGAAACATGTATAACAAAATTAGCAAACTTGATAAAATCAGTAAATTTAAAAATAGAATTTACAATTTTTTGTAATTCAGAAGAAAAAATAATCAGTTTACAGATTTCTACAATCTGTAAATCAAGAGTATCATTTTACTTGAGGGATAAACCTTAGCAAAAATAACTTTAAGTAATTTAAAAGTTACTCAAAATCTGTAAAATCAATTAGTTCAAACTGACTAAAACATGCTCAAGGTTATCACAGAATGTGGTGTCTCCTTAAAAGTGACTTTTTCCTACTTCTGCTAGCGAAATTCTTCAACAAGCTAAAATCTTAAAGTCGCTCTTCCAAATACTTAATTTAAAAAATTATAAAAATCTCCCGAAAAAAAATGAAATAAGCGAAACGATCAGAATCGCAAAAAAGTTGGGAGACCATAATCTCTTTTTTTTTAGAAAAAAGACTTAATTTCTTCATCCCTCCTTAATTCCATAAAATAACAAATCTTAAAACTATCTACCCAAGGTTTCATTTATGCCTTGACACTTCCCAACAATCTTCTCTCCCATCGCATGACTAAAAAATAAAGCCACGATTTTCATACCCCTTCATTGATTTCATTGATACATACACAGCTCGTGGTCCTGGCGTGGTGAGAAAGTTGTCTCAAGTTTGCTCAAAGGTTCACCCCGACGGGATTAAGTTGGATTGAGAAAGCTGAAAATGAGGTTTTCCTCACTGGAATTCATTGTCAACTCGCGACAAGTGCCACTCCTCCAGGAATAATAAGGTCCCCGTCCGATATCGACCCCCGGTCACAAAGTCTTCCAAGCTGAGAAGCCACTTAATCCACCCATTTCTCCATCCCATGGCCCATTTTTCTCAGATTTATGTATTCTCTCGAACCATCCAACCAGCCGAGCACGAAACAAGCAACCACTTCTTCTTCTTCTTATCATTAGCTGCGAAGACAATGCGCCGCAACGAATGGATGGCTATACTCAGTGCCCGCGGAAGATGTGGGGACATTGCCATTGTAGGATGGGGGAGGGTCGGGTTTATATAAGATGGGGAGATGATGCCGACATCGAACAACCATGGGATATTGTCCCCTCACCCTTCCGCGGCCACTGGCTGTACTGGACTCTACTCGATAGAGATACACACACTGAATATTTTTATCATTCCACTCACCACATTATTCTTCGTGTTCCGGATTAAGAAAAATAAGCTGCTTCGCTTCTCCTACCAGATCGTTATAAAATGTATGTACTCCATGATAATACAATTGATTGATTGATTGATAACGCGATTTATTTATTTTTATGAGAATTCTGGAGGATGTCAATACATGCAAATTAATTTCCTGTTCATTCAGCTTCTCTCTCAGTCAAAAGTATGAGTTGGTTTGTTAGTGGATGAGACGCGTTGGACCTGCAAATCCCATCCTTCATCCACGCTCGGGTGCAAAGTGATTCCATCTAAAATACAGAGTTGACTTGGCCCTGTGCCGCAGTGAGATTTGAGCCAGCAACGACGCCGGAGTGGTGTGGATGTAGTTACACCGACTCGAAATCCATGCACAAGTAAAGTAAAAAGCGTAGTATATTTCGTACATAGTCCTGAGTGCGTTCTAGAACTGGGAGCATAAGAAAAGTGCTAGTCTTCTACTAAATACATAGGAAAAGGATAAGACCAACAAGATAACGGCGTCATGTTACCCCTTCGAGGAGTCGCCGTTGGACTCCTCATACTTCTAGCAGGGTTCAAGTCAGGTAAGGCTTACTTATCACTTTGAGACTTATCCATCCAAGAATTCGATAGCATTTTAAATATTTGCTCGGGACAAGTCCACTTTTTCTGATAACTTTTACATAGCTTCGTGTAAATACGTTGTAAAGATGTTGATTCAATTTATGACGAGGGAACGAAACCTAATATGCATTCTAGATAACGACTTATCCAAGTAGGCTAGGTTAGGTTTATTGTATGCAGACCTAAACAAATTGATACGCTTCTCTCCTTATCGAGATTGGGTTCGAAATGGTTGTTTACATATTTATCACAAGTAGAGAAATTTAATCTCACCCAGAATAAATAATAGTCTCGGAACGATACTTACATACATATGCGCCCTTTTTGAGACGAATGTTCCTCATTATTTCCTTGTTGTTTGTTATACCGCATCTTTTCCACGAGAAGAAGAAGGAGTTTGTTGATGTGTAGTAATATATTGTTGCTTGAAATTAATTTCGGTCTATAAATCCATCCATCCATCCATGCAGCTTAGCTTACCATCTATTTGTAAATGAGTGACCAACTGTTGAAAACTGAGACTATACGTACCAAACCAAGTATTGATTCCTCCCTGCATGCATACGGCGAAGGATTGATTGTAATAAATCCATCTGGCATTTAATAAATTCCAGTAGCATCCAATGCACCTCTCCTCTCGTAAATATGTACGTATTTATTGATCCCATAATATTCCCCACCCCACCAGCAGCAGCAGGGTTACCATCAAAGGAGAGCACATATGAACACACGTAAATAAGAATGCTTATTAAAAAAATCCATCCCCAAGAACAAAACAATCTCATCCAATCCACACCACTTTTACTACATCTTCATTTCATACACTTGTCTCCCATCCGATGAACTCGTTTTTTTTATTACGTATGTACATACATATGTACATTATTGGTAGTGTATTATTTGGGGTGAGAGGGTGTGGGTGGGCAGTGTCCGCGGAAGGACAGAGGGACAATGTCCCCACGGTTGTTCGATGTCGGCATCATTTCATATAAATGCCCCCTATCCTACAATGTTAATTAATGTCCCCACTCCTTCCGCGGCCACTGCGGGTGGGTGGTAGCATTAACTTCGTTACTTCTGGGCTTTTGGGAATTTGAATTGTAAAAATGCTCCATGCCACACACACAGAACAAATGGTTTTGATGGAGGGAAGAGCTTATTAAAAATTCAGTTAGAACGCACAAGAATAATCACCACACCAGATGCAGGAGCAGACCGAGAGGAGCTTTACCTTTTTCAGTTTAATAACAATTATAAAGTTGAGCGGTATAATGGTGTAATTGAGAAAGGAGACCTTGTCACGGAAATTTGTCGACGAGGAGGACGCTTTGCCATCATGATCTCTTCATGTTTATGATTTCGTAATGAATGAATGAATGACAGGAGGAAGGTGTTTAATAATAGTATTGGTCCCTTCTTGGTGGTTGAAGTGGCGAAGAAAAAAAAACCTGGCTGGTCGTGGTCACCCCCAACAAGACTGTAATCTGGCCAAATTAATGAGACATAATATTTCAGATGTGCGAAATCCTGCCCATCATTTTCTTCACCTGCATTACATTTCATTCAACTCACTTCTCCCCAATTTGAGCGAGATTAAACTGTTCAGGAGCAACCGTTCCGACTAGTTTGCGTTCTTTCTTGTTCACAGAGGCTGAGCATTGTAATGGCATCGCTCCATCCCTTCAGCTTTGCTGCCTATCTCACTTTTTAGGGTTCATACATAACTAAATAAGAATAAGTATATAAGCGAGTGAGGATCAGCATCTTCTCGGGTTCAGTGAAATCATTTACTTAATGCTTTTTGATGTAAAATGAACGGAAATGCGTGCTGGCCCTTATCTGCCTAATCTGGACGAGGTTGTGCTCTCATCCGCGGAGGGTACATTGATACAGATACAGTTTTTCTTTATACGGACCCTGTTGTTCTTCTACGGTTGGCTTATCACCCGAGTGTAAAAGAAAGAAGTGTGCCTAACAACACCACCACCACGACCACTTACGAGACGCTATGTCAAAAAGACCACGGCACACTTTATACAAATTTCTGAATGAATTTATTAGCATTACATACTACGATGAGCAGGCAGTCGAGGTGTGTGTGGACTAGTTACGTGACATGTAGCAATTGTAACGTCAACGTCAAGACTTAATTGTTACTCGACCACTTATGTACATGCTTACTTACACCATTTTTTTGATAAACTTGTTCATCTCCCTGTTTCAAAACACAAAGTTGAGTGAGGACCGCGTGTGTCAAACTGATTTGTTGCCCGTTTAAAAGCAGCCAAATTTATCCATCAGTCAGTCAGACACATGCACACCGCAAAGTGATGGAGGTAAATTTTCCCATGTCAAATGTGGTCTGTCTCTGGTCATTCATCCATTCATGCAATAAACCGCTACACATTTCCATCCAAACCAAACCACACTGCATTGCTTATTAGTCAAGAGTCTCAACAGCAGGAGGGAGTTTGACGGAGAAGTAAAATTATTAGGGATTTTGGTCCGATTTATATTTCCCGATTCCCGTCATCGTCATGTTTATTCGCACCCGTTGATTTTTTTCTCTCTCTCCGATTATATAATCTCGGTAGCAGCTCCTACATTACATAAAATTAAGTAAAATGTGAGAGAGAGAGGAAAAAAATCAATGCGTCGCAATCACCATGATGCATCCATCGCACCTCGTAATGAAAAAAATGAAAGTATGTATAAGCAAATCTTTTTCAATTTATCCATCTTTTTTTTTACTTTTTATCCATCCTCCTCCTCCTCGCATGCAAATATTTTCTGGAAATCAGGCCCGACCATGCATGCAAGGCGTAATCTTCTTCCTGAGACGAATAAACAGCTCCCATCCCACCAGAACAAGACACTCATCCATCCATCCACCTTTTTCATACAGAAAAGCTACATACATAAATATGTAGGAATGCTTTTTATTCATATCAACAACTAACTGCCTTCTGCCTGCATGCATGTTGGCGTAGGAGAACCATTCAATCAATCAATGTCTGGAGAGTGTTGATACCAACTGCACGCCGTGGAGGAACCTACTGAGCTATTGTGTTCCGTTATGCGACGCTGTTTGTACAAATAATAATAATATAATCTCCACCATTTGGTAGGAAAAAAAGGGTTTGCAAAAATCTGGAGAGAGAGAGAGAGAAAGTGCATGCAGGAGGTCGGTCGTGTCCTTGGTCGTCGTCGTCAGTCTTGCTACTTTTAATGCCGATCGCTATAATGTGATACATCTAATTTACTCTACTGCTTATTGGGACAAAGACGACGAGACGTTCTTCTTCTGGGCGAATAAAGTAAAGTAAAGAGAGACCAATAATAATAAGCTCGATGGATGGATGGATGGATGGATGATGAAATGAAGGCAGGATAATGGTGGCATGTATGGACGTATGTATAGGTTCTAATGGGTTTGCGACTTTGCGTAGGCAGAGGATTGACAGTGTTTAAGTATTTTGTGGATATTTATATATATACGGACGTATTGGGGGCATTAATGCGAGCATTATTTCGTACATTAGGACTTTAAGGGAGAGTTAATTTGGGGGGGGGGGGTAATTAATTCAGGGAAAAGTTTTTGGTACATTTGAGACACATTATATTTGAGATTGCGACTTTGTGTAGGCAGGGGATTGACAATATTTTGTGGATATTTCTACCTATATTGGGGGCATACTGCGTATCAACTTAAGAGCATTATTTCACCCATTAGGACTTTAAGGACTCGTTAAATTGAGGGTTAAGTAAATAGTTGAAAAGTTACTGGTACATTTGAGATGCATTTATGTATAAGTCATTGTCGTCTTCGAGATAAGTAGTTGTCTGAGAATTTGCGAAGATTTCTGCGAAAAAAAAACTTGCATTGTACTTACGGACGGATGTGGTGGATTATATATTCTAAATAATAATCCATATTTTGATAACATGACTTCCCTTGATTGTTCTTTTCCTAAATTTAGGAAACAAAGAATGAAATGAAGAATGAAAGCCAAAATGTTTCCAATTAGCTAATTCAATTTACCATTCTTTGAAATGAAACTCATCAAAGAAACCTTTCTGGTTTGGATTGAAATAATCTTTGATAATTGAAAAGATCAAAGGAATCAAAATCATTTATAAACTTATCCAAAATTTAGTAAGAAGAAAAAGAAACAAAGCCCGTGAGAAATTCAGACGATAAGAAAGAAAACGAGACAATAACCAGCAAGCCATCCAGGTATTTGCCTCGCTAAGAAAAATGCGCATAGAACAGAGCAACAATGGATTTCATGTCTTCTAATGTGTCCTTTGAAGAGTTTTCGTGTTATCGATGTCGGATGTCGATATCATTGTATCGTGATTTTCGATGGGTACATATTCGTGTCGCATGATTTAATTCCCACCCACCCATCGACCCCGCATTATGTAGACGACTACTGAAGTACTATTTTTGACATTTATTTTCTCCGAATTCTCGTAATTGTAACAATATGCGTCATTTCGTTGGATATGTGGCTGATTGTAATCCGAGAAAGTGTGAGTCCTTATTGTTCTTGGAGAAAAGTATGGGCATGCATGCATCCATACCTTTGTGAGTACCGGACTTTTCGTGATTTATGCATATTTCCTTCCTCTCCTTGCCTTCTAAGAAACTACTTTGTTCTCTGATTGCAAGATAATGCGGTGGCTTTCCATGTTCCATGCTCCATTACGGGAATCAGTGGCCGCGGAAGGTATGGGGACATTAAAATTGTAGGGACGGGTTTATATAAGATGGGATGCAGATAATACGGACATCCAACCACCGTGGGGACATTGTCCTTCCGCGGCCACTGACGGTAACAATGCTGCCACTGCTGCTAAGTGTTTATTCCCTTTCGCCAAAACTTGTCAAGTCGGACGACGGACGACGGACGGACAGCGACGGTAACCCAGCACAACCATAAATTAGTGAAAGGCAGTGTTGGCGTCATCATCGTTGCTGCCTTCGATCCGTCCGTGCTTTCTTCGTCATGACATTTAAAGTTCATTCCGTTTTGTTTGAAATATGGATATTTGTGTTGTACGTACATTCGTGTGTGTGTGTGGACTCGAGTGGGTGAAAGTTATTTACAAATGGATTTAATTCCTGCGAGGCTGTACACTTTCCCGTGAGGTGTGTACACATACCTAGGTTCGAAAAGGTGGGTGGGTGGGTAGTGGTGTTGGGAAATCAGAGTTGATGGCGTATTTAAGCCTTACTTACATCCATAATAAGTGTGCTTGCTGCTGGCCAAATCGCATAACTGAATCATTGCCTTTACTTATTTATTATGTGGCTTTCTCCTCCCCGACAATGTTGGTCAGTGGAGTCATGTCGTCATCATAACTGGAGCATTTGGCAGGCTTACAGGGCAATTTGGAACTGCGATTTGATTTGACACGACTTAGCTTGGCGTGATCCTTATCTGGATTGTTTATTAAGACATTTGATACAATAGTTATGTATGCATGCAGATAAGTATGCATGCATAAGAGATTCGTGGAAACTTTCATGGTGCAAGGATTAGCGGTGGGTGATAAGTAACATAAATCGTGAAAGTCGTCTCCTCCTCCCTGGAGCTATGTTGCATACATATTTTGTAATGGTGGTGGTGGTGGGAAAGCGTGGGTGGCTTGGCTTGGGTGAGAGGAGGAGGATCCTTCTACTTATTGTGAAAGTCAAGCATGTCATTATTATTATTTTCTTCTGGCACTGCCACAATCCGGCAAGATTGAAGTGCTATTCAAGCCCAGAGATGAGAAGACTTATCTCTTCCGGTGAATTTTCTCTGAAGCACTCGCTCATATTTGTACGTATGTATGTCCCAACCAGAAAACATAGCTCACGGCCAAGTAAAGTAAAACTATGCAGCAATCGTGTACATACATACAAACACATGGATGATTTTGTAACAGGCCACGTTTTACTTTACGTGGTGGGTGGGTGGTTGGTGGACGATCAAATCGACCATGTTGGGCTAGGTTTTGCAATAAGTGGTGAGGTGGAGATGATGATGAAGCCGACTAAATGTGTACACACGTAGCTGTGGGGAAAGTGAGGACAAAGTGAATAAATTAGTGGGATGCAGCTAACATACATATGCAGGTGAGCTTTAAAGGCAGGCAGGCATCAGGAGGAAAAGTCAGGAGGGAGAAAGCAGGCATCAACAGTTCAAACAGGACCAGATGACGTTTACCTCGCCCCGTGGTCGTACTTGCTTGCATTTCAAGTTTATGAGGGTATCGCGTGATTGAGAAATGACGTGTTGTATGTACTACATACATGTATACACGTCCACCTTGGCATCGATTTACTTACACAGGGGAAAGGATTAATCTAAAAGCTGTACTTGGCTGATAAGAGAGCACAAAATGCGCTACGACGACGACCACGACGACTTTTTTTTACCAACGCGGCCATTTAGCCGAGTGTCTTGTGAACATATGACGACGTCGACGTCCACGACGACAAGGATGAGATGATGATGCCTGATAATGACAAGGAGTAGTTTTTGCGGTTGGGGGGAAAAATCGTGTATGGAACAAATCAGATTTTAGATTTGGTTAGTTATTACGTATCATACATATTTACCCGAGTGGGACGTATGTACGTATCGGACATGAAAATAATAGTAGGACACGTCTAGACCCTCGTACACAAACAAAATCATGTCGTGCCCAAGGGCGAGGAAGGAGCCAAATGCTACATATTTACAACTAAATAAACTGCGAAAAACAATCTTGCTCTGCAGGGTTTTAATTAAAGGCTCGAAACTCATGACCAGACCAAGCAGCTCTCATGTTTTTAATTTCGATGTCAATGAGTGAAATTACATAAATCATTTTATTTTTGCAGGACTCGCCATATACTTCACAGACTATGATACTCTCACCTTTACACCGAGATTATGGCCGGAAAACAGTACAATTCACGTATTTACGGCACACCTCGAACCGGACGACTTGGGGAAGATAACTTACTCAATCATTCCTCTGCTAAATCAACCAAGTTTCTGCCCACCACTTGGCATTCATCCCCAACTCGGTCAGCTCCGACAGATCGGACCTGCCATCACTGCTATTAAATCAGCACCATCACAAAATGGTGAGTGAAAGAGCATGTCAACTCTCGATTCGATGATGAATTTCCCCTTTCAAAAAATAATCCCTACGCTTTTATTCACGAGCGTCGGGCTTGTTTGCTTGCTCCGATAAATGAAATGACATTAATGCCAAATTGGTGTTAATGCAGAACACGGGGAAGGTAAATCTGAGAGAGAGAGAGAAAGTCAAGCCTGGCAAACTAGGCCCGTCGGCTGTATCAATTAATTTCCCAAAAGTTTATTCCCTGCGTTTCTATTATTAGTGTTGTTCTATTATTAGGAGTGTACTTAAAAGCAAAGTCTTGTATGTGCATATATCGACTTTTCCCCCAAATTTTATTAGACGGAATTAAAATCACAGAAATTCCGGCGGCTAGTAAAATAAAATAATGCGGATTTCTCTAGAATTTGTATCGGTCACGACACAGTCGTCCTTAAATAAAGTTTGTCCCCAGAAAACTTTACCAATGTTCCCCAGAAATAATGAATGAATTGATTACTCCTAATGATGGGAATTTACTTGGTGAGTTTGAGAATAAAATCTCAAACTTTTTGTCTTGTCCAGGAACGAGGAAAGCTCGACGAAAAAAGCAAATTTCGGAGTGCGGTTACTTCATTTCGGCCAAGTTGGAGGGGACACCGGGGGCTCGGAATGAATCCTCAACAACGATCATGGTGACATACACGCCGTCAAATGCGACGGCTCTGAAACCACTCCCACGAGAAAAAATGGACCAGCAGTGCAGGCAACTTGACCCGGTGAGTAATTCATCATCATCACTTTTTAAGTGACCTTTGACTGAAATTTTCCCCTCTCTTTTTTGCCTCTATTAGGAAGTCATTTGCTTCGAAGGTGCCAAATCGCTGACTGCGTATGTGATGGAGAATAGCGACCCCCTCCCCATTCTCAACTTGGGGAGTCTCAACCAGGCCTGCGGAGTGCACATCTTCAACTATAGTATCCACTCGAAGGGTAATTTTTTATCCATTCTGCTCGGATTTTCACCTTCAGTCACTTCATAATTGGGCGATTCGTTAAAGAAATCGTGTGTTGGGGAGAGAGAGAGAATACAACGATTCAATTTGTAACCTGACCGACCGACCATCTGCCAATATTCACTTGGGTTCTTACCTTGTTAAAAAGCTGGTGAATGACGCGTATTGATTCGGCTGAGGTCAAATTACCTCATTTTCCCAATGAGTGCATGTGGAATATGGAATAATAGGAAAGGAAAATACTGGGGTGCATGGTGAATGAATGAATGAACAATTTTTTTTATTGAGGCTCAATTTACACCAATTTCATATGCCAATTTGATGGGTGCGATACAAGGGAAATTCATTACTTAAAATTGGAACCGAAACCATTTATTTGTAACGCTTCTGTAAAAATGTAATTTTGATTTCGGATTTCGAAAATTCTTGCAAAGAACGTAAAAAATTCATAATCCTAGGAAAAATTTAAGTTTCACCCTCTTTTCTGTCATAAATGGGTTCAGTTCATCAAAATTGGGACCAAAACCACTAATTTGTAACGTTCAAACCTTCAGTAAAAATGCAATTTGGATTTCATATTTCGAAAATTCTTGTACAAAAAAAGACGTCAAAAATTCATAATCCCGGCAAAAATCCAAGTTCTTTGCCCTTTCTGCGTAGCTATCGTAAACGGAGATTAAGCAAGCTTTCACTATTCCCCCATGATCTCAGAAAGCTCATGAGCTACAAAAATCTCAGATTTCCGACATCCTCGCGTAGCCTCCTCGTTAAATTGGCATATGGTCCAGTATGACATCGTTTACTTTATCCCATCGCTTTCTCCACTATGTCCTATCCCGATACTTAATAAAATAACGCCCAATTCTCCCCTTTCAGTTCTCACAATTCAAGCGAATAATGGCAACAACTCGGACGGCGCACCCTTCACCGTTTTCACCAAGAATCGCTTTGATCGCGAAAAAAGGGCTGGCTACGAGTTTTCCGTCACCTGCCACCTGATGTCCAACGGCAGCCGGGACTCACTTGACACCACGATTCCCGGCGAACTGACCATCCTGGACCAGAACGATTCTCCCATCGTGTCCCAGTCGAACGAAACTTTGATAACTTTCTTCTTCAAGTTGTCAAATGACAACTATCGAGCTGTAAGTAATTCGACCCACAAAGTGAGATTCCTTCCGCATCCAATAAACTTGCTTTTTTTCTCTCTTTGCTTGTGTAACAGGGTCAATCTGTCACACCACGTTCGCAGCTCGGAGCCCTCATCGCGTTGGACGATGACATCCCGGGTGTCAATCGAATCACGTTGAAATCCATCAACGACACGAAGGGTTTGATTGATTCCAACCTTAAAGTTGTGGCGATGACGTTTAACCATATTAAAAATGTGAACATCGTGTCAACCGTGCTGTACCCGAAATTCGGTAAGTTTTTTTTATAGATATTTTTTTAGAGTAATTACGAACAAAAATTATAATTTAGCGCTTTCTAAAAACGTGTCGACCGTCCATCGCTGGAAGGGGGAATATTGTGTCGCTTCAAATTTGCTTGACACCGCCCAAGTGATACGGCATGAGCCTGTAAGTCATAAATCTTACAGATTTTTAATATCATTTTTTCCTGCCGGGTTTTCAACCAAGTTTTTTTTTCTTCGTAATATTATTAGTTGAGATACGTGATCTGCTTGAGTTGGGATGAGAAAAAGGAAGATTCGCCCCCTGTTCCGTTGGAGGAGATCGCTACGGAGGAAATCGGCACGGAGGAAATCGGTCCAGAGGAGCAAGTCACTTACAAAACGTTCGATACCAACCTGAAAATTGCTTCCAAGCCACCCGAGTCCACCTGTGGGAATGAGTGCATCATTTTCTACTCGTCCATCGGGTTGGGGGTCATATTCATCATTTTCTTTCTGCTTTTCGCCATTCGGAGGGGACAGTAAGTGCATGAAATGAGTGAAATGATGCATATTTAGATAGCAGTGAGGACAATAAGGGTCGATTTGTGGGGTCAGTGGCCGCGGAAGGTGTGGGGACATGTGGGGACATTGACATAAGGGATAAACTCCCCCCCCTCACGTGAGATAGGGGGAGGGAGGGGTTTGTATAACATGGGGAGATGATGGGGACATCGAATAAACGTGGGGACATTATCCCTCCGTCCCCACGCTTCCGCGGCCACTGTTCGTGTGGTCATTTATGTCCAAATAATTAGTTTGAGTCAGAAGAACTAACTTTTCTTTGTGAAGAATCGTTTTCCTGTTAATTTTTGGTGACGGAGTTGAGATGATGAGAAATGGTTTTGCTAAAGTGGGTGAATTGGCATCATTAATTATTCTACTTGCCAAATTAATGTGACTAGGTTGACGAGGAATTTTAGTCAGAACGACTCTGAGATTTCGTGATAGTAAATAAATAAATAAACGTGGTATTTATTTTGCTTGTTCAGCAGTTACAAGGAGAGGAAAGCGGCCCAGTCTCCAGTTATCGGTGCGGACATTGAATTAGCGAATGGATTCGGGGATCGCGGAGAAAACAGGATTCTACTACCCGACATGGACTACGCCACTTCCGGTCTGAATAATAGACCTCGTTCCCTTGGATTTTATCCGGCTAACGCCCCATTCAATTCGGATAATTTCTTCCCGGTAATCTTCATTAATTTACAAATGTCATACGCAGAGAGAGATTTATTGTTCTCGGTGGTGCGGGGGTTTGCTATTTCTTATCAAGAATCATGACAATCTAATCTGGTTGGTCATCTTGGTCGTAAAAGGATTAGTTGACTCGTATGTCGTCACCTCAAATTACGGAAGTATTACCGTTAAAACCTTCTTTATGAGGTTAGGAATAGGTGTACGTATTTATGGTGAAAGTTCACTTGAGACGAGGTGGTGGCGAATTAAGAGATATTTTTACCTGGATAATAAGTTATTATTAATAACAAAAGACAGATTAGATTTGCACGAAAATAACATAATGCATAAATAAATGTATTTACAAAAATCGTCTCAATTTCGAGGTGGAATAATTGGGTTGCTAGAATCTTAGTTTTTTCAACTTATCATTGTGTATGAAATAATATGTTATCGCTTATCGACATCGTTGACATTATCATTTCATAATGTTTCTGTCATAATTTTTCATAATCATTTTTTTACCTGTCTCACTTGCATTTCTCATTTCTCGGACAGTTGTGTGTGGGAGTGAGGGAAGATGGGCAGCAGCAACAATTCAAGATTTAGGCACTTGTGATTGGTCATTCAACATTTTACTCGAAATCTTCACAATTTCCGAACCTGTGTGGAAAATTGATGCACTAACTTTTTCCCTGCCAATTGTTGAACACGACGATATCAATTGTTCAGCTCAAATTGATCCCCGGGTTGCTGAGAATTCGTGAAAAGTTGTGGGTGGTTTGTGTTTGTATGGCTCAAAGGGTTGGTGGAAGTCCATTTCAATTGACAAACCAGTTCTCCCCTGCATGCTTCCCTTATCCCCCTAACCGACTCCGACACCTTAAAAACAGTAAAAAAAATAAAAAATCCTAAAAAAAAGCAAACCGCAAAAAATAAAAACCTAAAAAAAATTTAAAAAATAAAAAACCAAAAAAAAGCGCCTCACGGTGCGAAAAACAAAATCAAAAGATAAGAATTCCTATAGAAAACAAAGCTGGGTACGATTTTCAGTACTGACAAGTTATTCTGCGACTTGAAAAAAGTTGCAACATTTTTTCGATTGCCGGCAATAAGATACATTTGCTGCTGTGCTGGGTGACATTTCTGTTTCCTAAACAAATACATAATTTCTTCAAATTTTTACAAAATTTCTCTCTTCTTTTTTTTACAGGTGGAGAGCAAATGGGAAATTCCGCGAGAAGACCTGCTCCTCGATCATGTCCTTGGCGAAGGGGAATTTGGCCGAGTATTGAAAGGAATGATGCGAACTTCCAACGGTATTTTGCTTTCACTTGACACCACTTTCTCCGAATTTCGGTGTATTTACTTAGTTAGTTAGTTGGTTGGTGGTGGTTCCGGCCCGGCCATTTGGTTGGAGTCGACCTTTCTGAGCTGTATAATTATATATAACTTGATCCATGTCCTTGCTTTCAACCACCACATTCATTTTCATTAAGCCCCCTCCTAATTGAGCATGTTGACTACTTACTCTAAATAAATTAAGCCTTAAAGAGAGTAGGAGGAGGAGGAGGGGGCGACGACGACGAAAAAGTTGGCGAAGACGACGTGGGCGTTTTTATACGTACATATTTATTTGCATGCATATTTATTTGCGTGGATATGATATGGTGGTTGGTGGCTGGGTAGGCTAATGAATCAGAATTTGCCTCGTGCTAATCAACTCGTCCATTTATTATTTATTAAAAGGAACGGTCCACGTCGCGGTGAAAATGCTAAAAGTTGACGAGACCGAGGGACGACACAAGTCAGTCAGACAGGAATTTATGGCCGAGTTCTCTCTGCTGAAGCAACTGGATCACTCCAACGTGATCAAATTACTGGGGGCCAGTACTTCAAATAGGTGTCCACCTCTGCTCGTCATGGAGTATGCGGAGTTTGGATCTCTCAAGTAAGTAGGGTATATATAGATACATAACAGGTCGAAAGTCTCATATTGCCTCGTCATCATTATCACGAGTCAAGATGATAACGTTACATCAACAAGAAATTAATCTCTCTGTTGATAATTTTACTCCCTGTGTGTAGGAGTTTCCTGCGAAAGTGTCGCCGAGTGGAGAACATCAACCACGTCGAAAGGTCGGAGGGAGGTTACGAGCAGGGTGTGAGAATTCGCAACCGAAATTCAGCCGAGGTTTGCGACTACTTCGTCACGCCGCAAGAACTGCTCGGATTTTCTTGGCAAATTGCAAAGGGGATGGCGTACTTGAGTGATATGAAGGTATGTACATATACATAATCCTCGACCTCATTATCACTCGTAAATACGTGGTGGGTAGTAGTAACAATAGGAATTAATGGCTTAGATGGTGCATCGTGACCTCGCAGCTAGAAATGTACTCATCACCAAGACCAAAATGTGTAAAATCTCAGACTTCGGACTTACCAGGGACATTTACGTAGATGACGCTTACAAGAAGAAGAGCAAAGATCGGGGTAAGTATAAATTATTAGATGACCAATTTACGTCTGTGCTCACTTGCTCTAACCGGAACTTACAATTCCAGTCCCGGTAAAGTGGTTGGCCCCCGAATGTCTTACCGATGAGTTGTACACATCCAAGTCGGACGTGTGGGCGTATGGGATTCTCTTATGGGAACTCACCACGATGGGCTCCTCTCCCTACCCAGGCATCCAGACTGAACACTTGTACCCCCTGCTGGACTCGGGATATCGGATGCAACAGCCACCCAACTGTTCAAACGAAGTGTGAGTACTTTTCATAGAATGATAATATTTATGCTACGCTTTTACTAACAATGAGTGACCTTCGAGAATAGAAGAAAAACCTAAAGAAAATAATGTGTGAGCAGAAAATTAATACAATTTATTCTCCTCCCGCAGGTATAACGTCATGACTAAATGTTGGGCTAAGAATCCTAGCGAACGACCACCATTCCACGAACTAGTATTCGTGTTTTCAAGACTGTTGGAGGATGGAATCGAGTATCTCAAGCTGGACATTTCATCCGTGTCCAATCCAGGTTATGATATTTTTAACCAAGATGAGACCCCCATGGCGTCTACGACCATGTCGACGACGACGACTACGGCAAATTATGCGACCCCAAATGCTTATGCGATCCCAGTCATTCCAGCCCAATAGTGGAAATAATGTGTGATTTTTTTCTATTAGACTATTTAATTTAAGATATATGTCAATATTTAATTGATGGATATAATGGGTGTACAAGTGAAGACTGCGTTGTTGTAATTTCAAATTACATGAATGAAATACTTATATTATGAATTATATACATACATATTTATCTGAGTAGTTGGTGAGTCAAATATTTTTTTGCGAGATGAATAAAAAAAGAGGAGCTCGAGAGTACTTAGGAAAAGTTTTTATATATTTATTTCCAAACATTTCACATAAATATATGTAAACAAAATGTAATGAACAGTACAATTCTAACGTCAAAGTTGCGAAGATTTGCATGTTGCTTGACTTACAAAAGCAGGTAAGAGTTTACTTGTTGCGGGCCGACTCTTCTTTTTTGGGATTTCGTCGCCAGTTCCCATCATCGGCAGGAAAGCTGTCACGATCTCCACGACTTTCTGGTCGCCGGGCGGAGGGTGGACCACTTGAACCTGGTGTTCTCCTAGATGGTGGAAAGAAACAACTTATTAGTAAATGTAGGTATTTAGAGACTAGAAGGATGAAAGCAGTAAAATATAGATAACCACTTACGGAGAGCTGTTCATTGAATCTGAGGAGCGACCACCTTCGCTGCCTCTACTGCTTCCACCTCCTCCTCCTCCTGACCGACGCCATGGTTGATCATCCATTTTCTGCTGTTGATGTAAAAAAAAGAAAATGTGTTATTTAAAAAAATCCTCTTCTTCATATTAGCCAAGCAATCAATCAGTTTGTAAAATAAAATGTTTTAAACTTACAACACGATCCCGATCAGGATTACGCAAGTCAGCACCACCACCACTTCCTCCCCCGCCCCTTGGAGGCCCACGACTTTCAAAACCGGGTCTACCACCATCTCTGTCCCATTCCCTCTTGTCGCTCCCACCACCACCACTTCCGCGGTCACGACTTGGCCTCCACTCGTCTGATCCTCCACGGTCACCTCCACGATCACGGTCCCAACGTTCTTCATCATCTCCTCCTCGTCTATTAGAATTTTCATAGTCTTGCTCGCGACCACCACCACGCTTCTCTCCTCGATCAAAGTCATTGTCGTTACGTCGTTCACGCACTTTTTCAAAGCTGTGCTCCGCGCGTGGTGTTTCACGTCGATCCATGTCAAGTTGGCGAAAGTCAGGACTGTTCTCCTTTGATGATTCCATAGCCTTCCTCCGGGCTGGTGGAACCCAAACGTTGCCCGGAGTTCCTGGCGCGCTACCACTACCGCTACTACCCTTTGACGAAGGACGCCATGGTTCGACAGGTTTCTCGCCTGGAGCTACGGTCGCAGGTGGAGCCGCTTTTCGCTCTCGTTCTTCACGATCTTCAATTTCTCGCTGTTTTGCAAGTTGTTTTTCCAGCGTGATACGATTCCTCTCTTCCATCTCCTTCTCAATCTTGTCTCGCTCTTCACGAGCTCGTTCTTCCTCAATTCGTCGACTCTCTTCTTGACGAATCCGTTCTTCTTCCTCCATTTGTTGACGATACTTCATTTGTCGCTCTTCCTTTCGCTCCTCGCGTCGCTTTTGCAATCTGGTAGCCTTATAGCGTGAAAGCTCGTCTTCAAAGTGGCTAACCTTCTCTAAGAAAACATGACGTCGAGATTCGAGCAGAGACGAGAGGAACGCGTTCTTGTCATCTCGCATGCGTTTCATCCTGTCGCGAGTTGCAACCGCAATTTTTCGCTCTTCAATAAGATGTGCAATCCTTTCAGCTTCATGAGCTTCCCATTCCACTTTTTCAAACTCCTTCTTCTCCTCCACGTACTTTTTGATGACTGGAATCTCTTCCATACGTTTCGCCCTTTCCAAATGATCAATGCGCTTTTCCTGCGCCTTCAAGCGTGCCATCTGCTCCTTGACCTCTTTTGCCATCTCTTCTTGTTGCTTTTGCAGCACGCTTTCAACATCCATCTTGGCCATTTCATCGTCATCGAAACGAGTAATGATTTTGTTGCCCAATGGACTGTTTTTAATTTGCATGAAACGTTCCATGAGTCGATTTTTCTGAATAGTTGCACGTTCCGCGTCAACACGTTTCTTTTCACGCTCTTCTCGTTCTGACTCCAGTCGCTTGGCCTCAATGGCTTGTTGTTGCTTAGCCATTTGCTCACTGCGCCATTTCTCTTCATTCTCGCGATCGGCAGCAGACCTCTCCAACTCCTCTCGGCGATCAGCAATAATTTTCTGTCGCTGGAGAAGAGCCATATGGCTTTGTTTCTCGGTCATCACGTAGTGACTTGCAATTTTGCTTCGAAGAATGTCATCGTCCGACTATAGATGATCAATCGATTAGTTTCTTTTTACTTTCATCTACATTAAAATAACGCATGGTTTTGTAAAATTGAATATTGATTATTTACCTGAGCATTTGAAGGAGCAATCATGTCGATCGTTTCATCAATGTAGTCCACAACGTTGACAAGTTGAAGACGGACAGCTTCGGACGGCATGACTTGCAATTGGGGACCTTCAGGCATGTCTTCTCGAGACGCCTCGGCAAGAGAAGAGCCAAACTTGATGCAATTTGTTCGGTGGTCAATGTTGATTTGCATATCACTGTATCGAACCGCGTCTACGAGCAGTTGTTCAACGCGAGATTGATCGGCAAAGACAGTCATTTTGAGAAGATGATTATAATCAATGTTTTGGTAGACCTGTAATAAAAGTACAAAAAATTAGATCGTGCAAACATTTATGATGAAAATTATTGTTAAGTACTATTTAGAAAACCAACCTGAGATATTTGTTTTATTAATCGACAAAGTGCAACATCTTGAACGGGTTCAATGTACTGATCGATGTATTCATGATCGGCAAATGCTTTTAAATTGGCCAGGTTCTGCTCAACGTGACCGCAAAGATCTAATGGTTCGAAACGGGTTTCCAAAATTTCATATAAATCGGTCAAGGGTTGGATGGAGTTTTGTAGAACGCCGTATCGCATTAAATCTCGGATGAGGGAAGCCCGTGTTGGTGGCTGTGGAAGGAACAAGAGCATTGACAGCTTTTGCGACTTTTCCAACATTCCTTTGTCAGTCTCGACGAATCGCTCAAATTCGGGATGTGCCACTGGGAACGGGATGGCCAGCGTGGCAAGAGAAACTTGGGATGCATTTCTGCAATGAGTATTATGAAAAAATAACGTTAGTAGTTACTAATTTAAGTTGCACATTATAAAATGAAATGGTATTTGGATATTATAGTTGTTAATTAACTTACTTTTGCAGTTCTTCGGCCGAAACGTTCCTCTTCATATCTTTACAAAGCATGTAATACTTTAGCAAAGTTGCCGCGTGGAAGAGCAGATTCCCAGCTTTCCAAAATACCAAGGATAATTTTTGATAGTAATACGCCATCATTCGAGTTTGAAGCTTCTTGGATTGGTTCATGAGAAGATGAATGTCTTCAATCGCCTTGTACGCTTCTTGCCACAATTCGAGTGTAATGGCGGAATCCAACTGTGCCAAACGAGTCTCCATGTTTAGCTGTTGGGTTTCTGGCGAAGAGAAGTCAATGTTGTTCATTTGTGATCCTTGACGATTTACAATGTCATCGAAATGCTTTCGGAGTCGTTCACAAAGTTTACGAAATTCAGTTTTCCGGTTGAAACTCAGGCAGAATTTGAAGGCCTGGAAAAATGCATAGTAAAAATTAGTTAGTAAAATTTTACCATTAGAGTTGTTTTGTTATATTTAGTATTTTTCTTACCATTTGTGCAATGTCGTGATAAAGAGTCTCCAATCTGGCATTGTTACGAAGTAAGTCCAAGCACTGGGTATACGATTCCCACAGGAATTTCACCCATGGGATCAGAGCGGCTCGATCACTCCGCTCTTGTGCTTGTTCTTCCGTGATGACACTGTAATTGGAATTAGTATCATGATAAGTTATTGGGGATTTAACTATATAAATCAATGACAGCATTAATTGTTAGCATAGTATGATAATGGTGTTAGTCAGTTATTTATCAGCATCAAAAATTAGCTTCTACTCACTTGAGCAAAGTCATTTCAGCCATGGACAAATTATCCAAATCATCCACTTCCACAATAGCTTCTGCATCTGACTTTTCAACCTCCTCCTTCTTTAAAGCCTCTCGAGCAGTTTCCGTCTTCTCCTCCGCCATCCGGATAAAACTACGGATGACTTTCTCCAAGAGCCCAACATTGACCTGGGCACAACATAACATAAAATTACACCAGCTCATTATACAAACGTAATACCTACTAAATTTAAACCAAATTAGTATATTTCCTCTTACCGACTGGCACATAAGCCGATATTGGTAAAGACCTTCTTTCGCCGTGTGTGGTTTCTTGAGATCCACACACAGTTCCAAGTACTTAAGCATGATGGGCTCGATGACCTTTTCACTAAACGCCCTGTGCTTCTTCCCCTTGATGACATCGTAGAGAGTGTCAAGCGCCCTGGTGGGCTTCCCAACCTCGATGAATTCTAAACAATAACAATAACATTAATTTTAAAAAACTTGGTAAAAGTGAATCTGTTCCCAGTAATTAACAATAACTTATTATGCTGTCTGACTGGTTATACATATTGGTTTTTAAACGTCTGGCCGGCTGTGGCTTACCATTTGCCTTCTTCAAGGCATTTTCCGGCCGCTGATAGTAGCGGGACATGTCGAGACCCACTTGAAATACGCCTGGATGCTGGTGACCGTGTCGTTTTGAGTTAAATAATCACAAGATTACTTAAAGACGATCAGTCGTTTATCTGACAGTCGGCGAAAAAAGCACGTCTCTTCTTACTCTCACTCAAGAAGCAGTGGCACATTCTCGTCCATTCCCTCTCACCATGAGCGGCGGCAGGAGGCGCCACCCGGCCCTCGGGGAACAACAAAACTTGCGAAAATCTCGTCTCACTATTTTATTTTTTGAAAACGAAGTTGAGAGAAATGTGAGAAAAGTGTGAATTTCTTGTTTAAATTTCCTAAAATCAAACTATTCAAAATTGATGACCACCCAGTATCATGAGCAGATTCACTTACTTGGAGAAAAAAGTGATATCACCAAATTAATGCTAAACAGTATTGTGAATCGTTGTAAATCTGTGAATGTTACAGATTAATTGATGTGAGGAGAGGATGACGATGACGATTAGTAAATTAAATATTTAATTATTTAACTGTCATTAATTATGACGTAGGTATTTAATCGGAAACGATGAGTTAGAAAATATTTACGTTCGCCTCAGTGAGACAGAGTGGAATTTGGGGAAAGGGTACAAAAAACCGAGTGGCGGCAGCAAAGTGGGTGAAATAACAAGTGTTCGAGGTGATATACCGTTTTGTCATGTCAAAAAGTGGATTTTGTTTTTGTTGTTTCTCGTTTTTAATAATATTTAACAGTTAATTAATTAATTATGTCAACGACGACTGGGAATGAGGAGGAGGTGGACACGTTAAAATTGTCTTCTTGTCATCTCGTCGGTAAGAATAAGAGGCTGGTTTGATTTGGTTTTATTTCAGTTTGCGAGTAAATTTGATAAGCTAAGTATGATTATTCATTAATTTAACAGAAGTTCTCGCGGATGATTCACTCCTCTGGACGTGGAGTTATCCTCACCTGAGTCCTCAACTTCGCACGATTTGTACGTCCAAATGCAACGTTATTCTGTCCCAAGGAGTAAAAAGTGTTAGAGAAGAGGAGGATGGTACTACAGATAAGGAAGGTGGGTTCATGATGCAGGGGAAGAATTTTCACTTGGATAACCTCTGGTTCTACGTCGTATTTCCTGTGAGACCCAACGGAGCCAAGGTGTCAGGGTCGGATAATAAAGCCGTACCTGTAAGAACTCAATGTAAATTATATTTAATGTCGTCAACGACGCATTTTTTATGTGGTGCTTGTAATAATTTGCAATATTCTGTGCAGGTGAAAATGGTCGGAGTAATCGTCGTGGCGGCGAATTTCCATAAAGAAATGTACGAAAGTGTTGGCAATGTGTTGTACTTAACGTACATGAAGACTGGGGATGCTTCACTTGTTCTGCAACAATTCTTGTCCCTCGTGGTAGAGGGAAACTGTTCACTTCCAAAGAAGAAAGTTTTTACGCTTGATGATCACTGGTTAAGTGCGCCCTACGATAATCACCAAATTAAAGGTGGTAGTAATAAACATTAATCAAGTAAAAGAAGTAATCTTATTTGTAAATTGAATTTTCAGAAATAATTTTAAGATTTGGACTTGAAACTATCCTGATTTACACGGCTTTGCAGAAGAGAAAACGGATTGTAGTGTATCACTATGATATTGATGTTCTATCGAATGTAAGGGGGTTGAAATTTAATGATTATCTTTGTTATATAATAAGTGGTGTAAATTAATCTCTTTTTTAGTTTACATTTAGTCTTCCGGCTCTCAGTAATTCTCCTGAAGTTTGGAAAGCGATTTATCCATGGATTGATTTAAATGAGTACGAGTTAGAATTTACAAAAGTATGTCCACTCATATTAGTTTGAATTGGTTATAGTGAAGATTTGTTTTACATTTGCTGATTATGCATGTTTACAGAATAATGATTTCTACATCATGGGCTGCACTGTGGCTGGTGTGGAGTCTAATTTAGACTTATTCGATCTGTTCGTAAATATTCCGGCGGCTGAAATATCTGTAGCCCCACATGCCAGAGGTGCGTACATAATATGCTTACTTAATATTACTTAATAGCCCACATAACAACTAATTATTCACTTATTAGAACACATCTCGATGAATAAAACACACAAGGAAATGGCCACCTTCATGGTTCAACTTGCCAGCAGCGAAACTACGGAGGATGAAGTCGTTGCTTCCATTCTTAAACGTAATGAAGAAATTAAAGACAAACTTTAAATTAAACATTGTCAAGCCATATGAATATTAAGTGACATTCCAAGTCAAACTTCTGGTCATGTTTATATTTCTTTAGATACTAAAATCAAATAAACGCAGCATTACTTATGAACATTTGATCAAATTTGTTATTCAGTTCGTTTATTTGCTCGGGACAAAGTGTGGGAGTGTGCTGTGAAACCACTTTCATTTCATGAGTACACTTGGTGAACTACATATTACTAAAAAACAAAGTATTAATTTTAATTATTATTACAATTTGGCCGCTAAGCTAATACTGGAAAATATTTAATTAATCCAAACTTTCCAATTTCGATAAACTATCTATTTCATGTCCTACTTACTGAATGACATCAAGAACTTTGTAGGAACTTCTAATTATTACTAAAATCCTAAATAAATAAGTACGCTTAACAGTCTTACAGGTAAAGCAAGGCGACATTCCGTGATCCATTTACTTATCCTCAACAAAAATCAAGTAAACTCAAATGGTACGTCTTCTTGTACCATTAATAATTAAGATCCTGAGAACTTTCCCTTGAAGAACGAACAGTTTGTGTGAATAATAATGGATTGTGATTCTTCCGAGTAGTAGCAGCAACAGCATAATAGTTATTAATTAATTGTATAATTATAAATGTACTAACCGATGACACCTGTGTGTAGCTAATAAGTACTGAATGATGGGTATAACAAAATGGTAGGAAATTACTACTATTATTTAGTACAACATAATGGCACCGTTGGTTTTCTCTTCCTGGATGGGTTTGTGCATCCGATGGATTTCTGAGTTGTTCTGATGGGCTCCGAGGAAAACGAGGACGAGGTTCAAAATGTGAATGATTGCCGCACCCACCACGAACCAAAACGAATAGCCAAGCACGGCCAGCCCCTCCGACGTCCAGTTGTTCTTTCGATCCTCCAATGGCAAAATATTATGGCGAAGTTTGAGATGGTATTGGATCCCCCAGGATATCAGTGTCCCCAGATTGCTTGCAACTGTGGAGTCACATCACATAATTTTATGAATTTCAAGATTTTGCTTATGTATGTACACATGTATTTATTGGATCTCTTCTTACGAGCACAAGCGTTCCAAAGGTAGAGTCCAGGTATTCCGGTTATGGCTTCTACCGGAGTTGTTGCAGTATTTATGAGGGCAAATACTGCGGAGAAAACGGCGAAAAGTATGGCCATGCAGACGCACCCGATGGTGGTCACCCAGAGGCCGTAACTCATAAAATGGCTGTCACTGTTCAACATTTCAATTACTGGAAAAAAGGAAAAGTTGAGTCATTTATGAGTTATTTATTTTATATTTTATCGGGTTTGAGACCCCTTTTTGTGAGAAGCTTGGGGGTAAAAATACTGGAAACACAAAAATGTATGTGCACTCTGGGAAATCAAGCATTGCAAAAATGCGTATGCAAAATTATCAAGTTCTTTTTCTAATTATAATCATGGTCAAGAAATTAATTTTTGATCGACTTGACATTTTACTGGTCAACTTGACGCTATACACGTCAACTTGTCACTGCACTGGTCAACCAGAAAAAAATATGCAAACCCATGCCCACCATTAATATCAGAAGGTCTCCAGCCGTACGCCACATTCAGATTTTTCCTCCCATAGAACAATCCAAGATTAAGATGTCCTTCTGAAGAGCTCGACGTTGTCCTCCTTGCACGAGCCACAATCCAGTGCTGCGTGCTCAGCGCGGCCAAAAGCAGGGCTAATGACGCACAACAAGTTATAAAAGTGACGAAGGTCATCCCTCGTCGGAACGTGTGACCGCTCATTTTTTACGAAGTAACGTTCTTCCCCCCTTCAATCCGTCCAGACCAGAACTCAGTCACTTATCAATTTTCACTTCACTGAGGCTACATCCTGCCAACGCACGGGAGAAGAATTTCGCCATAATATGGACGCTTACTCACTCACGACTGCTGCATCCTCTGCCACATTCCACTCGTCGTCCAAATAACTGTTTCTTTCTCCCCTTACTTTCAAATAGATAATTTGGACGAAACAATAATTCGATGTCTCGAAAAACCACAACCAGTTCCGTGCAGTGCACTATCGGATTTATCCAATTTGTTGGAAAGTGAACTGCCCAAGTTTTTTGTCACGACTCGAACAATCTAAGTAATCACAACGACTGGCAGGCAGCTTCCTGGGATGGGAGGTTATTAGAAGGCAGTGAACTGAAATTGGGATAAACATGCAAATCTTTCACTTCAAGATGATCAAGCCACGATATCAAGATCTTCCACTCTACGAGGATGATGCTTCGGAAAAGACGTGGTTTGGTTGTGTCGACCAAAAAGTCAACGTTGTGTTGCCCCGTTGCTTGTACGATGATTGTGAAAGGGAAGCCTGCAACTTGTTCCCCTTCTTCTGATGTCCATCCATTGCTGCGTTGCGTTACACCATATCTTCGCCATTATTATCATCATCACTGCTCTTGTTGTGCTGTGGGGAAGTTCTCATTGTTGGTCGTCGCAACCAAAGCAAAGCAAGCCAACACCTCTCTCTCTCTAGAAAATACAACAGTTAGAGAGTTCCACATCAGTATTGTTGCACTATAGTCGTCTCTGTGTGTGTACATATTCTGCGTAATACCTGTATTACCTGTTTCTCTTTCAAAACCATCACCATCCATCTAACTCACCCACCCCCAACAAACACCTTGCTGGCTGCTGTTGGTTTTATATATCTGTAACACTGCCAAAGGGTAGAAGACAGCTCTTTGTGCGGCGAGGTTGCATTTTTGTAGTTTTCCCATACATTCATGATAAAGCTCTCGTATGAAAGGTGCATTTGGTTCCACTTTTGGGGGCTTTCTCATCTCATAGCCTTCAGTTAAGCCTGTGACTGTGTGCAGTTTAGTGCAATGCAACCCTTGAATTGTGTGAAGAGAGACGGCAATAATAATGATAATGACGTGTTGTTATTATTTATTGAATGTCTAGCAACCTTTTTTTACATGGGTCACTCATTAAGCAGGGCGCAAATTAAGGCATGATGATGATGTCCTTAATGTATCGTGATGGATAGATGTGGTTTGGTTATCTGCATATGGGGAAAAATAAGTGAAACGTATGGTTGGAATGGAGGTCTCCAAGCATATGAGATCTGATTTTGAAGTAAACTGGTGTTAATCGATAGGAAACTTAAGTAATGTGAAATTTGTAAGAGACATTATTTAATAATGCGAAGGTTTTTGAGGAGATATTTGCAATCAAAGAGGAGAAAATGAGCAGTAAAGTAGACAAATTGCGTGCCTTATGGGGTCGATTCAAAATGGGGGGGGGGATTATGCAGGAAATTTATTAATCGAGATTTTTGATACATTTTCTTTCACTATTTCTTGAGACGGAATGTTTCTGTTGACTGACCAACCGCCTCAATACCTTTGAACCTGCGGCTGCTGCTGCCCATGTCTCTCTACACTCCGATTTATGCACGACATGCTAATGTGAGGGGTGCACAAATTTGAGAAAAATTAAATTACCACACCAATTTCGAACATTTGAGGAAGATTGATGCACTAATATTTCCACATCCACTTGCTGAACACTACAATAAAAAATGTTCGGCTTCAATTGTTCCCCGGGTGGGTGGAAATGAGTGAAAAGTTAGAATTTGTTAGTGTAGTTGGTTTTGGGGAGTGGGTTGAAGTCCATGCCAGTGAAGTCGTCTAGATTCAATTTCATTCGGCAAATAAATAGCATCTTTTTGATAGCATCTTGCAGATGCAACAAACAAATTCAAAAGTTAATTATTTCAACGATTTTCAGCATGATCAGAAACATTGGTTATTTCTGACTCGTTATTCCGCGACTTTTATACACACTTTTTCTAAATACGCAGCATTTTTGCACACCAATTTTGTTTAGTTTGCATTTTTAATGAATTACAAAATTGTGAAGATTGACACGTTTTCTCCTCTTCGGGTGCAAATATCTGCCAAACATTGTCATTTGCTAATTAAATTCTGATCGATTGACACTATAGTTTGCTCAAAATAGGGGAACATACGCTGTGAGACCTCCATGCATGCTAGTTGATCAGGTATGTCGGATGGATAATTAAAGCAGTGTGACACATCCTTAGTAGTGGCAAAAAAAGTGTCAAAACCTATGCATTAGCATAGTTTCCAAAATGCTGATTAATTTCGATACGATGGATTTTTCTAGAATAAAATTACACACTTGAATACCTACGCTTTCTGTGTAATTACGTTGTGGACGCTTTTTTTTACATATTGTTGACCGGACATTGCAGAATTTTTGATATTTTTACACACTTTTGCAGATAAATCTTTGGGTGTGCTCAGTAGTTCATTCATACTGCAACATATTTACTGATCTCTACACTAATTTGTACATAATTTGAACACCTGTAAACAAAAAACAAACACACTTTTTATCTCCATTTCATTGTTGTGGCTTGCTTTTGTGTGCACTTTGTTGTTTTATTTATTGAAGTAATAATGAGACTCCTCTTCGCCTCCACAATACATACATAAATGCACCACTTTCAATTGTTCCACTTGTTGGGCGTCATGATGTTACACTTTTCATGCAAATTCGTCTAATTTCAATTTCACGCATTGTCTACATGCATCCACTTGATTTTAGACTCTAGACCCATGCTGCTCGTGGAAATTGATACGCGTGGTGCAGTTCTTCCTCGTCGTCGTCGTTTTGTTGTGGAGTGAGTGAGTCGAGGAAAAAGTAATAAATTCCATTTTATGGTCCCAGCACTTAAAAAAGTTACAATAAATAAATAAATGAATGTAGGTTTACAGAGCATCAGATCAGATCAGATCAGAGAGAGAAGCTCCACCACTCAAAAAGTGATGCATGCATAATGACGCCTATTTAGTATACATACGTAGGAAAAGAGATTAGCTTGATGATTGCAATTAAACTATGTAGGAGTCGTTGTTATTGTTCATTTCGTGGTGGTGAATGAATACAATTGCAATGTGCAATGCATAATTAGGAGGAAAAAGTCCATGGATTTATTTACTTTTCATGTAAGTAATTTGTGTTTTGCGTCGACATGAACAGATGCAGTGGCCGCGGAAGGAAGCGTGGGGACAGAGGACAATAACCCCAGGGGTTGTTCGATGTCTGCATCATCTCCCCATCTTATATAAACCCTGTCCTACAATGTTAACGTCCCCAGATGTCCCCACGGCTTCTTCCGCGGCCACTGTGAACATGAGTAAAAAAGGAACATTTCGTTTTCAAAAGTGGAAGAATCAATGATGTTTTTTACCAAAAAAAGAGTATGAGGCAACTGCTTAAAAAAGTATGAAAAACACGTATTTTGTATCTACAAATTGGTAAATAGAGTCTCGTCTCACTCACTTTTTTTGTGTTTCACTCTATAAAGGAAAAGGATTTAACAAGGTGTAGCAAAAACCATCCGTGGAAAATGTTGGGCTCTTCTGCTTTATGAAAAGTAACGAAAAATTGAAATAGTAGATTAATTTATGAGCCGGCTATACGGAGACGTTCAACATTTTGGCCTTACTTTGACCTGATTTCTCCAAACTACACCAACTACCAACTAAGTTTTATTATTTTCCTTCCACTAAATTCATGCTAATTCAATGTGCAAATCTGTCATTGTGATCTTCATGAAAAAGTAGTCAGTTCGGATAATCCTTGTGCGAAAGTGGAGATTAAATTTCAAATCGAAACTCCATTGTGAAATTGTGCATTGTGTCAGAGGAGTAATTTTCTGGGGATGGTTTACACGATACAAATCTCAGACAGTGGCCGCGGAAGCTGTGTGGACATTGCCATTGTAGGATGAGGGGAGGGACGGGTTTATATAAGATGGGGAGATGATGCCGACATCGAACAACCGTGGGGACATTGGCCCTCGGTCCCCACGCTTCTTTCCGCGGCCACTGCTCAGGCAGGAGAGGATGTCAATCCAACCAATATTTATTCTCACTTTGTTCGAGAGAGAGAAAGACGACGTAATAATGATACGAATATAATTTTCTTCTTCTCTTAAATAATTATACACACGACGGCCTCTGATCTGCATGCATGAAGACAAAAGAATTCGTTCCTTCGTCGCGTGTGAAAAGTAATTTGTTGCCTTATTTTTAAAAAACATTTTTGAACAATGTCACCATTTTTGGTTCCATCTTGACACTTCCACCACCATCTGAGATGTATAATATGTGCATATTATTATTCACTTATTGTGCCTCAAAATCATGTCTCCTCCATTAAATATGGAGCATCATAACCAAATAATGATAAATCTGTCATGTCAAACGACCACATAAATTCCGCATGTCAATACCATGATTTCCGCATTTATTGAAAAAAACTATAAAAATATTTACTGTCTCCTTAAAACGGAATGCAAGCAAATTACTAAAACAACAAACCCAAAATGTCACCACGAAACGACGACACGACACGAAAGTAAAATTGTGAAAACAACAACATAATTATATTTTTATGTAGTATCTAACCGCGGAAGGGTGAGGAGACAATGTCCCCACGGGTCCGATGGGTATTCGATATCCGCGTCATCTTATATAAACCCGGCCCTCCCCATGTTAACGTCCCCACATGTCCCCATAGCTTCCGCAGCCCCTGTTTTTATGCCGGATTTTGACATTAAGAGAGAGTTATCATGTATGTATGCAAATATGTATGTGTCCCGAATTTATGTATATATTTTTTGTTTTTATTCGGCTGCCTGAGCTAGCACTACTACGTACTTAAATACGTCCGTATTGCATTAATACATACTTGATACATTGATTTTTTATGCCTCATTTTATTTGCCACATATTAATTACACTATTAAATATATCGCCCTTAAATACGTACATATTTAACTACCCTAAACAGTATAATATGTGATATATATTTATAGATATATTTATATTTAGGGGTTGTAAAAACATCGAAATTATATCTTGAAGACTGAGAGGTTTAGTGATGACTCATCATTGCATTTCATTATTTTATTAATTCCCCCTTGGTAAAAAAAAGAACAATAACAACAACAAATGGGGTCTGAAAACATGCAGGATTTCATTATCAGAGCTATTTTATTATTATTATTTAGCTACATTTTGTGTGCATTTATGTGTCAACTATCCATTTTCTTCCCCTATTTGGTTAGTCAGGACTAGGAAGAGTACAACAGTAAAACTTGTAGCCTATAGTTTTATTATTTTATATTTTACATAGTTTTTACACGTTGGTTGGAATTCTAGTAAAATTCAAACTATTTTTTAACCACATATTTCTTTACGTACCAAGCCATTTTTCCCCGTATTATTGTGATGATTGCGAGAAAATCAATCAATATGAATAATAAAAAAAAGTAAATAGTGCGAATGGAAATTCTTAATAAAATAAGAGTTGTCGGAATTCTTGAAATTCCTGTCTCACTAAAAAATGTTAAAATTTTTGATTACTTCCTAAAAGAGGGGGTCTCATTTTACAAATTTCATTGTTTTGTATGTATTTCATACATATTTTTTGCGGAGATTTATGTATGTATGTAGCTGCGTTTTTTTAGTATATAAATTTACAATTCGATCCTGTATGAATAGTCGAAAAATTGCATACATACACTGTACTTTTACATACATAATTATATGTACGTATGTATACCTACATACTTTTTAGTGTTGTTAGTTAGTTATTAACATTAACAAACGTTTGTGTTTGATAGTCAGTCGTCACAAAATAAATTAATCATCAAAAAACTTTTTCCTGACTTTTTTAACTGGATTATTTTTCTCCTTACTAAACATTCTATGTCTATTATGCATTGTGGATTTTTTTCATAGAAATAAAAATATGCTCATGCAAGAGAAATGAGAAGCATTGCACACTTTTTTTGAGATCATCACTCAGCTACTTACTTAAATATTTCCTCCTTCTTAAAATACGGCTAAACAACGATTTATGTATTTTTTACGCGTACAGTTTGTTATCGAGAAGAGTTCTACTTTTAAAAAATTTGATCGCAACTCTCGATCGCCTGCCTTCCCCCCCGGAAAAAGTGGTGGAGAGAGAGAGAGAGAGACTGAAACTGAAAAATTTTGGTACAGTGATTAATGAAGACGTATATAATAATTAATTAATTAGTGGAAACTGTGTAGTGAAACCGGAATGAGCGGCGGCGCTAGGTCTAGAATAGTTTTATAAACGCTGTATGGTGAATTATGTAAATACGAGTATCGTCATCAGAGAGAGTTTTACTAAACGCGTTTTTTTGGAAGTCCTGATAATGATCGTGAGATGATGATGATGATGATGAAGTAGTAAAGTAGTTAACAACAATTTTAAATACATAGAACCCGGCGATCCATACATATATCAATCAATTTTTAAGTACATAGATATTTAGCATCATTAATATAGCCAGCCGGACACAGTATAGTGTGTTGTACAACAATATCTTAAAAGTATGTTATCGTAGAACCAGTCCCTTATCAATACTGAGAGAGTTTTAGCATGTAGAAATACATATGTAAAGAGAGAGTTAGAGAGAGGAAAGAGAGGGAGGGGTGGAAAGTGTCGAGGAGGAAAAGTCGACGTTTTTGACGACTTTTTACCCTCGTAAAATTCTTCAAGTTTGGGTTTGACAGAAGAAGAAGGGGTTCGTTTCGGAGAGAGAGGGAGAAAGTGTGGGAGAGGAGAAAGCAATGCCGAGAAATTCTACCCTTCACCGAACCACGCTCCAAATAAATATTATCATATTGGAAGAGACGAAGCTGAAACGGATGTGCAAATTTTTTTGCATGTGTCGAAGAATGTGGGTCATACCATCATTTTCTCTTCTACGGTGAGGTCTTGATAAACGAGGAGACGTATTAAATGCAATATAACGTGGAGGATAGCGAGGATAACGAGTTGATTGGATTTTTTGTGTATGTATTTGTCTGCGTGAATCTTCTTCTTCTTTTTCGTTGGAATGATGACGAAGGAATATTTGTTGATTATTCGTATCTCTTTTACTATAATTGTTTTTTAACTATTGGTCCAGTCGGCTGGAGTCGGCAGTGTGGGAGGAGGACGCGAAGGAGAGGTCTTCCGCGAGATCTTCGGACTTGTTCATCCCTATGAGCTCGTCGTCACGCTCGTCGCGACCTTCGGACTCGCCATCGTCGGAGGATCCCCCGCTGTAGTGTCCGCCGTACTCGGCCAACTCCATTTCTCGCTTCATCCTCTTCAAGTGTTGATGATTATGATGGATTCCGTTGGTTAAGGGGCTCGCACTGCTTTCACGCTTTATCATCCCGGTAGGGCTGCCCCGTAAGGATCTGGAATGAAGGGGAGGTATTGGATTCAAAGAGGGGAAATAATTTGACAGACTTTTCATCGTGCAGGTTAAACTAGTTGTTTTCGTTTATACATTTAAAATTCAAAAATTTCATGCAACATGGATTTGATTTCTAAAGGTGAAAATTTTCGGAAAAATAATTTATCCACAATCCAAAATTTCTACAATTTTAAAACAAGCATTCATACAAACTTGTAAAGGCAAATGTTTGTATTTAGCATTTTTGAGTTCTAAAGCTCAATTTTTTATGCACATTGCACAATTATTATGAATCTTATAATGGAGGTTGCTTTGCGATTTTGCCAAACTTAGTGTCAACCAATCACAAATCTAATTAGTACGAAATTTGCGAACAACGTTATTTGCCAATGGTCATATTTGGCCGAGATATTTGCACCCGAAGAGGAGAAAACGTGCAGTAAACTGGGAAAGTGTAAAATTTGTCGACGTTAAGGAGCGCTTTCTCCTCTTCGGATACAAATATCTCGGCGAAACATGACCATTGGCAGATAGTACTTTTGCAAATGTCATATAAATTAAATTTGAGATCAATCGAAACTAATTTTTTTCAAAATCTGTGAGCATACGTTGCAAGACCTTCATTGTTAGTTATTCCTGTGTCACGAAAACGTCCAAATAATACTCGTACTGTACAAGTCGTACATGTAAATAATTAGCTTTAGCTTAAACATTATGCTTATATATTTACCTTGGATCAGGGGACATCGGGGCTTGATCGGGACTCACACTCCTAGCATTCATGGACCCCATGTAGGGCATGTTACCATCCGCTAATGCGGCCTGAAATAAAGCCATTGTAATATAACAAATAAAACACATTTCGAGTAACACGTATTAAAGCGGATACACAATTCCAGGTCGAAACGGTCAAAAAATTCTCCTCACTTGCAAACTCGCATTGATCGCGTCTCCATACAAGGTGTTCGGACTCTGCGTTAAAGTAGGGCTCTTGGATTGCATTCCCCTGTTTCAAAGTCAATCATTGAGTGCAACTTATCAATCACCACGCCGTAAAAAGCACACACACGTCAAAAAAATTGTGTGTATAGGAAAAATGTTTGGATTTTTGTAGTGTGAAAAATGTGTGTGCAATGTTTTACGAGAACGAACGAACGAACGAGAAGAAGAGTAAAAATTGCAAGAGTAAAAATGACAAGGACAAAAAACTTTGAGAAAAAGAAGCAGAGATAAAAATGTTAATTAGTGGAAGGACAAATAGAGAAAAAGAGTGAAAAAACACAGCCGTCATTCATTCATGATCAAAAATATCATTATTTTTACGGCTCCGAATAATGCTGCTACATTTAAGTATTATGCAGTCAATAAATAACGTACGTACGAGATAAATAGGTCAAAAATAGGCCCAAATATTTACTTAGTAGACAATGAGAGGTTTAAAAATCACGTGCGAAATAGGTAAGCAAAAAATGTGACTTGTTTCCCCACGTCTCGGAAAGTAAATTTCGAAATAAATTTTTGCAAATATTTTTTAGAGACATTTTGCGAGGAAATGAGCCAGCGATGACAGGAGAGCTCAAGAGATCATTTTGCGGTACCTGTGATATATGCCGCCGTCCGTCTAGTCATAATCGAAGACTTATCGACTGATAACCATTTATTGCAGAGTATTTGTGATTTATAATAGATTGAAAAAGAGTGAAAAGGATGGTCTCTTGAGGTCATGTCACGTGGAGCATGCGGAGATAAAAAGAGAGAGAGAGAGAGGAACTGGACAAGATCAAAAAGAGTGTGAGAGAAAAAGAGAAAGAGAGAGAAAAATACGTCAAAAAGAGACAAAAAGAGATTCAAAAAACAATTATGGGCAATCTCAACCTTGCTGTGAAAACGGCGACGCGTCGTTTGTCTTGTTGAGTGAAAGTTTTACGGAAATCCTGAAAAATCTAGGGCTGCAAATAATAAGGATATATTCCACCGATGAACGTGGTTATATATGCACTTATCGACTGTACGATAGTATACCACACTTTTTCCCTATGATGATAGTTTCCTAACAATAGAAAATTTTCAAAAATCTAAACTTATGAAAAAAATGTATGAAAATTTCAGCCACTCCGTCCAGAGTGGCGCCACGAAAGTTATCTAATTTTCCCTAAAACCTCTCTGATATGTTATGACTTATCTTAAGTTAATGAACACTCCTACACTTATCATGAAACTGACGAGTTTTTGGGGAAAGTAGGAATAGAAAAGGGAAGAAAAAAGGAATATACAGATTTTTTTACATTATTCTTTCGCCACTTTCATATGAAACTTGTCGATTTTTTTCGTAAATTTGTCGTCGAAAAAGAAGTTATGAAGACCGAGACGCTTACTGTGCTTGTGGATGGTGGGATGATGGTGAGGGTGACGGGGTGGGATCATACTTCCGTGGACGACCTCGTGAGAGATGTCTCCTTTTGACGAATTCCGCATCATCCACCATCCAGAAGGATCCAAAGTCATCTTCATACCGCACAAAACACTTGTGCAGTGAGAGATTGGTGCGGATCGCATTCTGTGTACACACACCACCAAAGAAAGTAGAAAAAACAGACTGACAAGGGAAGAAAAGAGACAGAGAGTGAGAGAGAAAAGGGTGAAATATCATTCTTCCCGCATGTATGTGCTGGCTTTTTTTGCTAAACATTATCTTATCTTACTGACTTATCAAGTATTTTTTTACTCTGATGAGCTGAATAAAAAACATATACAATTTATCAAACTTGTCCCTTCTTGCCGACAAGTGGTTACTACGCTAATCAATCAACTTACACTTATCACCACACCGAAGAGGCGCCCGTGTACCGACCGATTCCGAAGACGAGAGTGTACCCATAATTAAGTGGTAAATATTACGAGAAGTAAGTAAGTAAACGGACTCCGTGCAAAGTCCTAAGTGCGACAAGCTTTTTTTTATTCCTAACTTTCACTCCCACCCAAAACTCTTGTTTCTTTTTCGCCTTGCCTCGTGTTTGTCAGGAGGAGGGAAGAAAAAGCAGAGTTTTAGGTGATAAATTTCACCATTTTAATGAACCCGGACAAGTAAGATGTACATGTAACTTGAGGATGTTAATATTATTCTTGGAGAGGGAGTGAAAGTTGAGCAAGCAACAAGCGGATGAGTAAAAAGAGAGCAAAATGTACAAGAGAGAGAGAAAAAGAGAGAGGAACAACGAACGAGTAGAGAGAGACGAGTGTCACAACAAGTGAATTACTGGAGGCGGAAGACAGACAGACTTTTTGAGAAGAAGAAGAAGAAGCGGTTAAAAATGAGGTCAAAAGACTGAGATTTTGTGTAAAAATAGAGGGGGGAGCGGCTAAACTGACCGCCGCTGCACGTACCCTGTGCTGCACCTCTGAGGGCGACGCTTGTAAAACTCCACCTCATCCACCGTCCAAACCGCACCTTTCACGTTCTCCACTCGCATGAAACACTTGTGTAGCGAGAGGTTGTGTCGCACTGCGTTCTATACAAAATATAAGAGACACACCCGATAAGCAATGCAAAATAAAGGGTCAGCCTAGCAAAAACGCGACTCGATTTCCCCCGCCCCCCAAATTTCCCCAAAAATACCCCCCCAAAAAAATGATACGAGGATTCTCAAACCGTGGGGTGGACAGATTTATGTAAAAAAAAGCGTCATTCGACAAATCTCGATGACCCAAAAAACAAAAACATCTCGACGAATCATAATCCACCAAAATGTGTGTGCGGGACTAGACTCATTGTCATCATAATAACTAAGTAGTTATCAAAATTATCCCTCAAAATTTCGAGCCCGAAGCGTTTTACTACAGCGAAAAACACAAGTTGTACGTACTAAGTATTTTTATGGCCAATACAAACAGCCGTATTGTCTAATTAATCTATTTAGCTACCGTCAAACTCACTACTTTTTGAGGGAGAAGAAGGGGACCGTCTCTCTCTCTCTGGAGGGAAAGTAAGTCCCACTCCTGCTACCTCAGAGTCTAGTCTAGCGTGCACGGCATGCCCAAACTTTTCTTCTCCTTCTTTTATGGCCATTAAGTTAGACGAACCGTGATATAGGATGAGGGAGTAGTTAACGAGCATCCCATTAATATTATTGTTTGGGACGAGTTAATATTTTTCATGGCAACTTTTTCCTCCGGAGAAAGTTGTGTGGGAGCAGCAAGCCGTATGACGAGACACGTATGGCATGCAATGCAACAGTGTTGTGGACTTCATCTTGACGCGACGATATTATTAGGCTCGCTGCAGTGGCCGCGGAAGGACAGAGGGACAATGCCCCCACGGTTGTTCGATGTCCGCATCATCTCCCCATCTTATATAAACTCGGTCCTCCCCCTATCCGACAATGCCCACGGCTTCCGCGGCCACTGAGTCTCAGCCTTATTCTTGTAGTACAACCGACGCCTAGAAGTCCTCCTCCACCTCCTCTACATAAGTGGCCGATTGAGAGTGGAGGATTGAGGGCGGAAGCGGAGTAAAAGGTAATGATGATGATGAGCTCTCTTCTCCAACCATCCATCCATCCATCTCGGAGAATATGTAGACAAAAACTGGGCGAAAGTTGGGTTAAAGGTGAAAGGCTGGCTGTATGTATATGTAGGTAGGTAAAATATATACGTTGGGAATTCCCTCATCTGAATGTTGGTAAGTAAGTAAGCAGCATCTCGATTACGAGGCGCACAACAGGCCTCCGAGGAGGAGGAGGCGGAGGAGTGGAAGGAGGGCGAATTGAAAGAGAAGTCGGAATAACAAAGGAGATCTCGATAAATATTAAAAACGACTTCTGGTCGGTTCTTGGAATCCGAGCTGACAAACGTAACAAAAACTTTGTTAGATGATAAAACCTGATGCTCCACCGCTCTGCCTGGCTGGATGGAAGCGGATGGTTGGTCTGGATCTCTCTCTCTGGGAGCGTTCCATTATTCAGAGACATTTGCATATATATTGGTTGCATTTTTGAGTAAACAGTGTCAGGTGTTTACACATTCACAGTGTCAATATTGTCTAAGACTCTCCCTTCTTAATCTTAAGCAGCAGTCAAGCCAAAGCAAACAATCCGTCTTTTTTCCATTGCGTGATCATCACCGCCACTGCCGCCACAGCCACACAGCTACTAACTTGTGCACATTACTACCTCATAATGCGGCACAACGATGGAGACGGTGGGATATGCAGAGAGAGAGAGAGAGAGAGAGAGAGCTAATCACAATCACCTGCTTTCACTTCTTGACTTTCTCTCTCTCTCCCCTTGATTAACATATCCACTCATGTCCATCATCCCAACATCAACATTTGCTGGGTGGTGGTGGTGGAGCTTGGAGAAAAATAGTCTATGTATTCACTCATATCTTGGCAGGTAGACGCCTTCTCCTCCAACTTTCTCCATGAATATTCTTCCCCAATATTCTTAATAATTTATCCGCTCCGGTGAACCCGCAAATAATAAGTGCTCGCTATTTACATACAATTTCTTCCGTATAAAATATTTCCTTGGTCTGCTGAGCTACATATTTACACTGCGGGGGCTGCTGTAGCTTCTGCTTCTGCTAATATTGTAAGTATGAACTCCTCCCATGCCCAACCAACCCGGCTGGCTGGCTTCATCCCCAACACACACCCATGATCATGATCATCTTCATCCACCCCGATCCTCCTGATCCCCAACTTCTTTACTAACCTTATAACCTATGTTTACCTTCCACGTTGCGGCTGAAAGAAACAGAAAAAGAGACAATTAGGTTATCAATTACGATAAACAATTGGAAGCCCAATTGTTTATTGTTGAGATCCTCACCGTTTCTCCGGAAGTAGCAAAACGTATTTTGAAACCAGTTGTAAATCTCGTTCAGTGTGAGTTGCTTATCGGGAGACTCGATGATTGCCTGACAAGAAAATAAGTAATTAGTAATTGATACCTCTAAATTAATCAATTAATTTTTAATTATCCTGAAATATTTACATACCTGTCTGATGAGAGACGCGTACGTGAAGGGAGGTCGGACGTCAGCATTTTTGTAAAACTCCCGATTTCTTTGGATCTCTGCAAATACGAGCATTTCTGTGAATGGAGATGGTAAGTAATTATTAGTACTAATAAAAAAATCGTGGCATCTTTCGATGATGATGATGATGATACGTCGCAAAAAAATGGGAGTTTGCGGATAAAAAGAATAGTACTTTGTAAATTATTCTTCTTCAGTTGCTTAGTTGGTACATGGACGCAGACGGGTATAAAGTATCGGTAAGTGCTGGTGTAAAATCAGGTTGATCATCGTCACGGGAGTCCCGTCCTCAGAAGAAAAGATGTACTTTGTTCAGTGGAGAGAAAGCGATGGTTTCTTTTTCTTTTTGTGGGGGAAAAGAGCCCGAAATAGGGGAAATATAGACCATCCCGCCGATATACGGAGACGACGATAGTGCCGGCGTAATTGAAGAGGCAAGTAGATAATAAGAGATTTTTATGTATCATACGTACCAAGTAAATTATTTGCAAGCGCCACGGTCTACCCATTACCTCAAATCCCTGGCATTTTTCTGCGGATTTTCTCCCCGAAAATGACAGCATTACAAGTCCATTATGGTTAAGAATCCTCGAAAAAGCTCGTTAAAAAAATTTCACATTCATGGTTCGCAGATTTCCACATTAGAAATCTCGATCATTTCTCCGCTATGGGGGTAGACTACGAAATGGGTTGTAAATATGCTCACCAGCCTCTAAATATCGGGTCTTATTGGTTTTCTTTTTTAAATCTGCTTGCCTCACGGTTTTCTCCTTTCTTCTTCGCTCCCCTCTCACTCACCAATCCCGTTATATTGCCCCATTTACACGCCGTGTTTAGCAAAATGCTACGGAAATTTCCTCAACTGATTGGGGATGAAACATAAAATCAGTCACGAGAAGATTTGAGCGGTTGGCTTTTATTTTATGCCGACGGAATTCCCAAACACACTCGCAAGTGCTAATACCCCTCATTCATTTTGAGGAAAGACGAAGCGAGATGAGACCCAAGGTGCACGTTGTGGTTTTCGCTATCTATCAGGGGCAGGATCTCCTCAAAATATGACGATGCCTGTGTATCCCTGTGTCTCTCTCGTACATATGAGAAGATCATTACTCGGACTGAGCCGGCCGTGAAACAATGCTCGTAAAAGGAGGAAGACTTTGAGAGGCAGCAGCATTGAAGTGGTGTTGATGAAGGGAAATTTCATTAGGCGGGGAGAAAGAGGAAAATTGTGGTGAAGACGGAGGAGCGATCAACCAAGGAAACTTTTCGGAGGAGGCAGGCAATACCTGAATTGCATAATTTGTTCTAATTTCTTCAACTTCTCCGCCGCCGCCTCGTGCTGGATGGAAGGAGAGTACCTTTCATTTGCCTTAATGACAGTCTGGACACTCGAGAGTTTCAGATCTTGATGATGAAGTAATTAAACTTTGAGGACTTCCACACATCAGATGTAATTAACAACGAGGAGGAGGAGGCAGCAGCAGTAGCAGTACCGCGATGGAGATAGCAGATGCTGACGACGTTGTCTTCCTCCTCCTCGAGAAGAAGAAGACTTTGTTTTTGCCATCAACCTATTATAACGTCCTCCTCCTCGGGTACACGGCCACCTGCCTCAATTACCAGTGGCCGCGGAAGCTATTGCCCCTCGATGTCTCCCCATCTTACATAAACCCGTCTCTCCCCTATCAATGTCCCCACACCTTCTTCCGCGGCCACTGTTTGGTGCCCAGAAATCAAAAAGTCTATAGCCCACCACCGTCTGCTACAACCCCTTCCTCAGTATCACCCATCACTAAACAGTAATATCTCGACTACAGATTTCCTCCTCCACGAACGAGACGCTTGATTGCTATTGTCTTGGAAGCAGCACAGCTCTGGGCGCCGCGTTACAAATCTGATCTCATCTTGCACCTTTATTTTACTGCTGGCTCCAAAACTCTTGTCTTACGATTAGTTAATTACGGCTAATTACTTTAGGATGAAACAGAAACATGCGGAATTTATGAGACATAAAATGTGTACCGCAGAGTTTCTCCTTTGTTACTTTCTCTCTAGGAGGAAAAGTAATCTCAAGTTTTTGGGCGGCCAAACAACACACACACACAGCGATCCGACACTCATCATAAGTCGACTCGGATGGGAAGAGTGAAAGTATGCAAATGTCTGGAGCGTCGAGTACGAGAGAAAATTAGGTATAAGAGGAAAACCTCACCTTGCTGAACATCTAGTCCTGCTCTCTCCAGCAAATACGGAAGGCCTAATAGACAGTCAGCAGCATTAAAATAGAAAAATTCGACAAGGGTAAAAAAAGACCAACCAAACTAGTGGAGGAGGGTGGGAAATAAGTAAATAATGGGGTCATTTATGACGATGTGCATATTTATGAGCAGCAATTAAGTAAAATATTAGTCATCCATTTCCAATACATACAAGCAGGATGACCACCTACCGACACGAGTCATCCACATGCAGCGGTCAAGGTCAAAGGGGTCATAACTAACAAACTTAATGCTCACCTCCAGAAAGCGGAAGAGACGCTTTATCACTAACACGACGTCGAATAGCGCCAGTCATGTTGGGGTTGGGAGGTTGGAGCATTCCTGGAGATCGCCCACTCGCCACGGCAGCCGCTGCGGCCAGTCCGGTGGGGGAGAGGCCGGGAATAAGCATATTTGGATTTAGGGACAACTTCCCCATGGCCCCGTTCCCAGGTTGGAGGGGACCACAGAGCGAGTTGGGATTCCCGTTGACGCCGCCTTGACAGCTCTGACTCTGCAAAGAAATGAGGACAAATTTACATGTCGTCGTCACCTATACATAGATATGCAAATTATTCATGTCTTACGTGTTCATTCGGGAGGGAGGAGGGGTTCTTGGGCGAGTCGGGACACATCCCTCCAGGGCCACCGGAGAGGGAATTATTATTTAAATTGTGTTGCTTATTCATATGAAGATGCTGCATCATGGCTTGTAGCCTATCTCTTTCTTTGGCTAATTGTAACTCTAATTGTGAGACCACTTGCATTTGAACTCTTGCTTGTGCCGTAGATCTGTCATCCAGCGTGTGCTCTGTATTCAGATGCCTGCAAAAAATAAAGAAAGAAAGAATAAGTAGCCGCATAAATTTCCACCTTTTCCTCCACAATACGTTCGTACATACGCATTGGGACAGAAATCTGTGCTAGCGAGATCGACACATGAATGGGCATCCCATAAATTAAGGAAGGGTGAGAATGTCGAGAAAAAGTCTCATCAATCAGTTCCCACCACTGCAACATCTCCCGATATTCATCACTCCTCGTGTGGAAATTCCATTAAAATCAGATGGAAATAATTAGAAAAGTTCTCAAACTGTACAGCAGCCAAGAGAGAGAGAGAAAGAGAGCAGTGATTGAGAGAAAGTGATGCCGAAAGAGTCAATGAGCCCACATCTCGGAAATGGTGGAAGGAATTAGTTTCAAGTCAACCATAAAACACAAAAAGGGACGTTAAGCGAGTAAAAATCAACCCTTCTTCTTATCTCCCTCCATTAAAAAAAGGGAAATCAAGTGCAAAAATAAACCAAAGAAACAATTTGGGGCCCAAACCAACATTAGGAACATGAATAAATTATTCCGACCCCATTAAGTAATACCACGATTTAAAAGAAATTCAGGTTGAGACAATTACTTGAGGAATGAAGAGAAGTCATCGCACACGGTTTCACACCCTGGCCACTTACAAACCCCGTGACCGTAAAGTGGGTGTTGTTGACTAATTGATTTCTCCACGGAATCTCCTTTGTCACTGTCGCCGCCACAAATGCCATTCACGCCGCCGCCACCGCCACCATCCCTCTTCCCCGGGTTCAGCATGAACAAACCTAATTTCGAAAAAAAAGAATAATTTTTAAAATGTGTCATTTAATTTTTACCCAAAAAAGTAAACCCACCGTTGGGCAGGTGTTTGGGACTTGAACCGTTTTGATGGGACATTTCCACAATGCCGTCATGTCGAGGCTCCTCTTTCCAGTGGTCGTCACTTCCTACGCCCATACCTGGAGAAAAGAAGAAAAACCACAATTAGCGTTTCATCTCGAGAAATCAGCTGGAGAAAGTTATTAAATTTCTGATTATAAGTTTCTGACAAATCGGCAACCACAATTTCATTTCTTAACTGTTCGAGGGGTTCCGTGCCCGAAAACTTGGCGGCGATTGTGATGTTATAAGGAATAAAATTCGAAAACAATCCGAAAACCAGGATTGAGGCGACGGTACAACTTTCTTTCCCACATGAGGAGCGTACACTTGGCCCGCACTCCGTGTGGGAGAAGAAACCCTTCCGTCTCCTTCTGCGTTTGACTGACTGACTGGCTGCCTTGGAAATTTGAGGCCACCGCGTCGGTTTTTAATTTCAGAGAACTAATTGCCATTCACGGCGGGGGATTCGGAACGAAATTATTGTTGGGAACGACTTGGAAAAGTTGTTTCAGATTTTACCGACATTGCGATTTGTGGGGATTTAATGCTACTTATTTTATTTTACTTTACCTGCCCCACCCCCCACCATATTTGGGATGTTGATCCCTTGCTGGATCAAATACTGGCGTTGTGTCAGCTGAAGTTGTTGCATGAGTTGGTGTTGTTGTGCGGAGAGTTGTTGCAGGGCGCCGGATGACTTTTTCTTGTCCCCACTCTGGAATAAATGCGATTGTTGGAGAAGGTTTAACTAGAAGGAGAAGAAAAAAGTGTTTCAAAATTTTGAAAATTCCAGAAAAAAAAATTTGATTACTCTCACCTGAAGCTGTTCCTGCAAATTCTGCAACGTTTGTTCCAACTGTTTCCTACTAATTTCCGCGAGTTGATGATGTTGCTGTGGGGAAAGTGAGGAAGGAGAAAGTTGGCTGTGCTTAAGTCTCGCCTGTGACGCAGCGGAAGCGGAAGAGGGGGAGAAATTGGGGAAATTGAGACTCACTTGTTGTTGAAAGAGGAGCGTTTGTTGTTGCATCAGTTGCTGCAGTTGTGTCGGGGTGATGAGTTGTTGTTGGATGAGTTGCTGCATTTGGTGGATGTTGGGGCCGAGGAGGAGGGGGTTTCCGGCAGGACAATTATTATTATTCCCCCCACCCGCATGGGAGACGACGGGGAGGCACGGATTGTTGTTATTGTTGGAGGATTGTTGCTGCTGGAGGGGACAGTTTGGGGGGGATGGACTTCTTCCATGCTGCTGACCATTCCTATTGCTCATCATGCCCTGCTGCTGCTGCTGCTGCTCCTTGGCACAAATCTCTCGCATCTTGACCACATCGAAGGGCGACGCGTTCTGGAGTTCTTTCTGCCGCTGTTTCAACGCCTTCACCAACGGTGGCGTCTGAGGACATAAAACAATTAAAAAGTTTTTATTAGCTTGGAGAGAGAGAAACGGGCAATAATGTTGATGGGACTTTATGTCCTTTGTTGTATGAGAAACTTAGTTTTTCTTCCCCATCATAATAATCATGGGAGGCATTTATTTTTTTTCGGGTGTAGTTTACATGGAGAGCAATTATTAGGAGAGAGTGGATTTGAGCAGTAAACAAGGATACTTTTTCGGTATTCACCGTGGGTCGGGTGGCACGTGGTGTTATAAAACAATATATGTACAACGACATTTTTGTACAACTTTCCCAGGGCAGAATTTTGTGTGGGAGTAGTGAAAGTGGAAATGTAAATAGGGCAAAAGCAGCCATCAAAGTCATGAATGGACTTGATAAATCCTTATTTTTTCCCTTTTAAGAGGGGAAATAGTGGTGCTTATTGAGTGGAGTACATACAGAGTTATGTACGTAATCAGGTGATACATAAGTCGTATACACATGCATGATGGGTAGTAATTAATGAAAGTATTTGTGTATGTTTGGTGAGGTGACTTTAACTTAAAGACGCCACTACATTAGGCAAGAAGGAGAAGAAGGGTCGTTAAGTTGTCAGGAAGAAGTTGAAAAAAGTTGAAAATTGCGAAGGTATATTTACGTATGTACATATGTACGAGGGGAAGAGAGTGACATTGCGTGACATGGAGTTGGTTGTGTCTCTAATGAAAAGTCAATCAAGGTAATAGGTCGCCCAACATGCAACTTGTGACGGAACAGGGTTGTTTAGTTGTTTCGAAACAAGGATTCCCCTTGAATATTTAATTCCCAATTAAGCGCTCGGCTAAATAATCTATCCATTCAACGTCGTTCGTCGTCCATCCACCAGTGACGACGATCACTTGTCCAATTTTCATGTTAACAACAACAACAACCCATCGCGATGAGTAATTGATGCAGCTCACACGAGATAATGCACGTCCAAATTATCCTACCAACAAATTTCGTACATACCTCTGCTCCCGATAAATATCGACTCTTTTTTTATTTTAGGTGAGGAGGGCTTAAATGTGCGATGTGCAAACTACGTATTGTTCACAGTGGCCGCGGAAGAAGCTGTGGGGACGTTAACATTGTAGGATAGGGGAAGGGACGGGTTTATATAAGATGGGGAGATAATCCGGACATCCAACAACCGTGGGGACAATGTCCCTCTGTCCTTCCGCGGCCACTGATTGTCCAGGACATTATCCTCTCTCCGTAATACGAACAAAAAAATGAAAATCAATTTGAAACCGGACATTATCCCTCCGTCCCCTCAAGCTTCCTTCCGCGGCCACTGATTGTCCAGGACATTAAACTCTCCACCAAAAAAATGAAAATCAATTTGAAACCCGTTTCCATCCAGGCATTTATTTCCCTCTCCTTTATAGAGTTATTATTGGTCTGAATGGCGAGTTAAGAGTAATCGGACGCAATTAGGGGAGATTAGGATGGAAGAAGAGGAAGGGGTCCTCTGGGAACCAAAGGTCTACTAAGGCACACACACACACACATGCCTCCTCCTCGGCGGGGGAGCCCGAGTAGAAAAAAGTGCTCGAGAGATAAGAAGACCAAGAAGAAGTGGCTGCACGTCTCTTCTTCTTTTTACGGGGATGCAAACAAGGTTGGAGAGTGTGTATGGTAATGATGATGATGATGATGAGAACGTAGAGAGAAAGTGGTAAAAGTTGCGTTTTTGGTGATCGGGTCGGGGTGAAGTTTTGGGCCATAAAAAGCGAGTGTGGTGGTTCGTCGTCGTCGTCATCGTCGTTCTCCTCGTCGCCGCTTTGTTTTCATCGTTAATTCGAGGAGAGAGAGAGGAAGCGTTGTCAAAGTGCACTACCTCTCCACCGCCACCGAGATGCCATTGATATTCACCAGGGCATCCGAGGAGCAACTTAAAAACTCGCTTCTTCTCCGTTTCATCCCTTTCACGGGAAGATCCCTTATCACATATTTCATATGCAGGACGATGTTTTGCTTGCCGGGAGCAGTATATTTCCATATTTTTCACATAATGCTCAACTGTGTATGGCTTTTATTTCATGTGACATCATAGTAATGCATTTTAACGTCTTATCATTCATTGCAGCATCTCCACAACTTCATGCAAGGAGCAGCACACACCAAGTAAATATTTGCTCACGACAGCCCATTCCCAAAGACCAAATGGTATCCGTTTCTACGCGACCTGCATTCAGCGCCTTAATAAAAAAATAGGCTCCTCTTTTTTTCTCCTACCCTCATCATGGCACCCACTAAACAATGCTATCTTGTCCACCTTAGACACATCGTCAGCGACCTCATACATACGCAAATCAGCCACAACAATACATACATAGAGTGCCTCCTCGGAGGTAGTTATTGCCCTATAAAAAGTCAAATTGGGCCCAAACCAGGCCTGCCTTTATCCATCGTCACCCAACCACCGCGGTAATTCCTGCCGTACAAATGTAATGGGATGTAAATGTCAACATCCGTCACTCAAAGGAAACCCACAACAACTCAATCCGCACTTTGTCAGAAAGACGGGTGGCGACTTTCTCTCGGATTCATACGAATTCCAGAGTCGGAGTGTAGTGTCTTTGCCAAATTGGCTTATGTGACCCTCGGCGATGGCGATATTGGGCAGAGGAAGGTGGAAGGTGCTGTTGCCTCCTCGAGGCTGATGGGCCACACGGGAGCATTTCGGGTGGATACTCGTCATTAGGAATAAACTTCTCAATCTGTTACTCCATTTCTCACAAAATACGCGACCAAGCTAATGTACAGAAGTGGACTGGATTTCCACTCAAGATGGAATAGACTTGTTCTGTTAGGCCGTAAAATTTTGAAACACGATCCCATTTATTAGTAAGAGTTTGATATTTTGTCGTAGTGAAAACAGGGCAAGAGCCAAGTTTTACGAGTGTGTAAGAGAGAGTGCTGGAGAGAGAGATGTGTATGTATCAAGTGGTTTGGTTGCTGATTTTTTTTCAGATACCGACCAAGACCCACACCACGCCACGTAATGTACCGCACTCCATTTTCGTTAATGTCGATGACTGTTGAATTTCAGTCCATTTTTTTTACTGCTGCTTCAGAGGCATATTGAATTCTGGGGACGAATGTGTGTATGTGCAGCGTCAGGGTATCCATCTCGGTCTAAATGGCAATAACACGGTTCTGATTTACGACTCCCCTCGTACGTCTCACACTTTCTCTTCGGATGGGAAATATATTGCAACACCCTCCCGTCCAGAAATAGCCAAAAGTTAAAATTTACAGTGGCCATCACCAGTCCAATGGGACGAAAAATACGGTGAGAAGATTTATAGAAGTGGTGTCCTTCTAATTCGAAATGCACGAAGCCTGGTGGGACCGGTGGGCTAAAAAGGTGTCATAATTCCACCCATCAGAAAAGACGTCCTCCTCCTCCCACAACCCATCTCCAGAGTTCGACAAAAGTTAGCAGCACACTTTTTGCGGAAACCGTGGTCTTGGAATCTCATGCTTGGCCTACGACGGAGTAGTAGCAGTGAAAATCTCGCGATGATGGAGAGGAGATCAGCAGCACGAGCAGGAGCCGCAGTCCTGAACCGATTTGCGACTTGATCGAACATTTGTTATATTTGTATTTCCTCGAAAAGTGGGAATATATGGTGGAGAGAGAAATAGCCATCGAAAAAGACAGCAAAGTGTTTTTCATAAAGAAATTGCACCATAATGGGTTGGACATCCCAACACCCGGGATCCGATACTTTCTCATCCATCCACAACGCACCAACCCCGTTTGCAGCGAGACAATTGTTCTTTTTTTATTTTTCTACCCGATAAAATGCCCCTTCAAAAGCATTCCTTGCAATAATTCACACAACTGCCCATGCTTTCTCTCTCTCTCTTTTAGGGCGAGAGAGTCGTTTACTGCGTACATATTTCTGAAAAAAAACTTTTTCACTCGTAACTTTGTTTGGGAGGTGGTGGTTGGACCGGACCTTTGGCGTTATTTCCGAAAAGACGGTGGAACAATTGAGCAAGCAAACGACTCCGTCAAGGAATATCATTCATCGTTGTCTTGGTCTTCTTGATGCTCTTTTTTCATTTTAGTCACCCCATCCACAGGGCGACTTTATAAGGCAAAAGTATAGCGGTATCACTCCCTTTAATGGATTTCTCTCCTTGTCTTCATCTCACAAATCATACTCGAACTTCTCTCTCTGATAACTTCATTGGAGGCAGTTCCGATTTCTCCTCCCCAGTTGGACAGCGCTTATCGGGTTGAAAATCCTTTTCACACACAACAATCTAATCACCTGGCCTCATTGCTTAGCCAGCCGGGAACAATCGGATTGATTTCAGAATTGGTGACAAAGGTGTTGAGATGGGGTAATCGTGTGGAAAGGAGAAAGCTACGGCGTACTACCATTCTTCGCCACTTCAAGTGGGCAGGCAGGCAAATAATCGGGTTCGTTACTTACTACGTTTTGGGAGAAATTTAAGGAGAAGAGAAATCATTTCAGGGGGTGGTGGTGACAGTGGCCGCGGAAGCCGTGGGGACATCTGGGGACATTAACATTGTAGGATGGAGGGAAGGGCCGGGTTTATATAAGATGGGGAGATGATGCGGACATCGAACAACCGTGGGGACATTGTCCCTCTGTCCCCTCAAGTTTCCGCGACCACTGGGTGATGTTGTTCATAGTCCAGCACAAAAGCCAGGGAGACCTCAGAGAAAATAAGTGACGGGCTAATCACCAAATCTGGGGGGTGGTGGTGGTCGTGGTGGTAGAAGGAAATACCGCTCTGGTCGTGGAGGAATTGGCGACGAAGAAGAGTCAAGTGTGAAAAATAAAGTACCGCGACTCTCCTCTCTCTCTCTCAAGGAGGAGGAGGCTCAACCACGCGTGCATAATTACCAACCAGCTCGGGGCAAGAGATACACGGCTAACTCTTTCTTCTTCCAGAAGAGAAAGATAAGGTGGTGGTGGTGGTGCCGCTG